AATGTCTCGTGGAACCGAATTCTCACGGGTGCGTAATTTGCGCTCGCCAACGGCGTAAACGGTTTCGCGCGCTGAACTCGTGATGCCGCCGATCGCTGGTTCAAACGCGACGCCGTGGCTCCGGCTGTGTTGTGTAACCGGCGGAGTGCGACCTTGAATTCGACCGGGCAGCACGAACGGTTGGCACCGCGGTATGGTCGGGGGGTAAAGTGTGGGGCACTCGCACCGCCCTTCCGAGACGTCCAAAAGAGGAAGGCCAAATAGCGTCGCGAGAGAGGGTCTCTCACAGTGGATGTCCTTCCGCCAGTAGTGGAGTGAGCAAACGGATTGCAGGGCTACAGCCGTTACACCATTACCTATCCAAAAGTGTTTTTTTGGGTCAGATCGCGTAAATATATAAATGTGCGTCGTTAAACCCGCCACCAACCGACACAGCCAACTAGTCAGGGTTGTTACGTAAACAGAACATGGCCAATTCGTCACCAGTACAGCACACCGATGTGTTGGAGAGCCAAGACACAACATTTAGAATCTGAGTACGATGTTTCACCAGTAGTTGGCTGTCGCCTGACGCAGCTATTTGTAAGTACTGGCGAAACGTCGTACCGGTGTGCTGTACTAATGACGAATTGGCACGTTCTGTTTACGTGACAACCCTTACTAGTTGGCTGTGTCAGGTGGTGGCGGGTTTAACGACACATTTATATATGTATGCGATCTGACCCAATACATCTTTATTTAGGATGATATTGGTCGTGAAATCCCACGTTTTAAACTGATCTTTACCTATAATGGAACTTTTTACTGACAATACAATTTATATATGTATGCGATCTGACCCAATACATCTTTATTTAGGATGATATTGGTCGTGAAATCCCACGTTTTAAACTGATCTTTACCTATAATGGAACTTTTTACTGACAATACAATTCTCTCCGGCCAGGTAGTGCTGTTGTTAGAGTGCACGCCTCACAACCTCAAAGCGTACAAGTTCAATTCCCAGTCACAGGGGGGTTGGCTCGGCCGGTCATCATCGTGTCTCCAGGGTAGATCAGAATCTTTAAATTTACACTGGAAGAATCTGATGAGTTAGGAAGCTCTTTTCGCAGATGTCCAGGATAAAATCACGTGCGCTGAATTGAGCTAAATCAGCAGTGTTCATCCTATGGAAGCCAGACTCGTCCCAGACATAGGAATGTGGAATTACCACCACGTGGTCACGTCCATGAAAGGAAAGGAGCAACTGGCAAATGCTGTTTTGAGCAGCTTGAGATGCCACTGCCATTTAGATTTCTCGTGAACCCAAATTGTATTTCGTTTTATGAAAAAAATGTATAAGATAAATTCCATCCATTCTCAATCCACCAATGGATGAAGAGCAATCCACCAATGCCATGTCAGTCGTGGGGGCTTTCTGGCCATACTTCACCACACTGGTCAGGGCAGCTTGGTGAAGGGTGGTGATCGCGGGTTACCACGTTCACAGCTCGACGGCACTGTGCAGGGCACTTCGTGAATTAATTTCAGCCGGCTAAAGAAGGCATTAAAAACCCTATGAATGGCATTCGCAAGTCCAGCAAAAAAATAGTTTTCCTTCATTTCATACGGAGGCTTTCACAACCAAGATGATGCTTCGCTATTGGGATCACATCAGATAGAGATATAACCTCGAATTTTGTGCAAAATTGTCAACGTTTTGCCTGCTTCTCAAAAAAATTGCCGTTTTTTTGCTGGGAAACGAAATCGGCGTGGCACATTTTGCTCCCACGCGACAGCTGACTTGGCATGGCTCTGGTCGGGTGGTGCAGGGCGACAAATCGAATTGACAAGGCACCGCCTATTTTTCACCGTTTCGTACGCGCGAAAGGGTGTGTGATGCTCGCTTTCATTTGGGCACTCCAACATTGAGGGTGGGGGGGGGGGGTGAAATTCCATTGTCTCATGGCAAGGCTCAGTCTCTCGCCTGCGGACGGCCGCAGGGCTTCGCCGTTGTGCTGCTGCTGCTGTGCAGCTCGTCCGCTGAGTGTGCGTGTCGCAGAGCGTCTTCCTCGGTGTGATGTCCGCACATTTCGCTTCACGGTGGCTAGGAGATGTTAACTTCCTCGCCGAGGTATACAGGAGCTCGTGGGTTCGATCCCGATCCTGACGCCTGCTTTATATTTGGAGTTTGCACATTCTCCCATAGTCATATTTCCCAAGGCATTACATTAACCTTGCTCAATTCGATAAACGCATGAGCTTGTAATCCATTACACTTCGTTCCCGGGCCACCTGACACTTTGGGCATTTGAGTTCGTGCTCGGCAAACTGTGATTTCGGGATAATTCCGCGCGACAACGAAAAAAAAGACGCGCGTGTTGCCAAATCGCGTCGAAATTACTCTTAGCAAACCGTTGCCTCCCGCGGGGATAATAACGGAAGCCACTTTGTGCGTTTTATTTGTTTCCAATTGATCGCGCAAGATGACCCGCGGAAACTCCCACCACAGGTTGCTGTCGTCGCCGGCGTCTCGTTAATAAATCATGCATTGGTCATAGATTCCGTTGAGTGTTAATGCAGACAAGGCACTGCGTCAGTCGGGAGATTCATTGTGAAGTAAAACAATGGGAGTATGCTCAGCAAGCTGTGCAAGCCTATTCGATAAGCGAGCCCTTGCATTCTTTTCCAAAGCCTCCTGCTTAGTTTTTTTTTTGTGCAGTGACGTGCTTAAATAAAGGGCCTCGGTGGTTTGTGCAGTTAAATGGTAAAGTGTGTCTCTGCCTGGAATTATAATGTAGGCCTCACTTGTCTCTGTTGGTGGTCTTTAAATGTTGCATTCTCACTGTTGCCGTAGGACGACTTCGACGTTGCACGAGGAATGATGAGACCGTTGTAGATGTTGACTGTTATGTCCAACAGAAAACTAAAATACTAAAAAAACCAGAGGTGGCAAGTTAGCTCAAGGTGGCTCACAATGGGCATGTCAGGGACACCAGCTCGGCCTAAAGCTGGTTTTGAATTCGGGTTTGAGCCACTGATCATCAAATTAAGTTCACACGTGATTAAACCGGTACATTGAAATCATGGTCTCGGCCTGGTCACCAATAACTAGACAAAACAAGTAATACAGTATTACATTTGCGTTTATTGGTAATTTGCCTTTTTTATACAATTGCAATTCGACAAAAGTTTGCTAAACGTACGTGGGTCCAACTACTGAAGTGACTCCAGAAGTAGTTATGTGGCGTCTACTTTCAGGGCCAGTTAACCAACACGATATACTGGACCTCTCTGAAAAAAAGAGCTTCATTGCTCATAGGTTTTCTTCCAAATAAAGCTTCTGATTCTGATGTCACGTGACACTCCTTACTCACTGTGAGCAATAAGAACGTAAAGTTAAACCATTTTCAAAAATGCACAGGCTTTTCTCAATCCACTGCTGGATAAAGGCCTCCCCATGCTGTTTCGGTCGTGGCTATTAATGTATTATACTTCACCGTGCCGCTCAGAGTTGGTTAGTGAAGGTAGGCATGGCGCCAGTTGAAACATCCCTGGCCACTGATGTTGGCCGTGGCTTAGCATCGAACTCAGGTTGCGGGTTCATAGCGCTGTGGGCTTAACCCTAAGGGCTACGCCGCAGCTTTCTGCCCAATAGGAATATAAATAAATACATAAATGTGAATTTTTAATTCATACAATTTTCGGCGCAAATACAGATTATGAAATTTTAAAAAAAATGGCTCAGGAAGAACCCCAGGAACATTTTTTAAAATAAATATCTTCGCTGCAAGGGAATTTAATGAGCGGATTGAAACAACGTTCAACGAGTCTCTGTGAGACCAACCCACACAAACGTAAGAACAGCTTGGCATTTCACGAAGAGAGCAGTGGACCATGTAACTTCGCACTCGGCCAGTACATAAACTTGAATGCGGTGGACGGGTGAGTGGGTGGGTTGGTACATATCCAATTCATCGACTTTCCGACAAGGCAATTGAATGCCTAAATCACTTAGAATTGCATCTCTAATAGTGGCTCCTTCATTGGCCGTACGGAATCGCCAGTCGGGCAGTAATGCGTCACCGTTAAGGCATACATTGATGCATTAAAGCATCGCGCTGCATCTGAAGAAGTCTCCAAGTGATTTCTGGCTCAAATGAGCTTTGAGGTGGTGCTCATGTCCTGTCTGCAGCCCTGAACCCGTGGAGGAAATTCCACATTCATATGGCAAGGGCAAGTATCTCCATAGAACAACCACTGTTGACTTCCCTCCTAAAGTGGTACTCATTGTATCAATCCCAGAGGGATTATGAGCTGGCACCACTGAGTTTCCTGGATTTCGAATCCAGGCAGCTGCCTGTGATTAAACTGGGTCCTAAAGTGAATTGAGTTGATTGATGGTCTCAGCCCAGTGACAAAATGACTGCATAAAATAAAGGATACCGCATGAATGGTCCTGCACTTAAATTCCAGCTCTGAGAATTAAAATAACGCATTGACTGTCCGGTAAGAGACATTACTCTCGTACGTAGGGTAAGTGGATAAGTGCTGCTTTATACTGTGTGTGGTCTAGAGGTCACTTGAAGGGATCTCCGAGGTAGCTCTGTGACATCCGGTTCTGTGGGCCATTTTCTAAATCGAGAATTAAGCAGTGCTCTGCGAGAGATACGAAGGGATATTTAATCTTGGGAAGTGATGCCGAGAGCATATTGGGGATAAAATGTGGGGATAATTACAGGAACTAAATATATATTTTTTCAAGGAGTCGAACCCAGGTCACTGGGATCGTAGCGCAGTGAGTGAGAACACTGTGACACCCACAATAAGGCAAGCACGAAAAAAAAGTAAGATTAAACAAGCTAGCAATGGATTTGTATAAGGAATTATTATTGATTCAAATGCGCCTGAGATAAAAAAAAAATTATATCAGCCGAGAATGAAATTGTTAATGGTAAAACTGCCACACTCCCAAATGTCACGACTTTGCTAATTTAAATGTATTTTTTTTTCTTTCACAGGGACCAGAAGGTGTAGCTGGGCCTCCTGGAGTCAGGGTAATTACCGCGACACACGAGGGATGGTGGGAAAAGTCCATGGCCTGACATAAAATGTGCTCCAGTTAATGATGAATAAAAATCTAAATGTCATCTCGACGGTGGAAATTGATTGGGTTTTTTTTTACAGGTGGGTGACATCATTTTGTTTGTGACTTAAGTGACATCTAGAAATTAATGATTTTAGAAAATCTAGAGGAGACTGGAAAAAAAACCCATACTTGGCAGAACAGATTTCCAAATGTGGTGAGAAGATGTTATCTCTCTCGCCTGGCACGCAGGAGATCGTGGTTTCAATCCCAGACCCTGACGATGCCTGTTGTATATTTGGAGTCCGCGTGTTTTCTCTCTCTGTCCCCGTGGTGGTCACGTGGATTTTTATCCGGGTTCCTCCGGTTTTGCCCTCCACATTTAGACTCAACACGAATTGAGATTATTTGTCCACGACTATAAATTCCCACATGTAATGATGATGACGATGATAAAAGCCACCTCTATGATCAGCTATCAGCACGTGTGGCCAGGACGCCTCTGAACATTACCTGCTAAATAAAATAGAATAATAAATATTCCTTGGGTCTTTCGGTAACGCCACGTAGATAGAAACAATAGTAAACATATCACGACATTTCGATCGCAACGCACGCAATCGTCATCAGGTAAAAAAAATAGCGAGAGAGCTGCTGAGGCAGGATGTTATAAAGGTTTGCGATGGGTGTAGCCCAAGGGTCATAAGCGAAGTGGGCAGGGCTAGTGATGAAATTTGCATGTCAATGTAAGATGGGAGAGCTGAGCTACCTCCACGACGACGAAGCTGTGGGAGTGGCCATTGTATTGTGTGTATGAGCAATGTATGAGCACCACAACCTGAGAACCACTGATGGCGCAAATGCATTGAGCGTCCACAGGAACATGCAGAGACACATTACAATTGCATCTAATTTATTAATTCCTACTCAGGCCATGGAACAATCAATGATTCCTCATTCGTACCCCAGCGGGACACAGAACCTACAACTTTATAGCCCGCGTACATTTCCAGAGAGTAGGTGATGGCGGTGGCGGTGGCTTAGGTGAGACCTTAATCCAGCAGTGCATTGACCCATGGCTGTTGGTGACGAAAGTTAAATTCTTGAAGATGCGACTCAAATAGAGGTCGCGTCACAGACACTGATTGCTCCAAACGAGCAAATGGAAGAACGCTCATCGCCATTGGCAGCGGCCTTGAGCAATTGGTGGTAAATTCCACATTATCATGGTGGGAGCAAATCTATTCAAAAGTGGCATAAAATTGTTATAAAAAGATCAGTACTATGCTCATTATGTAGACCCCCACAAGGATGAGACTTATGATGATGATCATAATGATCATGATGGTGTTTTTCTGAGTTTACCCCAGACACATTTTTTCCAAATGCCAGTTTCAGTACTCTAACCTCTCTCTCTCTTTCTGTCTGACTGCGCCATGTCCTTTCTCAAATGCTTCGGCGATCATGGCCTCTTCCTTCCACTCAGCTTTGTCCCGGATTTTTTTTTACTCTGGAACTTTGCATCAGACACTCTGCATGCAGTTGTTCAAACTGCTCATGCACTTAATTCGCTTCCTCCCCCGGTTTGGAATCACAGCCACAGATTTTGACATTTATTCAAATGGCCAACTATGCTCGTGTCTGTGAATGTTGTGGGTTTACTCAGCAACACACCGGTGTGCTGAACTATTAAGTAATTGTAAATGTTGTGAGTTTACTCTCCAACACACCGGTGTGCCGAACTAGCAAATAATTTACACGTTTTGTTTACGTGACAAACCTTACTCATTGGGTGGTGGCGGGTTTAACGACATATTTATATTTACGTGATCTAACCCTAAAAAAAACCTTTATGGATAATATTGGTCGCGAAAGCCTCCGTGTTAAATGATGCGAGTGTCTGCCTACTTCAGGAAGCGTTGACTATCATCTATACTGGTAACCCATAGCTGTGCGAACTCCACCTTCCCATGGTGGGGACCAGTTTTATCCGCAGTGATAATAAATCTTCCTTTTTTTGCGTGCATGCAGGGTGACCCGGGGGAGCGAGGAACTCAAGGCGAGAAGGTAATAACGGCTCTTGCGGGGAAAGGCAGAGAAATATAAAATATAGATCTTACACAATTACTTTCATTTAATCAATATTACTGTCAGGCGTGTGGGAGCTGAAACTTGCTTAAGTATTTGGGCTCGTGCTCGGCGGACGTGTCCGGGACGTTCGCTTCATTTGTATGGAGGTGATGGTGTGGAGGACGCTTCTTTTTTTTGCGAGTGCATCTGCGTGCACGCAGAGACAAACATCCCCACCTTGAACGGACTAGTGGGGCAAATGTTATTGGCGAGCAGCTATTAAGGGCCCGGAAGAGTGCACGGAGGGGACTGCGCGGCCAAGATTAAGCACGGCCACCTTTGTTTAAAAGTTACGCATACGCTCATAAGCAGACAGAAGGCATATAAATTCCCCGTATTGCTTCCAACAGACTGCTGGGTAGAAGTGGTGTTAGCGAGCACCTGTTAGTGCTGGTGGTGTGATCAGCACCATGGCCAGCCACCAGTGCAACAGGTACACATGTAAGGCTGAGTCAACTGAGGAGAGGCCCAGGAATGATTGAGATGTTTGCAGTGGGCCTTAATCGACCTCAGGTCGTCGGGTTCGTAGCACAGTACGCTAATCACTATGCCAGTGCACCCACCCAACACAGGCACAAAGACAAAGATCCCCCGTATAGCCTTGAACGGACTGTTGGGGCAAGCGCTACTAGTGAGCACCTATGAAGGCCACCGTGGCACACGAGGGGGTGGGTTGCCACCACCACCACGCCCGGTCGCCTTTGTCTCCCCAGTGGCAATATTTACACATCGCACCAGGTACTTATTTGAGGCTGAGTCGACCTAGGGGAGGCCCAGGACAGGTTCAGATAATAGTCGCTGGGTGTTGGCCATGAGCGGAAATTGAACTCGGGTCGCCGGGTTCGTAGCACAGCGCGCTTAACCGCTACACCACCGCTCCCCACACACCCACACACACGCCCTATCTAAAAGTAATACATACACATACGCTCGTACATACATTGACACGTACGCTCCATAGTAATGCACGCTTTTTTCTCAGTTAATTAATGCACAGACACAGTTTCATAGGAACGCATGCACATGCACAGTGGTGCAACACACTCTGTCACACACTCACAGTAATGCATGCAAACACATACACAGTCACTGCAATGTATGCACACTCACACAAGACACACCGCGCCAGGTACTCATTTGAGGCTGAGTCGACCGAGAGGAGGCCGAGCACCGGTTCACATTATCGTCACTGGGTGTTGGCCGTGAGCGGGAATTGAACTCGGGTCGCCGGGTTCGTAGCACAGCGCGTTAACCGCTACACCACCGCTCCCCATGCACACTCACGCACACACAGCGACACACCGGCACACACTGGCGTCATGTCAATGACGGTGACTCAACTATTGTGTTGATGAACTATTACATTTCCTGACTCTGATAATGAAATATTTTCTTTCACGACAATTAGGGTGATGGGTTTTTATGTAAAAGTGATGGTTATGATTAAAGTTACGTATTACATCTTTTCCCTATGATAATTATTTTCATGCTGATCCTTTGTATAATGGAATTGTTATCTGATGGTTATTATGGTAATTGGATCATGATTGTGTTGATGATGAACGTTTTAATAACGGAAATGATAATGATGTGAATGTTAAAATACTTGGATGATGATGATGATTATTTCTTTAACGGTTATGAAAGCGATGATTAATATTTTTCAATGAAATGTTAATGTTATAATTACATGTGCTTATTGTGATGACTGAATCTCTGCTTCCTTCTTCATAATATTGTTTTATGATTCTGTTTATTCGTATTTATTTTTGAAGATTTGATAATTTAATGGCAATCAGAAAACTATTATAATATAATCAAGGCAATTACGTAATATTTTTTCGATTATGTTGATTAGTATTTATAATCTAAGATTTGATTATTTACTGGAAATCTAATGATGATGAAGATGATGGCAATAATGATGAGAGTAGTCATGTCAGATTATTTTTATGAGGATAATGATTATGGTGGCGGTTATTGTTGGTGGTAGTGGTGGCGACTATTTATTGGTACATTGTTGTTGTTGTTCAGGGAGAGAGGGGGCAACCGGGTCTTGATGGAAAGGATGGCCTTGATGGAAAAGATGGCCCGCCTGGACCTTCAGGACCCCGAGTGCGTGCCTTTGGCCCATGACATCAACATTCGTCAGTGCCATCATCTGCACAATGAAGACCGCACTGCACATTCCATCCTAGGATCCCAATGCGCAATACATGGAGAGCAGGAGACAGAACCAGGGGCAACCGACCAAACTAAAGAGGGAAGGCCACTTTAACGAGATGGGTTTTCAAAGCAGACTTAAATATATCTACCGACTCACCATTCTAAACAACGCATTTCTCACAGTTTTTGACGTTTACCATAACAAGATCCCGTTTTCAATGTTGTGCGATTACCCTTATGTGGAGTAATTATATTACTCGATTGTTCTCACGATTGCCTTCTTGTAATTGACGTGCAGTCTGATTATTGGGTTGATTTACTTTCAGGAATGTAACCATGGGCAGAGAATGGCGACTCTCACAATTGGAAGGTAGCAGGTTTTAAATGCCAGGTTCAATGCCAGGATCACAATCGGAAGATGATGTCTGGTGGTCGACCCAGCCCAATAATTTTCTCCAACGGCGCTCCTAATGTAGGCACCACTTTGTGCGAAGTCAGCAACGGTCGTTTTATAAATCGACTGGCGCCGGCATATGGGCGTGGAGTTTCGAAGCTTAGCTCAGGCCATTAATGGCGATGAGCTCCACCTCACGCCCGTTTTGAGTGCAGAAACACAGGAGAGTTATTTTGATGAGGCGTGTGTTGTCACGTGTGTCTAAATGTGTGATGTCAATTCACAGGGAGATCCGGGCAAGCTGGGCGACCCCGGGAGAGATGTAAGTTTTATCCCAACCAAAATCTGAGAGACATTTCTGAGCGCATGTATCGCCCTCTGTCGTCACACCACGTCCGACAGTGCATGCTTCTCCACGAGTCTTAATGTTCACGAAATCGCCAACGCCCAAGCATAGCCGTGGCACCGACTTAGAACAGCCATCTTGGTAGAACACCATCCCGCTGTGTTTACGGCGGCAGATGAGCTCACGCGCACCATCAACCGTGGTGCATGTTGGGGGATCACTGCCGTTCTTGCCCTTACGCTGCCGCCCTCGTCACCAACGTCTACTGCCGCCGCCCTTGAACGGCGTGACCCCCGCTCGCTGTCACGCGTGCAACACGCCGCCCCTCCAACCGTCGTGAAATCCGTCGTGGATCTCGGCGGTCTTTGAACCGCCTTTCGCTGCATTGTTGATCGTGGCGCTCTGCTTCATAAGGGGCGGCCACATCGTCTTCGTCGCCATCATCCCACCTTAGTTTACGACTACCGTGGTGCCCTTGTGCGGCCCTGAGTAGGGCTGCCCAGATGTTCCCGGAGGGCCAAAGCTCGAGGCCGAGGGCAAGGTGCCACGTGGCGCTGGCCACCCACCCCCTCGTGTGCTGAGCCAGCCTTTGTAGGTGACAGCACTTGCCCCAACAGTCCGTTGAAAGCTATCGGGGGATCTTTGCCCTTTTTACATATTTGTTTTTGTGCTTTCTCTCCTAATGTGCCGCAGGGGTTGCCTGGCCTGCGAGGAGAACCTGGAATTCCTGGAGCAGTGGGGCCACCGGGAACTCCGGGAATCAACGTGAGTTTATTTGGACGTCAACGATGATACGAGACGCAGACCCATTGACGAGGTCTCGCTTCGGTCACGTCGACAGCGCGGCTCAAACAATGTGGCCAAAATGCACGTGGCCGCCGTGCTGCTCAGGAAAAAGGGGGGCTTTGTAGTCCGTACATTGAACTTCTTTCGCGCCGTACGTAGCCACCTGTGCCGATTTGGAGTAACTCATCGGCACCATCATCAGGAAAAACTGTCATCGTTGTCGTTTTTGTCAAATTCATCGGCAGTAGCGTCGACTACAAGATTTGCCTCAGTGCCTCGACTTTTGGCCGTCCACCGTATTTCTGTTCGCGAGCATTGCTCAGCACTCCGGCTCGCAAGAGGGCTTTCTGCAGCAGCAGCAGCAGCAGCAGCCGCACCTCCGATTAACACGGTTGGCTACGTACGGCGCGACAGAAGCTCAACGTAAATACGCACGTACACAGAGAGCGACTCTGAACCTCCTCTTCGACACCAACTGCCAGGTGTCGTTTCGTTTCACCGTGGGTGCCCCCCCACGCCCCCCCCCCCCCCCGTGTCTCTGCCCGCTCTCGTGGCCCCGCACCGCAGCTCACGGTGGATTTGTCCCTGCAGCGATGCTCACAGCCTCCCCGAGAGAAGCAGCACCGTTACCACCGGGCGTCGTTTTTCTCCGTGGGAACCCACTGCCGTCTGAAACGCCATCCCGCTGTGCTTTCGCTATGACAGCAGCAACAGCAGCGTTCAATTCTGCACCGAATTCGAAGAGACACTTTAAGATTCTCACCTCCTCTATCCCCTGGCTTTCGAACGACGCACTGAGACAGCGCTACACGCCTCAGAGTCACGGTCATTTGCGTCCACTGAAATATTGTACGTGATACAAATTGTATTTGTATTATTGTCTCCAATTCAGGCAAAGGGTTGGTGGATTACATAACGCTGCCCTAAGAGAGGGCCATTGCCATAAATGGCCCTGCTTTTATATGATTGCCTTGTTTAATTGTTGTTTGTCATCAGGGGAAAGCGGGAGAAGATGGAAAACCCGGTGAACCTGGAAAAGATGTGAGTGCTGCCCTCCTTGAACATTCCCATGATGTCATTAGACCTCTTTTGCCAGTACCAAAATGTAATAATATGGTTTTTCCCCTTTTTTCTGGCAACAAAACTGAAACCTTTTTACGAGGATTCATGTCTGCATTAACCACAATACCTGCAGTCAAAATGCAAACCAAAAAAATACTATGATAATATATGCATTGTCCTTGAAACTGATTGCTCCACACCAAGGGACGGCTTTCTTTTGAGCCTCAATCCAAATGGTGCTCGACTAAACCGATCGGTTTGAAATCATGAGGGTCACGAGGTCAACTCAGCCGATCATCATCTTTCTTAGGTGCATAAAATGCGTACCCAAGGCAGCAGTGGCTCTCCTATGCAGTCGTTCAATCCCCTTGCCATAGAAACGTGGAATTTCCACCACTGCTCCATAGTCATAGGGAAGTTTCATGGACCGGGCAACCTCGACAAACTCCACTGAGCATTGCCTCGTGACATTGTGTGGCAGTCGTGGCATTGCCGGCGTCGCGCTGCGTGCGTGTGGCGTGCAGGGTGCTGAAGGGAGCCCCGGTGAAGATGGGAAAAAGGTGAAGCCTGCACGTTCCTCCGCGTCGCCACCGCATTTGCATTTCAATTGCACTGCAATTCGCGCCGCTGTCGCATCGCCTTGCCGCCACGACGCACGCCGTCGCGTTCCGGCGTGCGGCTTGTTGCGGCGCATCGCGTTCTGTTGCGCCGAGCAAACCTTGACTCTTTCCGCTGCAGTGCTTCCAGATGCATTGCGGTGCCTACACTCGCATCGCACCGGACGCATTTCGTTGCAGCGGGTTGCAATCACGTCTCGCCGCGTGTGCCATTACAACGCGATGGCATTGCCTCGCATTGACCCGCGGCGCATTGTTCCCACTGCACTGCATTAATTTGTCCCGCATATTGCATTGGCCCCTTCCCATTGCATTGCCTCCCCGAGTCACGTTGCCCGTGTTCATTTGCTCTGTGCTGTATTTATTTCGACCGTTCCGTCGTCTGTTTCCAGCGCGTTTCAATAATTCTGTTAAACTGCATTGCATCCTTCTCTCCGTATTGTATTAGCCATCGCGTTGTCTCTCCGCTACACTATTCTTTTCACTGCACTCCACCGGCTTCCTGTCAGGTCTGGGATTCGTTTTAATATTGCAGAGATTTTTTTTATGAATTCATGATGGGCCTTCCCCTGCCTCCTAACCTCTCTTCTCTCTCTCTCATCTCACTCTGCTCCCCCTCCACCCTCTCTCTTAGCTCTCCCTTCTCTCTCTCATCTCACTCTGATCCCCCCCTACCCTCTCTCTTAGCTCTCCCTTCTCTCTCTCTCATCTCACTCTGATCCCCCTCCACACTCTCTTTTAGCTCTCTTTTCTCTCTCTCATCTCACTCTGATCCCCCTCCACCCTCTCTTTTAGCTCTCTCTTCTCTCTCTCATCTCACTCTGATCCCCCTCCACCCTCTCTCTTAGCTCTCTTCTCTCTCTCTCTCATCTCAATCTGCTCCCCCTCCACACTCTCCCTTCTCTCTCATCTCACTCTGCTTCCCCTCCACACTCTCCTAGCTCTCCTCTCTTCCCTCTCTCTCATCTCACTCGACTCTCCGGCACACTGTCTCCGCTCCAGCAATCAAGGCCGCCCGCAGACAGTCACCCACAGGCAAACTTCATTCAGTGGGAGCATCGCTCCTTTTGCGGCCTCTGCTCCCGAAGTCTAGAATTCTCTTACCGCTTCAACTTCGTGCAGTTAAGACGCGGCTGCCCTTGCGTGCAAATGATTACTTAAGACCCCCATCTATTTTCGTTGTGCATAGAGCTAATAATCGTTATTTTACTTTGTGTTTTTTTATTCCCCCTGTGAAACGTCTTGAGATGCAGTTGTATGTAGACGCTGTACGAATGTGAAATAATTTTATAATTTGCTGTGCCTCTTATGATCGCATTGTGCTGACTTCTATTGCATTGCATTGCACGTTCTGGCATTGCGTTGCCTCTAAGCAATTAAGTTCTGATTTGGTTTCATCGCATTGCTTCTTGATTGTTAATGCCTTCATTAATTGTCATAAAGTAAGCATGGCATCGTCTCTTCATTGCGTTGTCTTTGCCCCTTTGCATTCTATTGCATTGCCTTTTTCATTTGCGCTGCATTGGATAATTGCATTGCACGTATATTTGTATTGGCTTGCTGTGTCCCATCGCTGTGTGTTTCCAATAGGAACATTCCATCGTATAGCATTGCAATCTGTATTAACGAATTATGTCGCCTTCAGGGGGACAAGGGGGAGACCGGCACGCCGGGGCGAGATGTAAGTACATTGTATACAAGTAGAATAGTGCACTTTGCCATGCCCATTCGTGACCAGTTGATGTCCCATGAATATACTGACCACCAGCATAGGAATGTGGAATTTTCACCGCTGGCTCAGGGCCATAAATGGATATCCGTGCTGGCCAATTTTCATTCATGCAGGTACACTCTCTAACTTGCTGCTTTAAATTGGCTCCAGTGACTCATTGAAAAAAATGGCCACATCACCCCTCTACTAGCAGGCTATTGTCCACTTGCGCGCCGGTGCTGTGTTTATCATTGTGTGCACAGGGACAGCTGCCATCAGGGCGTCCCCAAGGCAAAACAAAATACCTGTGCTTTGAGATGTTTTCTTTTTACTCCATGGGTGCAATGTATATATGCAAGCTGTTGTTGATGAGTGCCACAATTGATCAAACTTTGACATCCAGCTGTCGTGGCAGCGCATTGATTGGGCTCTCGGTCAGCCTAGGCCTATCAAACCTGTGCGGTTGACTGCAATGAAGTTCAACACAACGCCGGTGCCCAAATCAATCCCTGCCACCTGAGATGCGGAAGCCAATTCCCGAGACTGCCCCGGGGGTCAAACCCGGCACAGGTGGCAACGCTGGCGTTGATGGAACAGCTCTCTTGCCTTGTGACTGTAGGGCAGGGATGGCTCCAAAGGTGAACGGGGAGAGGTGGGATCCCCAGGAACTCAAGGAATCCCGGGTTTCACTGGACCAGCAGGACCCCCAGGGCAGGTGAGTACCCTGGGTAGTCGACGACGATGATGATGATGCTTGGTATAGATGACTCATAGTGGCGGTGACGCGGCCCAGCGATAGGTAGCGTGGTCACTGGCGGGGGGGTAGGGGTGTAAACCGCGGTGGGCGCTAAAGTCCCCCGTGGCGTCACTGAGTGGGCAATCGCGCGCCGGCGTCAGGGTTAAAATTTGATCAATTACGCGGAAATTATTCCACTGGGATTAGACTCACATCAACAATCATCTCCCGCCTCCCCGCCACCTCCCACTTACTGGTAGACGAATGCCTGCTTGCAGGCCAGGTGCTAAGTCACCGTGTGCCCGCAGGGATAGCTGCCACTGTGGGGCGAGATGCGATGTAAGTCGCTTATCGCGTTGTTAAAGCATTCTGAGACGCCCCGGCTTAGAGGGGCGTCTGTCAAAAAACAAATCGTTATCGCCGCGACGCCCCGGTGCTTTCTCTCCCAGCACTAGCCCCTACATTCGGGAATCCCTCTCCTCTTCGTCTGCCTTCGTAAGTCCTCTCCGTCATCGCCTTAATGCCAAAGGTGACACCGTATGATCGGCGAGCCTCGTCAGCTCGTCCACGGCTCACCTCCGACCCCACACGTCTCTGCCTCCGGACGCAAAGCCTCTCTGGCTCCGACAGCGTCGGCACCAGTGAGATCCAGTGGTCCACGGTGAGTTTAGGCGATGGACCAAGTCTCCCCTGCGCTTAGCAGGGAACTTCCTGGCACGGCCGTCAACACAGCTGCTGCACCCTCCGCCGCTAGTTCAGGCTCTGCCATAGGTCCTGCTACTCGCTGACCGGAAACTAGATCGCCCGGCCAAAGGCCTTTGACAACAATCGTGAGATCATGCGGGTTCCAGAACGGAGCCCACTTCACCTTCGTCTGCCACTTTTTGGGCGTTCGCTTCCTTCCTTCTGACAGATTCTGCACACGTTTCACAGTTGACAAGCTGGTGTCCTAGGTCGCTCTTACAGTTTCATCATGATCATCGCCACCACCATTATTGCCGCCACCATCGCCGCCACCACCATCGTCGCCACCACCACCATCGCCACCACCATCGCCACCACCATCGCCGCCACCACCACCATCGCCCCTACCACCATCGCCGCCACCACCACCATCGCCACCACCACCATCTCCACCACCGTCGCCACCACCACCATCGCCGCCACCACCATCGCCGCCACCACCATTGCCACCACCATCGCCACCATCACCACCGCCACCATCGCCGCCACCACCATTGCCACCACCATCGCCACCACCATCACCACCACCATCGCCACCACCATCGCCACCACCATCGCCACCACCATTGCCACCACCATTGCCACCACCATCGCCACCACCACCATCGCCATCGCCACCATCGCCACCACCACCATCGCCACCGCCACCATCGCCACCGCCACCACCACCACCACCACCACCGCCGCCACCACCACCACCACCATCGCCACCACCACCACCACCACCATCGCCACCACCACCATCGCCACCACCACCACCACCATCACCACCACCCTTGGTTGCTACCCTTGGTTGATTTTAGGAAGCACCCCCAAAATGTGCATCTTATATTTGTAAGAACACGGTATGTCTGAATTTAATAAAAAAAATCATTAAAATAATGAAATCAGTTTACATTACTTTAAATATACTGAATGTGGGATTACATTCGGCTACTTCTGAGACCTCTAGCATCGGTAATTAGAATCGGATTACTTTAAAATCAGGGGGTGCTGCTGTAGTGTTACGGGCAGCATGCTGGACACGCCCACAATCCAGAGGTCGATTCCTGGCACGGCGGCTGAAACAACGGTGCAAGTTGCTTAAATCCCAACACTTCTATCCACCCAGTAGAATAAATGGATACACCACGGCTGGTGGGGTAGAGTGTGGCTACTCTTACGTCGTCCGTGACTTTCGACCAAAGCGGAAGAGTTCAAATAATAATCGTAATACCTTCATTTCATATAGCGTCATTCACGCTAATAGCATCCTACAACATTGCTTTCAGGAACTGATCCACTTATATACACCACCAATGAGATCCTTCAGATCTTCTAATCTCCTTTTTACTATCCCGAGGTCAAAGCTACGTACCTGGGGGTGATCGGGATTTTGCCAGTGCAGCCCCAAGACTATGGAACGCGTTACCTCTGACAATTAGACGACGCGAATCTCCGGTGCTATTTAAATCTCTGCCTTTACCACGTAGCTGTGTGCGTGCACGCTGCTGGCTCGGTCTCACATCCCTGCTTCCAGACACGGCGGCACCTTGGGATCCCTGCTTGAGATGCGCCTTACAAACGTAAATTAATGTCATTATAACGCTGTACATTAATTACATATGAGCTTCAAATTCCATATACAGCCTCTACCAAGCAAATGAAACCCCCGACTACTCCCAAGCAAAAAAATAAAAATGAATGAACAAAGTAAGAAATGGCTGTCTCACAGCTCCCGTCTGGCGGAGACGTTTCCCCGCAAGCGACGGCTCAAGCGAGCGCCTGCTGGGCCGCCCCAGCAGGCGCTCGCACGGCACTGCCGCCGACGCCTTGCAGTCACGGACGCCGTCGGGGGATCAGGCGCCATCGACTAAAACGACTCGTCGCCCGCGCCCCCTTGATGAAACCGAGTGCACCGCGCGCGTGCGTGTGTGTTTGTGTGTGCGTGTGTGTTTGTGTTTCTTTTGCCAGGTTCTTATGGTGAAGGGAGACTACACTCAGACGCAAGGCTTGCCAGGGTCTGCAGGCGTCCCGGTAAACGGCAGACTCTTCTCGCCGATGTGAAATGCGTGCGTGCGTGCGTGCGTGCGCGCCGCGGTGACGAGATGTCAGCTACATCGCCGGTTACACAGGAGGTCGTGGGTACGATCCCGACCCTGACGCCTGCTGCTGTATATTTGGAGAATTATTCTCTCTCACCGGGGTCGTGTGGATTTTTCTCCGGGTCCTGCGTTTTTTTTTACCTCCCTCCGCATTTAGAAGCAGGACGCATTTCGAGTATTTTTTTCCGCTGCAAATTTCCACGTGATGATAAAGCCTCTTCGTTGAGCTATCATTTGTGATAGCTGGGTCGCTTTTGTACAAAAAAGAGATACAATAGCTCAGCAGGGCCTTACCTGATGAAATAAAAATAGTTTAGTTTAGAGATGCTGCCGCTGAACAAACATCGGACCGAATGCATACTCCGTATTAACATTTATATGAGTGCCCGCCCGAGTGGAGCTCTGGCGAGAGGTGGGAGTGGGCTTGGCTCACGTTGCAGAGGTCACGAATTCAAATCCCGGTTGGGGGCGGGGGCTTCGAGGTGGGTGTGGTGGCTCCGCAGGTCAGAGCGCTGGGCCGGCGCCGCTGAGAACCCTGGGTTCGACTCCAGGCAGTGACCCGTGATCGCCGCCGGACTCCCCGAGGGGATGGAGTTGATGGTGTCAGCCCGGTCAGCAATGACTGCAAAAAAAAAACATCACATTAAACTTTGGTTTTGTGCTTGATGTGGCTGACATTCCAGCTCTGGGAATGAAAAAAACAACCGTCAGTTTGACTTTTATCAGACAAACTCATATCCGAGTGTGTAGGAAAGTGAGATCCCTACTAAGTTAAGGATTAAAGGGTCTCTCGGATTATCTTCATGGCAAGGATTAAGCGTCTTCACAGTGAGAGGTTCTTATACTGAGACAATTTGAAAAGCGAGGTTAAGCGTCATACCAGGGGACAGCGGATGGCGATGAGAAGCCGAAAAAATTGATATCATGCAACGAATTAACAACGCGATTTACCATTTTAATAACACGTCATAACGGTAAAACAATCTACATCGCTACACTTCAAGTGAATGATGTCTCGCGATCTATAAACGTGGCGCGAGCCGTTGTTTTGAAGCGCAACGACTTCAGAGCCGCGGCGCTGACCAGCGCACAGTTTCCACGACGATGTGTGTCGCGCCGTGGCCGTAGATCCAAATCCACCGCTTCCGAAGTGACGCCGCTTCAGTGACTCCGCTCTTTGTGTGTGTGTGTGTGTGTCCACCCCCACAGGGCATTCCGGGTGTTCCCGGTCCAATGGGTCCACAGGTTGGTGAAAATAATTCGAAGACGTCGTATTTTTTCAACGGCAACAATTAATTGTTATTGTTAGTATTGTCATCTGCTTTAGCCGTCGTGAAGAAGGTGGGGGGGGGAAACATTTGTATTTATCGTGCCGGATGGAGATGGGATCTTGTTTGACATTGTGTGTTTGGGAATTTGATGCTCGTGTGGTGGAGGTGCGAGCGATCGATTTTCCTTTCTGCTTGTTGGCCCGCGCGCTTTTAATGACCTGTGTTTTATTGTCTCCTGCAGGGTGATAAAGGAGACGCTGGAGAGAGGGGAGAAAAGGTAAGCCTCGTTAGATTTTATTTGTTTATCCGTAATTTAATTTGTTTATGCAAATACTTTGAATTTTCTGGGTGGGAGTGGGGGGGGGGAGGCCATGGTTGGAGTGATTAGCGACACTGCGCCATGAATACCAGCGGCCTGGGTTTGAGTCCCCGTCATGCCTAACCTCCGTGGCAAGTGGTATCAGAACCTGTCCTGGGCCTCCCCAAGGCTGACTCGGCCATAACTAAGTACCTGGTGAGGTGTGCGAGTGTCAGCCCTGGGAATACAAAGGAGGCGAGGGATGGCGATGAGTCACTCCACCCTCTCGCATGCCGTCCTGGCCTTAATAGGTGTTTGCTAACAGCAATTGCCTCCACAATCGATAGGGATACACAGGGGATCGTTGTGTTTGTGTTCGTGTGTGTATCCTTGTATGTGGGGAGCGGTAGTGGGTAGCGGTTAGCGTGCTGCGCTACGAACCTGGCGACCCGGGTTCGATTCCCGCTCACGGCCAACACCAGTGACGATTATCTGAACCTGTCCTGGGCCTCCCCTAGGTCGACTCAACCTGAAATGAGCACATGGTGCGGTGTGTAAACATCGCCATTGGGGAGACAAAGGCGGTCGGGCGTGGTGCTATGGCCTCCCACCCCCTCGTCTACCGTGTCGGCCTTCATAGGTGCTCGCTAACAGCACTTGCCCCAACAGTCTGTTAAGGCTATACGGGGGATTCTTGTCTTTAGTTTGTCCTTGTACGTGCACGTGCATGGGAAGTGGTAGGCTAGCAATTTACGCACTGTGCTGCGAACCTGGCGACCTGAGTTCGCTTCCCGCACACCGCCAAACTCATCGGTAATTCATCATTTGAACTGCTTCTTGGGCCTGAATTGGTCCTGGGCACCAATGCAGTCGCCTTCGTTTCCAACTCCCGAAGATGTTCCCGCCGTGATGCCTGGTGAACGTTTGAGAGTTGATATTCTCAACACGCAAAAGCCCGACCTGGAAAAAAACTGCATCTGGATAGTCAGATGCATTTGCTAATCCTCTAAGGTACGGAACTGTCGTTGTTTTTTGTTGTTGTTGTTGACAGGGTGTGCCAGGACTTGACGGAAAGCCTGGCATGCAAGCCGAAATGGAGGTCAGTGTCTTCATTCAACTGCAACCAGAATCGCGATCTTTATTTATCCTGGAGGAATCCGATGGGCTCCGAAGCCCTTTTATCACAGATGCCCACTGGGGGCGGGTCGGCAAGTTAACATCAAAGCTAACGATAACAAACAAAACTATATGAGTGCAAAGTACATAAGAGGTATGCAAGTCAAGAAAAAAATAAGACACATGAGTTCAAGTTGCAAAACTACGTAAATTCCCACCGATTTTCAACACTAAATGCAAGGCTTGGGCCCAGGTAACACGAAACAACAACGACAACAACCATCCCCAGACCACACCGAGACAACGCACACACCACTCACAACACGTCCGGCAATGTGCACCGTCTCATCCTGGGTGGCGCATTCGTGACGGAGCGTTCGAACTCGCGACCGAGAGGTGACCATACCTCCCCACGATGCGCGACCGTACTTGCCCGCGCTGCCCAATACGTGTTTGGCGAAGGCGTAGGTGTTCGGGGCTGAGAGTGCCGTAAAATACAATGACGGATTTTGCTTCACCATCATCCGCTAATGTCGTCATCCCCCCGGCGGTTCGTCTCTAAAACCTCTTCTTACGCACGTGGCGGCGGCCGTCCCTCGAAGCGCTGCCCCGGGGGGGGGAGGGGGGGGGGGACTGTGCCGAGATTCTGAGGTCCGATGAGGTCGGGCTCATTTGTGGGGTCATTAGGTCACAGAAGGGAAGAAGTCACATGGGTCGGCTCAACCTACCATGACCTCTGGGATCGATAAAGTGCGTAACCAGTTTGTGGTAGCCGACATTGTTGTTGTGGCTGGCGTATGAAATAGCTTGGTCCCTGCCACAGGAATGTGGGGTTGGTGTAGGACCACCGGCGGAGTGGGGCACTTCCCCAATGCTTCTTCGCACGATGAGACATTCCCCCATTTGCTTGACGAGAATCCCGCGCGAACCAAATTGCGTTGCCGAACCCCGTCCGTCTCGCCGTTCGTGATTCCCCTACACTCTCCAGCAACAGCTTTCACGTGTCACCAAATGTATATATGCAAGATATAAATATATGCAACAGAAAAATATATTATTTCTAAAAGAAAATGAAGTAACCTTCTTATCGCAGATGAGCAGGATCTCTTTGAATCGTGCGGCCTGTAATAAAGTGTGAATTTTAAAAAAATTAAAGCGAGGATTTGTATTAACGCCAGAGCGATTTCATCGTTTTTTTCATACATTGTAATTCTCTCCTCTGGTATTGATTCGAACCGTCCCTCGGCTCCAAACTTCAAACCCACCAAAAATTGCAAACCCATGTCCTCGCTTGAACCCCCTGAAGAGTTGTTGCCGTGTCACCACTCCTTCAGGCTCCAGTTTACCGTTTATCCCGTACCCTTTCTGGGTTTCTTACACTTTTATTTCCTTTTTTAAAGTTGCTGCGCAATGTCAAGGACCTGTTGCGACGAATATCTAGGACAGTTGAACGACTGACATTCAAGTTTTAATCAGGTGGGAAGACAGGTGTGTGGGCGATTAACTAAACTTAACTAGTTTTTAATTTACCAGGCAAGGCTCTCTTAGCAATATACATGATAAGCCTGCTTCGTTGAGCTTTCATTTGTGGCCAGGTCGCTTCTGAACAAGGGCTATATATCTCAGTGGCGGCCCATACCTGGTAAAAATGGTTTATTTCCCACCACTGTGAAGCTACTGCAGACTTTACTTCTTATCTGTGATAGATAGCGGGCGCCTTCGCCAGAGCCCTTGCGCTATCAGACCGTCGTGAATACTGGATGTGCCGGCTGATGTTGTGATTTTATTTCGCAGGACCTGGAGTCATTTTTCCTCTCCTACGGGATTGGCGTGAGTAGCGCAGTTCCGTACACAACCGTCCGTTTTTGACACAGAGTCGGTGTAAACGCGCGACCGTGAACGTCACCGCACGCTCCGAACTCGGATATCGATTGTCTTTGCTGGGCGGGCGTGGTATAGCATACGCCTGTGATCCAGTAGCTGTGGGGAGGCAGGAGTTGGTGAATCACGAAGATCGTGGTTGCTAAGAGAGGGTCACTAGCTGTGCCTGCAAGACAGCCATTGGCCAATCGTGTCTGAAACAGTCCTAGGCCTATCCTGGGTGGGACTTCACCTCAATTGAGCACCAGACGCAGATTGTAAAAGTCAGCATTGGGGGAGACAAAGGTGGCTGGACGTGCTGCTGGTTACACCGGTGGGGGGGGCCTTAATAGGCGCTCACTAACAGCACTGGCCGTGAAGCTAAACACGGGCTCTTTGTCCTTGTGTTCTTTACGTGCGTGTGTTCTGTGTTCACCAGATGAAGTCTTTGAAGGAGACCCTGGAAAGGGGCGTCATCGATACAGGGGATAAACGCCCAGGAGATGTGGGCCCCCGTGGGGAAAAGGGCGACCGAGGGGAGCGAGGGGAACTGGGGCTTCGTGGCCCTCCGGGTCCAGAGGTGAGAGTTGAACTCCGGTTCGTTTAACACAACCGGACAGCCACAAGCAGCAACGGTCGTCATTTGTACCAGGTAGGCGATGACGTCACCGCGGGGGTTGTTCAAGGCTCGGTGCACTTTTGAGGGCTCGCTGAAAGGAGATCACGGGACAGTCCCAGGTGTTATGGGCTCCCTGATTATGATGATTGGCAGATGCACGCAACCTGTGCTTCCCCACTGTACCACGTCACTGTGATTTGTCCACCCGGCGCTCCGCTCGCTGTCGTGAGTGACAGGACACCGTCTGCAAACACACACAGACACACACGTGTTTGACAAACGTCACCTAGTGTCGGGGTGACCTGACTTTCAAGCGGCGTTCCAGAAAATGTTTCATTTTGTCGAGCAAATCTGCCCTTCGGTTTTTGACACGACCGCACCGAGTACTTTTCAGGGCCTTGAAATGCAAGTGACGAGCCATGTTGATAAGCACTACTCAACTCATCCTTACCCGGGCTGGTCGGCCGAGACCTCCATAGCGGCGGAGGAATGACCGAGCGAGGTTCATGGGAACAGTAAATGGCGGTGGTAGTAGCGATAGAAGAGCGATAAAGAAGTGACCGACCGCCCAGTATGCGAGTGACCGGAGTGAATCAGCGAGTGCCGAATCTTCAATCAGTTTGGCCGCTTTACGTTGAATTATTAATTGTAAATTTTGATTTTAAGCTTTCGTGACTGCAGGGATTCATATTCTTGGTTCTTTCGGTAAAGTCACGTAGAAGGGAAACAATAAAATAATAGAAATATAAAACAATAACATTTTCTTGTTGTGGTTTTCTCACACCTGATGATGATGATTGCTTGTGTTGCAGTCGAAACGTCGTGAGAATAATATTGTTTTATATTTGTATTATTTTATTGTTTCCCTTCTACGTGACTTTACCGAAAGAACCAAGAATATAATTACGAATTGTAATTGTGCGGTGCGTGCGTGCGTGTACGGTGCGTGCGTGTCTGCTCCTTTCCTTGCGGCAGGGCCCAGTGGGTTTGCCCGGGGAGCGTGGCTTGAAGGGCAGCCGTGGGGAAGGAGGTTTACCAGGACCCCCCGGGCCTCCCGGCTCCGTGCTCACGGAGCAAGGGCCCCAGGGCCCGGCCGGGTTTCCTGGAGAACCGGGAAAACCGGGCACGTATGGCGCTCCGGGAAATCCCGGCTTTCCGGGAGAAAAGGGAAACCCAGGCAGCAAGGTACGGCACAGACCCACAGATGGGGACGCTTGCAGTGCCAATGTCATCACGCGGCGCGCGATGGGAAAGGGGAAAAATCAATGTGGCCAGATGTGATGAAGTAACGTGGACCTTTGCCGCAACCGTTAGTGGTCTTTCTAATTATTTTTACACAACCCATCATCGGCCGCGCAGGCTTTCTGGCACAGAGTTGTTCCTGTTTTGAGACCACTTTTTTGGGATGCACTCCCAGAAGGCTGTGTCAAAAATGACTTTAGCGTTTTTACATGGCAAGACAAATATGGGAATAAAGCGCTGAATACGTCATTATTAACGTTCTCCACGATGACGCTGAACGAGGTTTTGTGTAATAACATTGATGCCTGTAAACATACCGTGAATTGATCATTCACCCTTTGTCGCTGCACCACTCCTCCTGTAGCAAGCCGCCGATTTTCTCTTCTTGTGCACAACAGCAGCAATGTGTTCAGGAGCTAAGTGCCAATGTCGAGGTCTGTTGACCACGACGAGAGGGCTTCATCAGAGAGAGAGGCAGAGAGTTTGTATAGTTTTGCTATCCACCCCCCCCCCGTCCATTGAAGGAGCGCAGACCACAACGGTGTACCACGTGGTCCTGAAGCCACTGTGGTCTGCACCCCTTCAACATATGGGGAATAACAAAAAATCAAGCCATCCAACGACTTATTGTCGTGCAAACTAAATTGAGTGCTCGACAAGAGTCTGCTTGCAAACTTATAATCGGCCCGTGAGCGAGTTTTGTGTAAGCAAGGTGACACATTCGCCGTTCCCCTTTCTGCGCTTCTGCTGATCGGCGCTGATTTTTCAACACGCCGGCGCGAAGCGAATGGCCTCTTGTCGTGAGGTCGTTAAATCGCCGCTCCGAGGAGAGAGAAAAAATAATGTTCACGTTTGCGCTGTTGTTGTGTCGTTGTGTTAATCCGGCGCCAGGGAGAAGCCGGTGATAGAGGAGAGCGAGGAGACATGGTGAGTTTATCGCCAAGAGCTTCTCGCCGCCCTTGAACGTATTGAGGCGTGTGCACTCTCTTGATTGTCCGTGCGGTAAAATGCGCTGTGGCGATTTGTAGGGTGGGTGGAGGGAAGTAAGAGACAATTTGAGTGCAGTGGTAAACGATTAAAATCAACTCGTGAAGTCGGGTTTGTGGATCACGCAGCGCTTACCGCATGCTACGAGGCTCAACGATGCACCGGGATGTCACGTGTCCAGGAAGTTGCTGATCTGACACCGACACATGAACACTCATGAACACTCATGCACACAAATATACACGCAAATATACACACAAATACACACAAAAATATACACACAAATATACACACAAATATACACACAAATATCACCCAAATATCACGCAAATATACACACAAATATACACGCAAATATACACACAAATATCACCCAAATATCACGCAAATATACACACAAATATAAAGATCCCTCCCCCCCATAGCCTTTACAGACTGTTGGGGCATAGGCTGTTAGTGAGAACCTATGAAGGTTGGCACGGCACACGCAGAGGGTGGGTGGCCAACACCTTCGCACGACCACCTTTGTCTCCCCAGTGGCGATGTTTACACACCGCACCAGGTTCTCATTTTTGGCTGAGTCGACCTAGGGGAGGAGGCTCAGGACTGGTTCAGGTAATTGTCATTGGTGTTGGCCATGAGCAGAATTGACCTCGGGTTGCCAGGTTCGTAGCGTAGTGCGCTAACCGCTGCACCACCGGTCCCCGCTTTCACAAAAACACACGTGCGTGCAAATTTAACACGTGCAGTAGTTTTGTCGTGCTGAACGTTACAATTCACAATTGATTTCCGGGCGAGGTCACGTCAGTGAAGTCTGCGTCGTACACCCTCCGATCGTCAAGAGGTCGCAACGCGTCAGGTACGACACAAGGTTTGAAAATGAAAAAAAAGCATTGCAATGCAAGACAATACAATTAAGTGCGAACAGATTGCAGCGAGTCAAGCCACTGTGTCCAAGTGAGTTTTACCAAACTTAATTACTGCTGTGTGGGAAGCCAGCGGTTTGTCATCTTGAAGAGGATTGACTTCTGCCCGCGCCATCTCCTCTCGCTTTACCGGCGACCCACCCCCACCCCCCCGCTCCACGTAATTCGTTTCGCTTCGCTCGCCGATTTTTAATAAAAGTCTCGCAACACCCCCCCCCGCCCCCGTTGAACTTGAGAGTGACGTAAATGAGCGGCCCGGCGACAGATGTCCTTCCACGGGCGGCGCGCGCGAACGTGCTAGCCGCCGTTACGTAAAAGCCGACGGTCATTATTCACCCCCCCCCCTCAAATCCTTGTCTGGGAACCAAAAATAAAGAAAACATGAAACACCACCGTCCCGGCCCTGCAGAGAAATATGGATGATCCGGGCTGCATTAAGAATGCATGCGAGCCCTCTTAAGCCATCGCTCACCGCCCGCTGCTTACTAATGGCCACAGCGGTGCACTCCTTTCCATTTGTATCTCAAGGCAGTTTGCAGACACTGCTTAAAACGCCATTGCCCTGTTGCTCGCGGCATAGCATGCCATCAAATCGTTCAATTAGTTGCAACGGACAACAATGCATCTTTTTTTTATCATCTCTGCGGGGCAACATGCTGCTGGGTCTCGGCGCACAGATGCGTGCGCTAATGTTGGGGAATTTACTCGCATCGTTGTGGGATTGTCGGAATCGTGGTTTCACAGGTGGTTTTCTACGGGGGTAATTTGTCAAAGCGTGCGACAAATTTAAAGACAAAAAAAAATAAATGACCGGCAGTTTTCTCAGTTGGGGCAATAATCGCTCCCTCACGGCTAGACTCATGGTCTACCTGCAGGCCGTCGATGAGCGATCTTGTCCCACACAGGGGCAGCTACCATTGGGGAGTCCCCCAAAGGTAAAAAAACTGCACTCTTGAGTTGTGTTGTTACGGCTATGAGCCCAATGGAAGCTCAAGTATTTGTTGAATCGGGCATCGAGTCGTTTAAACGTTTCATGGTTCTCTTCTGGGTGGTTGACCACAGTCTCTGTACACTCCCAGAGAGTTTAAACTTTTCCATTTGTGCATCATCATCATCAAGCACCATCAAGTACCCGCATCTGCTGCTGCCATGCTTTGTAGTCACGTGGTGCAGGGTTGTGGCCCCATAAGCATCCCGGGAGATCACAGCCGGAGATCTTCTGCATCGGCTCTCTCACGAGGAGGTGTTTTGTCTGTAACTTCTTGCAAACTCCATTCGTCTTTAATGATTGAGGCGTCCGAGGTTAATATAACTTCGCAAATAACCGCCTGTCAGCTCCCTCATATCCTCTGTGTGCATTGGCTGCCCCGCCGTGTTGGCGTTGTACAATGCTGCTGGTGAAATTAGTTCCCCTTTTAATTCATTTCCAAAATTGTGTGTAGGATGTAAAATTCTATTGAGTAAGTAAATTGGGCAGAAAATGTCAATTCCATACCACTGAGATAGCATTACCTGACACCCCTCATAGGAATGGTACCCTCCAACCTATACGAAGCAGCATGTGTCTGTTAATGTCTAGATTCGTGGACTAGGGCACTGCGTAGCGATTGGGATGTTTGTGATTTATAATTCGGTTTTGCAACAGCAATAACATTCATCAATCATGGAAGTCTGCAGAGGGTCATTTTTAATCTCGGAAATTAATGTTTAAAGTGGTTTGTGCTTTTCACAAGCTTATATCAGCCCTGATTAAAGAAGGTTATTGCCTTGGGACAAATTAATGGAATTATGTAAATTAGGGTGTGATGCATTGTGGTCCAATAATATTGCGAAGCATTAACATCTGTTACGGTACAGCTTGCCTACACCACTGTGACTCTTAGCATGGGTAGGCGAGGTGGTGGTGGTGGTGGCTCACGACTGTAATGCAGCACTGTGCAGGCAGTAGCGAGGGTTGGATGGATCACCACTCCCTTCCCCTGGGTGGAATTGAGGATCCGCAACCCTGGTTGTGCCAGCGCAAGGCGCTGCAGCAAAAATGTGGACCCCACCTCTTCCTTCTATATGGAATAGAGCGTTTCACCCTTGCATGCGTGGTCTTTCTCTTGGTGCTCCGGTTTCCTCCCAGATGTAAACACTATTCATCGGTCAATAACCCCTCAATATATAGAGAGGATCACAGAGCTTGGGCAATTGTTTATGCCGTCTCACCACATCAACTAAAAACTCACAACTATTGCCATCTACTACACTATTAAAAAATATACAAACATTACCAGTAGCGACCTGGCAACAAATGATAGCTCAACGAAGTGGCTTACTACGTGGACATTTATAGCAGCCAAATACTTGAAACACACATTTCTAAATGTGGGGGGGGGGGGGGGGGTGGAAATCAAAGGACCTGGAGGAAAATCCACGCGACCACGGGGAGAACATGAAAACTCCAAATACGCAGGGGTCAGGGTCGGGATTGAACCCACACAACCTCATGTATACCAGGCGAGGTAGTTAACATCTCGCCACTGTAGCGCCCCATGGCTGCTGGCTGCTGCCATTCCGGCTCGTCTGTGGTTCCTCCTCGTGCCTCCGAGTCGTTCTGTCTCTGTGCGAGAGCGAGCGATCGCTGTGCGGCGTTACAAGTTGTAATTGTTATTGTCATTGTACCATAGTTTTACGCAATACAATACAATGTATTCAACGTACAGCACATATCCAGCCGGACGGCGCTTTGGTTAGAGTGCTTGACGCGGGGCCGCAAGGTTCACGAGTTAGAATTCAGATTGGGGGGGCCAACTCGGACAACAATAATTGTCTCCAGTTTTAAAGATGTGTGTACGCGCGTCATCGCGCGTTTGCCGTGTACGGTTTATTCCATTACCTTGGACACCTGTGCAAACAAAATGTTCCATATCAAGGGGTTTCCAGATGAAATGTTTTAATGAATATGATCGAAAAACTTAATGTCATGGTTGGTCAAATGAGCACCACTTTTTTAGCATTTTCACGAATAGTGTGCGTATGTACACAGAACTGTTCATGACAATGCTAAAAAAGTGGTGCTCATTTGACCAACCATGACATTGCCACAGTAATGTTGAATTTCAACGACTGGGCCACTTGCTGAGAGGAGTGCCACCCCATTGCTCACTCTGACTTTGAATTTCGAGAGTAATCTTGTATTCAGATTGCGTTATTTCAAAAATGGCAAACGTGGAATTAGATTGTTACAATTGAAACCATCAAGAAATTAGTAATTGGTCTGATTTGTTTTCAAGTATAACTCGACTGACAGTGTTATCCATTCATATCTAAAGCACAGATGCGTTAAGCAGTCCTTAACGGGCTCTCATTTTGTCGAAACTCGAGGGGAAAAGGCACAAAATACCCCACTTCGTCAATACTCATCACAGTACGAAAACAGCCCCGGCGTAGCGTAATGAGTCATCTTGCATTCATGATTATTTTGTTATGATGAGGAGACTAAATTAAAACGGTAAGTTCTATTAGCCGGCGTGCTGGCAGATTTTCACAGGGACATCGGTTTTAAAAGCTCACACGCACAGGTGCACACACACGTGTGTACACGCTGTCTAATGAACATATGATTCATATAAGGAACACTGCAAGGGTACGAAATGCCCCTTTATGTGTTTCTCAATTACTTGTTCTTTCAACTGATGAAAAATTTATATGTGTATTGTGCTATCGGCATCATGTTATGAGATGAAAAATGTATTCCTTCCACCCGAATTAGAATTCACAACCTTTTGTTCGTAAGAGCCACGTGTCTATTTACCAGAGCGGCAGTGGCTCTAACGCCGTGTAATGTAAGTCAGAGATAATGGCACAATTGGGTTGGAAAAAAAATTAAGCCGAAGCTCTCACTGGTTGATGAATGCTCCGAGCACTTAGCTGTTGTGTAACATCACTCTTTTTTTTCAGTAAATTAATCAGATTTCTTTCCGTCTAAACTTTTATACACTTATCGTTCTTTAATTGCGTAATGTTTAATCACAGTTTCGTTTGTACTTTGATTAAAATTGATGTAATTTTCCCGTGGCACGTCCTTCCTTCAGCGTAGACAAGCGCGCAGTCACACTCAAATCAGCATTTTGTAATGAACTCTTTAGCTTTAATCAATGTCAACTTGAACCATATTCCACCAAATGTAATTAGCCGGCAAAGGATAATTATTTGATAGGCGGGGAAAGGTAGGGCGTTATTGGAGAGCATGCTTACTGCGAAATCAGAACACAAGGATTGATGGGGTCAAATCCCGTCCGATGATTTGTGGCTCGGAGCAACGGGATCAGATGGAGGTCCGCAAGCGCTTGGTGGATCGTTACATTGCAGGATCGTGAGAGGCGGTGGCTGCCGCTAGGGGAGGCCTTCATCCAGCAGTGGATTGACCGCGGCTGACGATGACGATGACTGTGTAGTTGATGGCAGAGGATTTAGGATGGGCCCCCGTGCACTTTCATCACAGCGGCCATGTGAGAACGTGGTGATAGAATGAGAAACGTGTATGGCAGTAAATGTGCATTAAACAATGAGACATGCGGGTTGATGACCGTGGGGACCATAGATGCTGGAGTATAGTACAGCACAACAGTGGTTGTTCCTGCTCTAAGTTGACCACAGCGCAGCCCCGTAAGAGTCTGCGACAGCTTGTTTTGTGCATGGCGGTCACCCGTCCAAGCACTGTCCAGGCTCCGCCCTGCTTATCTTCTGACGTGTCGATGAGATTGGGCGCACTGTGGGTGAATTGTTTGTTATACTTACAGCACATATTTATAAAAAAAAAGTAATGACGATTAATGTGTTAATGTGTTACGCGTGCCACACCTGTTGCAGGGGAGATCTGGTCCAGAAGGAGCCTCTGGTCCACCTGGGCCTCCCGGTCCTCCAGGAATACCGGTACACTGAGCCACACACACAAAACAAAAACAAAGATGCCCCGTATAGCCTTAACAGACTGTTGGGGCAAGTGCTATTAGTGAGCACCTATGAAGGCCGGCACGGCACACGAGGGGGTGGGTGGCCAGCACCACGTCCGACCGCCTTTGTCTCCCGAGTGGCGATGTTTGCACACCACACCAGGTCCTCATTTGAAGTTGAGTCGACCTAGGGGAGGCGCAGGATCGGCTCAGACTATCGTCGCCGGTGTTGGCCGTGAGCGGGAATCGAACTCGGCTCGCCGGGCTCGTAGCGCAGCGTTGCGCTAACCGCTACACCACCGCTCCCTACTGAGACACACGCACTCACCCACGGTTACGTCATGCGTACGTTAATCGGCAGTTCTGCTTTGTGTTTGTTTGTTGTTGACCGCATGCATTCTGAATCCACGTCTCTGCCCAGTGTCTTTCCCAGTAACTTGTTAGTCTCCGCGGGCTCTCGAAGGCCTTGCTACCGTCGCTTGCGCACAGCGCCAGGCGTGTGGCACCCACGCACCCTCGTGGACTACCCCAACCGGTGCCTCTTCCTGCCCGACTCAGAGCCCCCGTGGTGCTGCGAATGCCGTGAAAGGGAGTGCCATAGCAGGCGTGCGGATCGGGCATGAACAGTTTCCAACGCGACGCCCACCACGTCGCCTATTTCTAACTGCAGTGCTTGCCACAGCACCGTCCTGTAATTATCGGCCGGATGCATATTTTTGTTTTTATTTTCTTTCTCCGAATTGTGCCGTTGACGTCGCAAAATCCACATCTCTAGTCTCTTCTGCAACGACTCGTAGGTAGCCGCATTGTAGGTCGGTGTTCTTCTTGCGTGCGCGATCAGAGGACGATATCCAAATCAAACCAAATTCAAACGAAACTTGCTTTTTATTTTATTTTACCAGGTTAAGCAAACTGGAGCAACCTGGCCACAAATCATAGCCAGGGCCGGATTAAGATTGTGTAGACCCCTGGGCTACAGGTACTGTGAGGCCCACAGTAATATTTTCAAAAGGAAAACAAAGTTAAAGAAAAATAAAATTTATTTTTACAAGGATAACAACAAATAAAATTCAGCAATTCACAAATGAAATAACTTTTCACTTCATCTCTGGAGGCCCTCCAGCTGGCGGAGGCCCCTGGACTGCAGCTCCTAAAGCCTTGATCCGGCCCTGATGATAGCTCGTCATCATCGAAGTGGCTGACATCATCATCATCATCATCACACGTGGGGATTAATAGTTGCAGCCAAATAATCTTAAGCGCATGTTAGTTCTAAAAGTCGAGGAGGGACAAAACCGGAGGAACCCGGAGAACAATCCTCACGACCAACACGGGGAGCGAGAATATGCAGACTCCAGATATGCAGCCTCCTGTGTGCCAGGCGAGGGAGTCAACATCTCCTCACCACTCAACCGTCACATCATCGAGATCAAACTCGCACTTGTCGAATTCCACCTTCTCAGGGCAGACCTCGATGATATGGATGACTGTGTGTTGGGCAGTACACCCTTGTAGTTTTCTACAAAGCGTGTTCATCACAAGGCAATAAAAATGTAAATGTTTAGTTCTGAGAGCTGAAGTAATACAAATTTATTGGGAAAAAATCTAATATTTCAGTCACGAGGAACTCATTGCTGGTTACATTTGAGAACCCAGCTTTAATTACAGGTGGCTGAAACATGAATTCAAATTGAAGGACCTCAAGCTATTAAGCCGACGTTATCACTCCTTCACGTATCTGTCCCTCGACACATCCCATCAGACACGCTGCCTCGCGGGAGTGTATAATTTCAGCAGGATTGGCTTCACGCAAACAAGCTCCGGTGCCAGTTTCACATGCCATGGTCTCAATGAGCCGGCTCTTTTTAATTTGTTTTGTTCCAACGTTGCCGTCGCTGCACTCCGACACCGCCCTTAGCCTCGCGAGCCATACGGCTGCGTCGCGCCAAACGTGAACCCCTCTGAATCGTTCATTCATGGGAATTTGCCACACAAGACTGTTTGCAACTCACGCATATCGATGTTATGCTAATTGTACGTGGCAGTTTAATAGGGGAAGGTGGGTATGATGTTAAAGCGAGACAGTATTGTGTGTATGTCGTGCTTACGGTCCGCGCGCGCGCTTGAGTGTACTATGCACAAGTGGGGAGCTGGTGGCACAGTGGTTAGCACGCTGCGTTTTACAAAACCCCGGCCACCCGAATTGGATTCCCGCTCACAGCCAACATTGGCGACGATTATCTGAACCGGTGCTGGGCCTCGCCGGGAGTCAACTCGGCCTAAAATGAGTACCTGGTGCGGTGTGTAAACATCGCCGTTAGGGATACAAAGGCCGTCGGCGCATGGCGCTGGCCACCCACCCCCTCGTGCGCCGGTGCCGACCTTCGTAGGTGCTCACAAACAGTACTTGCCCCAACAGCCTGTTAAGGCTACGTATACGGTGAATCTGTTTTCTTTTGTATCGCGTGCACAGGCACCGGAAGGCTCTGGGTTGCTCCCATACCCAGGGGAGAGTGGATTCATGGGTCCTCAAGGACCAAAGGCAAGTGTCTCCTTGACTACACAAGCCCACTCACTCATTCATGATGAAGGTTTTTTGGGTTAGATTACGTAGGTATGAATGTATCATTAACCCGCCACCACCTGACACAGCCAACCAGGAAGGTTTGTCACGTAAACACAACGTGCAAATTAGTTACTACTTCAGCCCATCGGTGTGTTGGAAACGAAATCCACAACATTGACAATTTGAGTACGACGTTTCGCTGGTAATTACATCCAGCATTATCAGGCGATTTTGCCAGAATTGTCACTAAAGCCGACGTGTCAATCTCACCCACTCATTATTTTCTTCACTCATTCTTCATTGTCATTCGTTTATTTGGTTATGCATCTGTTTATTCAGTCGTGCATTCTCCAAGTCAGTCATTCATTCATTTTGTCATCCACACATTCAGTCATTCATTAATCCGACCAACTAATAATGAATTTTGTCCATTCGTTTGGAAATTCATTCATGTAATAGCTCTAGTTTGTTTCAAATCAATGGCTCCTTTCCCATAACCATTCTACATATGTAAGCATTTAAGTGCGTGTTTGTTTGCTAGTGTTGAATTGCCATTCTATGTGTGCTAGCTGTGCAATAAATACGCGTGTACTGAACCTCCGTGTGTGTGTGTGGGACGCGTGCGTATGGGGAGCGGTGGCGCGGTGGTTAGCACGCTGCGCTTCAAACCCGGTGACCCGAGTGATGATTATATGAACTAGTCCTGGGCCTCCCCTAGGTTAGCTCAGCCTCAAATGAGTACCCAGTGCGGTGTGTAATTTTCGCTACTAAGGAGACAAAGGCGGCCGTGCCGGCCTTCATAGGTACTCTCTAACAGCACTTGCCCCAACAGTGTGTTAAAAGCAACACAGGGGATCTTTGTCTTTTTTTGGCTTGTGTATGGTGTACATGCGGTGGCATAGTTATCCAGAGTACAGGCAGTGCAACTGCATTGGGGCCCATGGGCCAGAGATAACCTTGTGAATCATCAGCCTGACAAGCGGATAGCAAGGATGTGGGTATAGCAGGCCTCTGCAGTTCAGTCGCACAGGTGTCCGAGTCAGATGCTCGAAATGTCGTGGCAAGACAGTATACGCCGGTGTTCTTCACTCATTTTACAGAGGGGCTGCCACTATTCCCTGATAAGACGTGATCAGTGGGAGGGCCGCCACACATTTGAAACCTTTGGGGGTTTTACCGCAGCACGATGATGATGATGGGGGATGTTGTCACGTGTTGTGTGGTGTCGGGTGGCCGCACGTCAGGGGCCGCACTAAAGGCCACCATGGCCCGCCAGTAGCCCACGGGCCTTGCAATGAAGACCACTGATATAAGCAATGCAAAGGGCCAGGTGAGCATTGTAGATATGATTACGGTTGCGCTGGGTGGGACACGCGTGTGCAGGATGGCGAGGCGGCAGGCGGGGAGGTTTGGGGCGTGGGGGCGGGTGGGCGGGATTGCGGGGGGCGGGGAGGTTGTGAGGGCCGGCGACCAGCGGGAAGAGAAGACCTAAGAGCAGATGGTGGGAGACTGTTAGGTTGTTAGGTCAGCTCTCGGAGGTTGCATGTCTGCTGTCCAGCAGATGCGGGATTCGGCAGAGGGTCGAAAGCGTTGGCGGGGAGTGTTGGCATTAATGGCTTTGGCGGTGACAGCCTCTTGGCGTTGAGGTGAGTAGAGTTCCGTCCTTGTTGTCCTTGTCATTATCGTTGTTGTTGTTGTTGTTGTTTGCGTGTCTGGTTTGTCTTTTAGGGAGACACGGGGCCGCCCGGATTGGTGGGATCGCAAGGCGACAAGGTGGCTCACGCGCACGCCACACAGGACGCTCCGCTTACAAACTCTCCTGGGATATTTCACGTGGCAGTTTGTTTCCTTTGCGCGTTGGCTGGCAAGGCTTATAGACCGAATGCCTCGTTTGACGATGCACCCGATGACATCCTGGGATGATGCAAATCCACACGTGAGATGATGTGTGCCCTCGTTAGCTCGGAACTTGCCAGGTGATGTCATGAAGAAGTCGATGGGGCACCTGAAAGCGGCCTTGCGGTCGGAAAAGCATGAGAAGCCAAACACATTGCCGATCATCGCCCCCTATTTCTTAAGTGGCTTACTGCGGTTTGCCATACTTTGCACTCCTCTATCGACTTTTGTATTGGTGGTTGTTGTTGTAACTTTCTGATCCACCCTTACTGGACATCTGTGAAAAAGAGCTTCGTAACTTATCGGATTCCTCCCGGATAAATACAGATTCCGATTCTGAGACGAGTGCCCATTTGCAGGCCATGCTACTGAGTCACATAGTTCCCACAGGGAGAGCTGTCACTGGGGGTGCCCTTTTAAAAGTGTGCGTGCCTCTCTCCCCATGGTCGCGTAGAATTTTCTCCAGGTCCTCCAGGTTTTCCCTCCACATTTAAAATCCACGTGCGTTTACAGTACAGTAAAACCTTGGATTGCGAGTAACTTGGTCTGCGAGTGTTTTGCAAGACGAGCAAACATTTTAAATAAATATTAATTTGATAAACGAGCGAGGTCTTGCAATACGAGTAGTGTATGTATACGCTTTGTCTGCCGAGCGTCACGTGATCACAACTGATGTACGGGTGCTTTGATATACGAGTGCTTTGGATTACAAACACGTTTCTGGAACGAATTATGATCGCAATCCAAGGTTTTACTGTATGTGGCTGCACATGATAAGCCACTTCGTTGGGCTATCATTTGTGGCCAGGTAGCTTCTGAAAAAATAGCTATATAGCTCAGTGGACCTTACCTGTTTAAAGAGAAAAAAAGCTTTTAGTTCATGCGGTGAGCCGGCACCAACAATAGTTTAGTTTTAGTTTAAATGTCAGAGCTCTGAGATGCCCCAGAATATGGGGCGCTCTATCAAATTCAAAACCTTTTCGTCATTATCATCATTTACATCGGTGTAAGGGGGTATTTGGCCTACTCCTTCATGCTGCACAAGAGTCTTGGAAGAGGTGGGCGTACCCCTCGTCTACCCCACCGCCACCACCGCCACCACCGTCACCACCGTCACCACCGCCACCACCGCCACCACCGTCACCACCGCCACCACCGCCACCACTGCCACCACCGCCACCACCGCCACCACTGCCACCACCGCCACCACCGCCACCACCCCCACCACGCGCGACCTGCCAATTGACAAACTGTGGCATACGTTTCGATTTAAAGCTTTCGTGACTGCAATGATTCATCTTCTTTGGTTCTTTCGGTAAAGTCACGTAGAATGAGAATAAAATAATATAATTTTATTCTCATTCTACGTGACTTTACCGAAAGAACCAAAGAAGATGTGGCATACGTATTGGGGGTGGATTTAAGAATCTCGCCCAGTGGCTTCAACCGCCGCCCCCGGCAGATAGAATCGAACCGTCGTCCTCTGCATTGCAAGTCCAGCATGGACGTTGACCGTTACACCCCACCGAGAGCGCCCCATTGACTGTTGGTCGCCGTTACACACTGGACATCCGTGGACAAGGAGCGCTTTGTGGCTCGTGGGGTTCCTCCGGTACGAATAAATGTTCTGAAATTGCTCGCTCCGCTTTGTTTTCCTGCCAAAAACAGGGAGAGGTCGGGCAGAAGGGAGAGAAGGGAGACCGTGGCGAAAAGGGGGACAAGGGGAAAGATGGCGAGGAGGTAAGCGGAGTTGTGTTTGTGGTTTGTTTCCCCTTTAACTGATCTGCGTTAATCGATTTTACATTCATGGACAATTGCGTACATGCACGGTCCTTTTGTCAGTCCACTGCTGGATGAGGACCTCCCCACAAACGTTGTGCAGGGTCGTGTGGGTCTATTGATGAGACTTCACCACGCTGGTTAGCGCGGGTTGGTGAACACAGGGAGCGTAGACGTTGAGTATAGTATAGTACAACCAAGTTATAGTTTTACAAAGATAATCAATTCGCTGCACATGAGAACACGGTTGAACCACAGCTTCCTCAGGACACAAACGTGTGTGTATGTTTGTGTAGACTTACGCATGCATACAAAAACAAAGATCCCCCGTATAGCCTGTAACAGACTATTGTTAGCAAGCACTTACGAAGGCTGGCACAGCACAAGAGGGGGTGGGTGGCCAGCACTAGCACCACCGCCTTTGTCTCCTTAGTGGCGATGTTTACACACCGCACCAGCTACTAATTTGAGGCTAAGTCGACCTAGGAGAGGCCCAAGACAGGTTCAGATATAATCATCACTGGTGTTGGCTGTGAGCAAGAATTGAACTCGGGTCACCAGGTTCCGTAGTGCAGCGCGCTAACCGATACACTACCGCTCACGCATGAATACACACACACACAGGCTTAAATGAGTACCTGGTTCAGTGTGTGATATCGGCACTGGGATAATAATTCAGCCAGGTGTGGTGCTGGACACACCGAGCCTTCAGACGTGCTCACTAACAGCACATCTCCCTATATTCTGAGAGGCCAAGCAAAGCTTCTTTGTTTGCTTGCCAAGGGCCATTTGAAAATGTATTAAACGTTATGATCTTGGCATGCCCTTTGCTTTTTTGCATTCGGTCCGACTTGCTCCCAGACATTAATTATCGAGATATCTTGTCCCTGTGTTGACTCGGTGCATGTCTGTCCATTTCTGTTCATAAACCAGGGAATGCCAGGTGACCCGGGGGACGATGGGAAGGACGGCAAGCCTGTAAGTCAGCCGGAAGTGGCTCATTCCGGAACTTCCCGGGCTTTCCCCTCTCATCTCACTCTACTCCCCTCCCCTCCACGTGCTGTATGCTCCAGCAACCAAAGATTTCTAACGAAGTACCCTGCCTCTCACTCACCCGGTCAACCTTGGCTAAGTTAAAGGTCGCTCCTTCTCCTCTCCTGCCCCCAATGTCTGGGACTCCCTTCCCCCAGCGACCCGTGCTGTAGATTTCCTGCGCATGTTCACGGTGGCTAGGAGATGTTAACTACCTCGCCTGGTATACAGGAGGTCGTGGGTTCAGTCACGACAATGACGCCTTTATATTGGGAGTTTGCGTGTTCTCTCCGTGGTCACGTGGATTTTCTCCGGGTCCTTCCAGTTTTTCCCCTCCATTTAGAATCAACGTCCGTTTTCGAGTATTTGGCTGCTATAAATGTCCACGTGATAAGCCACTTCGTTAAGCCATCATTTGCGGCCAGGTCGCTTCTGAAAAAGAGCCGTAGAGCTCAGTGGACCTTACCTGGTCAAATATAAAATAGTTTATAAGTCCAGGTTCACAATCTTCCTCTTCTCCTCAGCCTCTCTATTTCTCAGCAACAAAAGTAAACACGTAGGCGTGCCTTCCTTTTTCCCAGCATGCCCCAGGTCCCACACTGCCCCCTTCTGCGGCTGCGTCGAGAGACGTGGACCCGCAGGGCGCGCCGCGCACAACTCCGGACCGCGTGGTTTGCGTTGCGTCACCGCGTTCAAAATTGAATGTTGCTCCGCAGAAGCCAAAAAAAAAAGGCCCAATGCCTGCGCTTCGGTCTTTGATAGGGGGGTGAGGACGCGTGTCGCTCCCTCATACGCACCCATGTTGTGGGAACCCAGTTATAGATCGAGGCACGCTCCGAAACAGGAGCACGGGGGGGGGGGGGGGGGGGGGGGATAAAAAAAGTCTTGTATAATGTAATAAAGCAGAATGGTGTTGCATGTTTTCTGACTCGTTGGATCTCTGAACCAGTTGGCCATGTGGTGAAAGCACTCGGCTCACAATCCTAGCCTGGGGTTGACTTAACAAGGATGTCTCCTGGACCTCGCCATGGGAATAGTGAATTTTTCTGGCCGCTGGCTAGAATGGGATGGAGACGTTTTGACATTGATTGTTACGTCGTTCAAACGAATGAGAAGCAGCACTCACCTCCATTGATGGTGCTCATCCGCTTGTGTTAATTCCATAGTCCTATGGCAGGTGCTAGACTCTGATATAGGACAATCCAATGGTCGCTTCCTGCAAAGCGGTGCTGCTAATTTTATTGGCCCCGGAAGGAGGATGATGATGCTGATGAGGGTGATGACAGAGATGGTTGATGCAGCTGCTACTATTTCTGCTCAAGATGATAATGGTGATGATGTTGAGAATGGCAATGAAAATGTTGATTGACCAAAATGATGTGAAATTGGTGGTAATGGTGACAGTGGTGGTAAATTGTGATTATTGATGATGAAAATTATGGTGGCAGTGATGCCGATGAATCCTGCCGTGGCTGCTGCTCATGATGATGACGCTTACAGCGGCATTAAGATGATGAGGAGTTTTAAGATGGTGATGAAAGTGGTAGTGTGATGATCATGATGAAGATGGGAAAATCGTCACGGTGACGACAGTCGTCACGGTGACGCTCGGCTGAGTCAACCCCTCCACCTATTTGTGAGTCGAAAGCTCGAACCACAGCGCCACCCAACTCCGTTTTAAGCGCGTGACTGTAGTGTACGTGTCTTCCCAGTAAACGAGCAACATCGGGCGAATGTTGGCATGTGGTTGAAACCTTTCCGCTCAACGTTGGCCTGACGTTACGTGTTTGCTGGGTTCTCACTCGTCTGCGTGCTTGCCGTACGTGCGTTCTACTCCCTCTGTCAGTCGCTCGCTCTGTGACCTCCACCCTCTAAGCCCCCCAACCCACCTCACCCCTTTACCTGTGCCGGTGACAACGTTCATATTTTCAGGGAGCGCGTGGCTTTCGAGGTCCCCCAGGTCTGAACGTAAGTGGCTGCAGGAAGAGCGGACGTGGAGGAGATGCGACGCGCGGAGAACACGCACGCGCACGCACGCGCACGCACACACACACACGCATGCGCACGTGCGTGCCTGCATGTGCATCAGCCCTCCTGTGTTCACAGGACTTTATAAAAAATTGTTCGAGCAAATTACAATAACAGCGAAATTGGACAGAGGCAATTTGAATAGGTATACAATTAAGTGCACGTGCGTTGTACGTGTGCTTGTATATACGAGCAGTGAAGAGGAGTGACAAATAGTGACCGCAGTGATTTTTTTGGTTTTTAGTTCCCGCCACGCAACCGTTGTCACCTGGGTTCGATTCCCAGACTGCGACGATCACGTTACCAGTTGCCAATCGGTGCAAGGACTTGTCTTGGGGCGCGTCTAGGTTTACTCATCCTAAAATGAGTACCTGGTGTTGATTGTGTATCTAAAATGTGGCACCTCGGTGGCTAGGAGATGTTAACTTTCTTACCTGGTATACAGGAGGTCGTGGGTTCCATGTCGACCCTGGCGCCTGTATATTTGGAGTTTGCATGTTCTCCCCGTGGTCGTGTGGATTTTTATCCGGGGTCTTCCAGTTATTCCCTCCGCATTTAGAAACATGTGTTTATAGTATTTGGCTGCTATACATTTACACGTAATAAGCCACTTATTTGAGCTATCATTTGTGGCCAGCTACGTAGCTCAGTGGGCTCTTACCTAGTAAAATAAAACATAGCTTGGTTGTATCTGCCACCAGCACTTGGGAGACAAACTTGGGCTGGCACCTGGAATCCAGGGCCACAGATGGAGTTGACCGCTTCGCCATCCCTCGAGTGAGCAGAGTGACACCGTGTCATTTCTAATTCATACAGAGGTCACCAGAGGTCGCCAGACCCGAGAGGTCACCAGTTCAGTCTCCCAGCATGGCAGTTGAAGCAGCTGATCCTCATGGCGGTACCCCGTGGTACCAAATAATACAAAATGGCAATTAAATATTTTATTTCTGAGACACTATTTTTTCCCAGGGATGTAATTAACTCCGCGACTGGGGTACCAATCAATCCGACATCAGTGCCACTCCACGATGTCGAAACGCAGCGAGGACGATTGCGCCGAAACCCTGAACGCTCGCGGTACGCACTGTAGCGGTGCATCGTGAGTACAGCTCGTCGAGATGAGTCGATTGCCGCATCGCCGACCATCAACAGACTAAAAATGACCGCATCACGGACATTATGCGAGACTCAGTGTACTATCATACCCCGGGGTACCGCCATAAGGTTAAATTCTATAATTTTTAATAAATTCCCCCCCACCCCACTGTGAGCCTCTGTTCATCCAGCAGTATATAATGGACACACCGTAGTTATTTGGTAGGTTCCTTGTGGTGGGGTCCAGTGTGGGTACTTCCGCTTCGACCAATATGTCTTGGCAGTGTGGTAGAGTCGGCCAAAATCGCCTCTGGAGGAGGCCCTTCTGACAGCAGGGGCGTGAGCGAGCACTTGCAGGACTGCACCTTTGCTTTCGCCACCTTCACATTTTTACAAACCATCAATTTTTACGAATTGGAATAAGTGAACATTTCAGCCAGCTTTCCAATTACAAAGCGTTCATGGTAAAATATTACATGGTAAACGTTTTAAAGCTGTGCTGTTAAAACACACATTTAATGTTTCTCGACGTTTTATTTTCTAACTTATCAGAGTTGTAGCGTTATCACAACAGATTAAAGGATTTAATATATATCCTGTGAATACCAGGGGGCTGATTCCTCAATTAACCCAAATAACTCGAATGTATTCCGTTACCCACAACCCCCCTTGCTGAATCTGTTGAATCTCTTCTGTCAGCAGAGCCTTGCAAGTTTTCTGCATAGAGAGATACCGCCTGAATATTAACATCTTTCCTTCCTTTCAGCATCAACAGAATCCCCTCTTCACAATTCGTATTTTAATTTTTTTTATATAAAAACACATTTTCAAATTACTTGATTTCGAAAAATGTTTTGTTAAGTAATCGCGATCGTACTTTATTTCCTTACCTTTCTTGTTGTTAAATGCGTGACAATTTGGCGGCTGAACCAAATTACTCTCCTTGGGGGGGGTTATGCAGCGATTTGCACCGCTGAATCCTTTTTGCCGTAATTGTCATAATTAAGAAATGGGAGAAAGGCAGTTAAAGCAATTTCACTTTGAACCGAGCAGCAACGTGCACGGTTATTGTCCTCTGGGCCCTTCAATTTACGTACTCGCTGGAAATCCACACGCCGTTAGCTCCCATGGTAAATGGCGAGCGGTGTCTTAACCCGTTGAGAAAACGGGTACCTCTTTTGCGAGAGACATCCGGGTTTTAATACCAAAATTATATTTATTTAAACGCAAAAAAATATGGCAACATTCAGGATTTTCCATTTCAATTTGCTATCCTGCAAAAGCCTCACAGGGTAATTTTATTCAAAAAAGATTTTGTTTTTATTTCCCCAGTTGCATCCCGGTGTAATGTCACGAACCGAACAATCCAAATCAGGAAACTCGCGAATCAGCAGCAGAACTCTTCGTGTTGTAGAATGACCCACGGAAGCAGAAATCACAGAGCTACCTCGGAGATGTCTTCGAGTGACCGCTGGCCCACACAGTGCGTGCCAGCACTTTCCCACCCGCTCTTCCACACGAGAGTAATGTCCATCGCTTGGCGGTCAAACTGGCTCATTTATTTTCATTTCTGAAATGTTGCCACGTTTAAGTGCCGAACCTAATTTTTTATCCAATTTTTTTTTATTATTATTGTGCAATCCCACTGAGACTTAAGAGTAATTTGCAGCACTGCCCTGTATCGGATGAATGGCCGCAATGCAATAGTCGTCCCACGTCTGTGCCTTGCCTTGACTCCAAATGCAGCCAGCACTGGACAGATGCGCTCAGGGTTCTCAGAATGGCCAAGTCCAACACAGCCGGGAAAACTGTGTTTGAATTCTGGTTTCAGCCGCCCGTGAGCAGCGAGCTGGTAATCTCAGCGTTGTAAAAAGAAAAACAATTTCAGTTTGTCGTATAATTTGACATTTTGCGGGGAACTCATATTGAAGGTGTTGCTGTTTCTTGTCTTTAGGTGACTTCAGAGGTATCTCCGAGACAAATAAAGTATACATTCGTGAAGCTAATGGCGGCCCTGAAGTGCAACACTTCATGAATGCCTTTCCGCTTGCTGTGAGATTTCCCAATGGATTATTTTGGCTCACGACATGACACCAATAGCAACTTTTGGGTAATGATTTTTACGCTATAAAATGTGAATTTTACGAACGTTTTAGGGGAAAAACTAATGGCCGCTAAATTTTTCAAATACATACCGAAGACGTCATCGTCGTCGTCATCGTAACAGTTAAAGAAAGATCGGCTTGGGCAGGGATGAAGGCCATTGGACGAGACTCGAGATTGAATGTCGCCTAAAGGAGGAACATTGCCGAGACAACAACCACCTTGGAGACGGAAGCGATGAGATCAAAAGTTCCTGTGCAAAATCGAGACGGATTGTGGCATCGAAGAACTATATGACGGATGGCGATACCGTAAGGGGGAGGTCTTCATCCAGCAGTGAGAAAGACAGTATGTATAGATGTTGAACCTCTTTCGCACCGTGCGTAGCCAACCGTGCTAATCGCAGGTTGTGGCGGAAGGATAACAAACTAAACGCACAAAAACAAATTATTTTCAATTCAGGAATGAGTTTTCAATCAGTGGTCGATTTGCAGCATAAATGCCTGTCACAGACAGACCTTCCCTTTTTTCGATCTCTCTTGCAAAAGACAATGTCTCTCAAAGCGTGTCTCCCACTTGCGTATGATTGAATTAATTTAACGGCTGAAATTTGAAAAGTAACTTGGTGAAGCTTTGTAGAAATCCGCGCATATTTTCACTGTTTTGTACCACGCAGACTTAATTGCGATCGTGCAAGGAATACAAGCGCTGCAAAGGAGGAGGAGAATGTTTTTTTTTTTTTTAACCTGCATGTGCATCTTAAAAGTAACAATCATCTTAAAGCCGCAGGTGACATCATTGTGAGCACAGATGGAGGCGACTCATTAGTTGGTTTGGGTGAAGAAAAAAACAACAAGAGAAATGAAGTCTATTTTTTTCTGCCTTTTTTTTATTTAACTTCCTGTTGCTGAATTTTGCATGACGTTCCTGCATGATCAGGGATTTCCTGGCTTCCCAGGAGCACTGGGCCGCCCGGTATGTCGCCTGCAAATTATTTATATTTCCCCCCTCTTTGTTCTGAATTAGATTTCACCTTTTACTGAACGCTAGAGCACTGCCAACAACAAGCCAACAGGGTGGAGCTCAAAGTGCAGCACTCGAGCTGGGTCTACTCAGCCCCATAATCATCACCACCACCACCATCGTTGTGATCATCATCAAACTCATTAGCACATTTGGTAAACGTGCCATTCTACTGGTGCAAGGCTACTAGTATCATAAAGCCGTTGTGTTGACCTCCCCCCGCACCTTCAATGAGCACGGTTGGCTACGTACGGTGCGAAAGAAGTTCAACATGCATGCACGAGTCGACACCGGCGTTAATTTCGCAGTCGGGAGCGACGTTGCTGTGAATCCCCAGTTGAGTCATTAGCGGGTAACTTTTCAAATTTGAACCGTAATGCTGGCTCACGTTTGGCGCAGGCCACGTAGTAGTAGTATTTCTTCTCTCAAGGTATAAAGGTTTCACCATGCACTGAATCTCACTCGTCATCCTCTTGGTCCACAGGGCTCTTGTGATTGGATAGTGCCTTGTTGGTCACCACCCCCCTGAGTCTGATCGGTTATTTGTCCAGGGTAGTTCCACCCTAACAGAAAGTGATTGTCTTTTGGTAAGACTGGGCCCCCGTCATAGGAATGTGGAATTTACACCACTGACTCAGAGCCATCAGCAGAAATGAGGACTGCCCGATGGAGTGTTCAGTTGAGCGAGATTATTTATCGCACCTCCGATTAGCGTGCAAACGAAGTTCAACATACACGAACCGATGTTTCCTGCAATAGTTAAAGATGTTTGTTTTAACAGTAATTGTTATCTGGCTGTAGAGTCTGAAAATGGCCAAGTCGGAGACATCTAGCCAACACTGCTGGATTCCTGGGTTTGAGTCCCAGCCACTTGAAACCAGATCCGGATTCTCCGAAGCAAATGAGATTCATGGCCTCGGCTCATTTACTCCCAATGGCGCAACATTAGAAAACCATCACTGCAAATTCGGTTGGTCCGCATCATTATAGCCCTGCCTCGTGAGATAACTTCGTAAAATATTACCGGCGGATTGACGCGTAGAGCACCACATTTTATTGAGCGTGAATGAGCACCGTTTAACGTCGCCTACTGTCGCAAGCCTGGAACTCGGGGTGCCGTGCTTATCATCTGCCAGATTGCCCATTCTCCGATGTGATCAAACGAACCAATGCCGGCTGTAGGAGTCCCCGAAACCGCTTTGTCTTGGTCTCGTAACAACAACCCCCGTGGAATGCAAATTGTCATATAATTGGCGCCACAGTCTAAAAAATATATATATTGCTTAACAAAACACTCGTATAATTGTCACCGTTCTTGGATTGTTTGCCAAGTAATTAAGTGTATTGGACATTTTTATTGCATTGTTCATATTACGGGGGGGGGGGGTGTTACGTTATTCATCAATAGAGCGAGAACAAAAGCAAAAAGTAGCAATATTTAAAATGAGAAAATAAGAAGTCGGTCATGTGACTTTCATTTCCGCAGGCTGGCCCGCTTGGAACAAACAGCCCTGGGACAACCCCCTCCCTCCCTAGCCTTTACTTGAGAGCTGTCGGCACCTGTCGTATGTGAAATTAAAAACTCCCCTTGGTCAAATCTTATCAGAGGGTTTCTCGTGAGCGTCTCCGTCTTCCAATAAGCGCTGCTTATCCGAATGGGGGGGGGAGGGAAGGAATTGTAAAATCGCAGTAACAGATATTTGTTTGCCCGCATTCAATTTTCGAATTGAAGCATCGTACTTCCGAGGAAGCTAATTTCTGCTTGGTTTACTGTTGACGACAATCATGTATCGGGAAGAAAACAAATCAGTAGGCCCTGTGTGTGTGCCGGCTTTACGGTTCATGTTTGCCAAATTTGAAAAAATACCCAAAATGTATCACTTGCGACAACATGGCAATCGACCCCCATTGTGAAAGCGAGCAGGACCCTGAATTAAAAAAAAACGTCTTGACTCTCTACTGATGTGCTCTCCTGTGTAAATAAATGTTAAGTGGCAAGGCACGTGACTGAAAGCAATTTAGGAGTTTGGGTTGCCTCTGCCTTAGAAGTTTGAAACCAATTGAACCCAGAGTAATTTGTCCAACGCAATTCTCTCGTACGAAGCGTGAGGGTTGTTTTTTTATCTCTTCCCCTTTCTCTCTCCCAAATTGCAAAAATATATATAAGGCTCGTTGCGGAGAATTTGACCGAATATCTCAACGCATGACCCTCCTGGATTTTTATTTATTTAATGATGCCACTTCAGAGAGCAGCTTAAAAAGTATACGGATAACTTTTATTTTTACATGATTTGTAACAATCCTCAGATTTGACATTTAAATTATAATGCACTCTGAAGTTAAACGTTGTTTTTGGTCCCTTAATTCTACTAAATGTGATGGTGTTTATTTTAACCAGGAAACTAACACAACTCTGCTGCGATTGCATAACCACAGGCCTTGCGTCGTGATATGCATGCATTTGCTGCAACACTTACATCAAACCCAAGCCACTTGCATAAAGCATTCACACATTTTTTTATCACTTTTTCATATCATTGCGATGATTTACAAATGTTTTTTTCTGCCAAATGTAAACGGCTGTTGGGAGGCTAATCCACCAACGTACACGTACACAGGCCTTTGTTAATCCACTGCTGGATGAGGGCCTCTGCACCCACCATGCACGGGACACGGGTGATTATTGGACCATACTTCACCACGCTGATCAGTGGGAGCCGGCTGGTGGACACGGAGGGCATATATTAACGCGGCAGCACGGCAATTCGAGTACGGCCGTTGATGTTACTGCACTGCCCATTGCTGCCCACGACATGTCCCCAGCGGAGCACCCTGATGCACGCTAAATTATTGTAATCGCACAAACGCACTGAGAAAAGGGTTACTTTAATAATAATAATAATACGGGATTACCCGTGTGTTAACTTTCGTAATCGCATTACAGTGACGCGCTGATTTAAAAATTACTTGTAACGGATTCCCCGTCGTGGGTTCACTGGCCGGACGGCACGTGCACCTCTGCCCTTGCGATACGTCGCGACGTGGGGAGACAAAGGCGGTCGGGCGTGGTGTTGGCCACCCACCCCCTCGTGTGCTGTACCGGCCTTCATAGGTGCTACTCGCTAACAGCACTTGCCCCAACAGTCTGTTACAGGCTATACGGGGGGTGGGGGGGGGGTCTTTGTCTTTGCTGCCATGTGTGTGTGTGACGGCACGCAAATTCACACCTTTTTATGTTTTTGCCCATTCAGGGAGCACCTGGAGACCTCGGCCCACCTGGTCCTGCAGTAAGATACATTGAATTAACAGCAACCTCACCACTCTATATAAACACAGACAGACATATACAAAAATCCCCCCCCCCCCCCATATAGCCGACAGGCTGTTGGGAAAGTGCTGTCTGTGAGCAGCACTTGTACAAGACAAAGATCCCCCGTCTAGCCTTGAATAGACTGTTGGGGCAAGTGCTGTTAGCGAGCACCTAATGAAGGCCGGCACGGCACACGAGGAGGTGGGTGGCCAGCACCACGCCCGACCGCCTTTGTCTCCCCAGTGGCGATGCTCACACACCGCACCAGGAACTAATTTGTGTGTACATACACGGACATGTACACACAAAAACAAACTTCCCTTTTGAGTGGGATTTTCAAAGGATATATGCGAAGCTCATTAAGTTGTGCCACTGTTCTAAAGGTTCTTGCAAGCAAATATATTTTGCTTAACCTTACAGAATATGAGAAAAAGTACACATCAGTGACACCTTTTCTTAAACCAAATGCGGGCCTTCCTTGGATCAACTCGGCCTAAAATAGGTACTCTACTTGGGTACAGTATCTTTCGGCAATTAAGGAAGACAAAGGTGGGTGAGAAACCATGGTTTGGACCACCCCACCGTAAAAAGGTTGCTGTTCTGGCCTTAATAGGTGCTCACTGACATAATTTGCTATCGCAGTCCTACCAGAACGAAAAGGGTCTTTGTGTGTGTAGTTATGTAGCTGTGTGTGGTCACGACACTTGCCCCAGACGTCTGTTAAAAACTATTCGGGGGGATCTTTGTCCTGTACATGTGCGGGTGTGTGTCTGTGTGTGTCTGTGCGAGTGTGTGTGGGGAGCGGTAGTGTCGCGGTTAGCGCTGCGCTATGAACCTGGCCACCCGAGTTCGATTCCCGCTCACGGCCAACACCGGTGACGATTATCTGAACCGGTCCTGGGCCTCCCCTAGGTCGACTCAGCCTCAAATGAGTACCTGGTGCGGTGTGTAAACATCGCCACTGTGGAGACAAAGACGGTCGGGCGTGGTGCTGGCCACCCACTCCCTCGTGTGCCCTTCCGGCCTTCATAGGTGCTACTTGCTAACAGCATTTGCCCCTGCAGTCTGTTGAGGCTACACGGGGGATCTTTTTTTGCGTGTGATTATCGGTTGTATATTGCCCTACCAATCCGAGTAGCCTGAGTTCGACTTCCAGCCACGCACAATACCAGTGGCAAGCGGCTGCACCTGAAATGTGGTCACCCACAGGGTGATTCAGCCTTCAATGAGCACCGCCGCTGGGAAGACCCAGACACCTCACCCACACGCTCGTAATTCCACACTGGCTAAATACCTTCTCGCAACAAGCACTGGCATGATACAGTAACACTGTCAATATATTGAAAGCCCTATTGTCTCAAGGTATTATTGAAGTGTTTCTCATTAAGTGCTGGGTTGTTGTTGTTTGTGTGTTCAGGGTCCTGCAGGTATTGCAGGTCCCCCCGGTCCCCCTGGGCCAAAGGTAAGTTCTCTGTGCATTTGTAGTGAGTTCAACTGAGTCGCAGCCGAACTCTTTGGAGGCAACACATTTCTTTAACACCAACATTGGGTTAACACAATAACAACCTATGGTGGTGACCACCAGGCTAACTACACTAATTACAACGTAACGAGCTACAACGGACCGGAGCCCAGCTTTGGGTCCCGCTCCACGTGTTGGTGACTCTGTAGGACGTAGAACGTAGATTCTTCAGGATGACAACAGCAGCCGGTCCCTCTCGGGGACCCGGCTTCTATCCCCTGTGGCGTGGCTGGCCCCGCCCTTAGCCACGGCCACCTTCGAGAACCCTCGAGCAGGATCTCGGCCCTGACACGTGACCACCCCTGGTCCCCACCTGGGGGCCCTGTGTAGACGTTACCGGTCACGTGTCCTCTAGGGTCAACCAGAGTGCCATGGCCCTTCGTAACCCCATTACCATGGCCGGCACTCTCGCACCCCATCCTGTAGGGGTCGGCACTGCACGCTGAGCGTGGTGCCATCCAGCGCTGTCTGTCAGCGCTCACCGAGCCCCTCTCGGGCCGGGACTGCACCCACATCCACGTGGTGCCCGCGATGTCACTGCACATTGAATTAATAGACACGCACGGCACACACACACAGGCATATAGGTTAATACTCCACGTATACAAAGAGCAAATGCATACAAACAGCGGTCATTCGCCACTCGGTGCCGTTGACGTGATCATCACGGTGTTTAGGCCGGGCCAGGTGCACTTTGAGGCCATCACGTGGAGTGTCGACTCGGCTGCCAGGAGATCAACGGGACAGGCCCCGTGTGTTATGGGTTGACTGGCCGAGATGATTGGCAGATGCCATCACCTGTGCCCTTCCCCGCCGTGCCACCTCACTGTGTAGTAGACGCTCCGCTCGTTGTTGTGAACGTCGATCCTCACACATACAAAGATAAAGACCCTCGCCCCCGTATAGCCTGAACAGACTGTTGGGGCAAGTGCTGTTAGCGAGCAGCACCTGTGAATGCTGGCACGGCACACAAGGGGGTGGGCGGTCAACACCACGCCCGGCCGCCTTTGTCTCCCTAGTGACGATGTTTACACATCGCACCAGGTACTAATTTGAGGCTGAGTCGACCTAGGGGAGCCCCAAGACCGGTTAAGATAATCGTCACCGGTGTTAGCCGTGGGCGGGAATCGAACTGGGGTCACTGGGTTCATAGCGCAGCGCGCTAACCGCTACCCACTACCCTACCGCCCCCCGCATACGTATAAAAGTCTAAATACAATGATACACAGACACCTGCTGCTCGCCGTGAAGTGGCGGTGACTCCGCCGCGGCTTGTACCGGGCTAGGTGCGCTCTCGCAGCCACGGCGGGAGGTCACGGCGCACAGTCTCATCTCGGGTCTAGCGAGCGCCTTGCGTCACTCCTGCCCAAGTGCCGGGCCTAATGACCCACTCGGAGGTGGAGGGAGGCGTGAGTCACGTAATCAATTCCTGCCCCGGGTCGTATCACCCCTCGAGGTAAATCCCCCTCAGGCATTCGACGCGTCAGCCTTGTCACCCACCCGGGCGCCCCACTGATGTTCAACTTCGGTGGAGCGGGGGAGGGGGGCATAGGCAGCTGCCACCCGCCACCGTCATTCCTCACCCCCTGTTGGTGGGGCAGCGACCCCACGGCATGGACTCGCAGTCTCGTCGATCTCACCAACACCACACAACTCCCAGGCTCCCCCGCTTCTTGCTCTGAGTCAGGTGAAGGGCCACTCAGCGCTCTTTGACGTCTGCCTGGCGCGAGTGGTGGACATTGTTGAGCGGTGATTTCAACGGGAAGGCCTTGTTGGGGCTGCTGGTGGTGGGAGGGTAGGTTGAGTGGTAGCGGATGGTGCATGGAGGGTTTATAGAGATGAGCGGGGAGAGGTAGGAGAATGCGTGGAGGGGAGTAGAGTGAGATGAGATGGGAGTGGGCAGGAGTAGGCAAACAACCCATTTAGGGGTGCTTTCTAGAACTCCTTCTAGTCCGAGGCCCATCCACCAGCAGTGACGTGGGAAGGCAATTGCAGGGCTGCACCTTTTAGCTTTTACTCTTAAAATTGTAGTGTTGGAAAGGTTGTTTTTTTGTGATCAGGATTTATCTCAAAATGTCCATTATTTTCAGGGAGCGAGTGGCCCTCAAGGATTAACAACAGTGGTAAGTTGTGAAAAGTAAAAAAAACATGCCTGCTTACATTGCCATACCATGGGACATTTTTCTCGTATGAAAGTATGAACAGTAAGTGTCGGAACACGGAGGCTGGGCCATGAAGAAGACTCTCTGGTATAGGCAAGTCAGTTTCAAAGACAATGCACACATTCATTATCAGAGCTAGTTTGTTTACATGTTCACCACAAGTACGTGCGGTTAATGCGAACTTGATTACTGGCAAAAGGTTTGTATTTGGTGTTCGAACATCTTAACGTCTGTTTTATTGCCAGAAAGGGGTAAAACCTATTCTGCTATTGCCATATCCTCCACATTATAAGGCGCTCCAGAAAGTAAGAGGCACCACAAACAACGTGTTCCCTCGTTGTCAAGAGAGCTGTACGAGCTGGTGCCACACACAGACACCCACACACACAGACAAACAGACACACACACAACAATAACACCGCCATTCGCCACAAAGTGGCGGTGACGTCACCACGACGCTTGTGCCAGGCCATGTGCACCTTGAGGCCACGTGAAGTGTCAAACGCTCGCTGGCAAGAGGTCACGGGGCAGACCCAGGTGCCACGGGTCGACTGACTGAGATAACACACACAGACACACACACACAGACACACAGACACACCGAGCGACTGACGGGGGGAGGGGGAGACACGTGCAGCGTGACCCAATGACCCTGAATGTTTAAAAATATATATAAGGAGCTTTACCCTTTCCGACAAAGAATAGAGGAGTTCAGACACCAATAGACACAACGATTGCAAGGTGTCACGTGTGTATGTATGTATATTGAACATCTCTCGCACCGTACGGAGCTAACTAAACACAAAAGCATTTCTAAAAAGAAATTTGTTTTCAATCTAGATTTAAAAGTGCAAGTCTCCATTAACCACAAAGCCTTGACAGACTGTTGGGGAAAGTGTTGTTAGCGAACACCTATGAAGGCTGGAATGGCACACGAGGGAATGGTTGGCCATCACCACGCCCGGCCGCCTTTGTCTCCCTTGTGGCGATGTTTACTACACACGAAACCAGGCACTCATTTGAGGCTGAGTCGACCTAGGGGAGGAAGCCAAGGACCGGTTCAGATAATCGTCACCGCCGTTGGTGGCCGTGAGCGTGGATCGAACCCGGGTCTCTGCCGGGTTCATAGCGCAGCACCGACGTCCTACAGCCATCGCTCCCCAGCGTCAACCATGCACGCTTGTGGTTAATGCGTCACGAATGGCTACGTACGGCGCGAAAGAAGTTCGACGTCGTGCTTGCGTACAAAACGTGCAACAGCAAAAACAAAGTGCCTCGATAATGTCGTGCGTCGTGCGTGTGTCCGACCCTGCCCCCCGGGTGAACCGATTCCTCATCCCGTGTCCTCGTCCGCGGTGTTTACTTTGCAGGGCCCACCTGGCCCACAGGGCGGCAGGGGTCCTCTCGGCTCCCCCGGGCCACCCGGCCCCCCTGTAAGTCTCTGGCGGCTTTAGTTTAAGTCCATCGACGCCCCCCCCCCCCTCTGTCCTTTCTGTCATCCAGTGTGCGTCGTGCTCTCGCGATATCGTTTGAATGGTGGGTGATTGAATGAATGGGCATGGCGTGTGACCGGTGCCGGGTCTAGGTGTAAGCTACAGCTTCGGTCTAACATTATAACCGTGGGGGGGGGGGGGCTCTAAATACGAATAAAAAATGCAAAGCTTAAAGTGTTACGCAATCAAATGTTGCACCTTTTTGCCGATGTATATCTGCGAATATAAATTTTTACAATTGCCATGTGCATTGACCTTTTTGTAAGAATAATGAACTTTTTTTTGTAATTTTATAGGGCCTCCTGAGCTTGACATAGCTCAGAGCCCCAGCATCGGCATAATCCGGCCCTGCCTATGACCCATGTCATCTACGACGCACCCGATCTCATCACATCTCCAAGGAATTAGTACTTCTATTTTACATTTATTTATTTGTAACTTGATTATGTATTCTTCGTCTCGCTGACCCGGCCCCCTTACTGGACACCTGTGAAAAAATATCTTCAGAGGTGCATCGGTCCTCCTGCAGTCTAAATAAAGATTCAGATTTCTGATCTCAGATGCCAAACACAGTTTGGGCCACACACTGTCCGACCACTGCACTCTCACCTACCTTTTGATGGATGGGTATCCGACACGCGCGGCAGGTGTTATAGGCTGCGAGGGGCTATGTAGTGGACAGCAGAGGGTGGTGCAGCAACATCCAATGTGGATACTGGACTTGTATTTTACTTCAGGGGAGGGCGGGTAGGGCGCATGAAGAGAAATAAGTTTCACCAAGACCTCCTCTTGCTTTCCGAGTTAGGAAGTCGAGCCACATGTCTTGCAGTCGCCCATTGTACGTGAAGAATAAAAAGTCAAGCTTGGTGTGGAGTGCCAGGCAATCCTGCACTTTGGAGTTGTGCTCTTGTCGATGCCTTGTCAGCATTGATTATATGACTTATGCCTTCTATTCACAGGGTCCTTCGGGTCCTCCCGGTCTCACAGGAAGAGAGGTGCGTACATGTTTCAGCGCAGTCCCTTTCGTCGAATTGAACGCTGCACCTCGGACATTCGACCTCGCCTGAAACCGTCGCATGCCTTTAAAGAATTGTGTAGAGATATTGTGAGTGTCGTGCCGCACACAAGCAGAAGACGAGCACCATTTAATTGAACCCGGTGAGATCCCACTGAATATGAACATGCTGTCCCAAAAGTGATGGCTCCTGTTTAATTTCTCAGTAATCATTTCATTTCGCTGTTACAAAATTTGAGCTGTTCAATTTTGGGAATGTCGAGAAATGTAATGAAGGTTTGCCAGATGGCAAAAGGCCTCCTTTAACAAGGCAATGCCAGGCTACACCATTGCAAGATTAGGCATGGACTGTGCTGACTCAAGAGGCCAGATCTCATCACCCTTGCACTTTTATCTGTTTGGCCTGCTAAAGGATGGCCTGTGTGGGCAACATCTTATAAATTACACTCGTGTGCACGATGTTTTAAATAAAGATTACTGTCAGCATCATTGTCCCTGTATGGTTACTGAAATGAGTGCGACTACTTATTTTATAATTTAACAGCCCTCGTCCTAAGAACAGACTGGGTCCCATCGGAGGGACGTGGAATTTCCATCACCAGCTCAGAAGCCACCGAAACACATCAGAAACGCATCAGAGCGTTGCGCCACACTCTTTGGAGCAAGGCCCCTGAGTCACGCGTTGGTGGTGGCCGCGAGTGTCTCCGCGTTTTACGAGCGTGCCACTTTGTTCATTTTATTGTCGTTCGTGGTGTGGCACAGGGAGAACCCGGAAAGCCAGGATCTCCTGGAAGAGACGGCGTTCCCGGAGTGAGAGGAGAAGACGGGACGCCCGGAACGATGGTTCGAGCTCACGTTTTACCCATCGCACTTCAGCGCACACTGCATGTGCATGTACTCATACGCGTGCGTGTGTGTGTGTGCCCGCTGCGTCTGTCTTAGGGAGCGGTATGGTAGCGGTCGGTTAGCGCGCTGCGCTACGAACCCGGCGACCCGGGTTCGATTCCCGCTCACGGCCAACACCAGTGACGATTATCTGAACCGGTCGTGGGCCACCCCTAGGTCGACTCGGCCTCAAATGAGTACCTGGTGTGGTGTGTAAACATCGCCACTGGGGAGACAACTGCAGCCGGGCGTGGTGTTGGCCACCCACCCCCTCGTGTGACCGTGCCGGCCTTCATAGGTGCTACTAGCTAACAGCACTTGCCCCAACAGTCTGTTAAGGCTATACGGGGGAAATTTGTCTTTGCAGCGTCTGTCTTGTGTATTTGTGTGGGGAGAAGGCGGTACAGTGGTTAGCGTCCTGTCTATACAAACCCGGTCGCTTGGGTTTGATTCTCGGCTGTGACTAATATATCGGTGGCAAGTAGTATCCGAACCGGCCTCTCCTTGGATCAAATCGGCCACATAAGAGTGTGCAAACATCAGCACTGGAGAGACAAAGGTGGTGTTCCGGCCACACCACCCAACTTGCATGGCGTGTCGATCTTGACAGGTGCTGTCGGCCTATAAAAATATATATATAACTAGGCCTCGTTGCCTTTGTGTGCACGCACCTGCGTATGTACGCAGGTACATACATACTAACGTACGTGTCATTTGCACAGCTTTACACGGACACACGCACGTATCATGCATGAATGTACGTGTCGTTAAACGTGTATTCATTTCAAACAATTAACTTGGAAAGATGCTTACATTTGCTGTCTCCCAGCATCGTTACTGAAAATGGGGAAAAAAACATAACAATATAATTATAGTCCTTGTTCCTAAGTAGAGTTTCAAGGCGCTGAAATTCTCATTTATTATGAATCCAATTTCAATATGAAGCAGAGCAGATCAATGGGACATTGAAAATACAACTTTATATGACTTCAAATTAAGGCTACGTCTCACTCGGCTTGCTTGAGGCCGAATTTCATTCGGAGTTTAGCATTCAATTAGCTTACAAGATCCTTGAGCCCAAATCCCATACGCTCAATGAAATGCTCAGACGACGTGTTAATTACTGCGAATCAACAGCCTTATCGGAGAGCGTATATTCATCTAATTCTTAATTATGTTTGCACGAGCAGTGTATGCAGTGCAGGGAGGAATCCTTTTCAAAACCTCTAAACAAAAGCCAATGGTTTGATCCTTGAACGAGCATTTCAGTGGCGAATATCTCCATTATCTCCTGTGTGCAGCCATTCATATGGTTGGAGCAAGTCTATCCATAGGACATCCGCTGTTTACTCCCCCCTCCCAACAAAGTAGTCCCTGTTTTAGTGAACCCCGGAGAGGAAGGGATTATGAGCTGATTCGACCCCCAACGTAGATTTGAACTCTCCACCTGCAGCTGGTACTGCCGCTGAGCCTCCTGGCCGGATAGCGATGTCTTTATAATTTATTCTACATTGCACCCCTTCGTTATTCCACCACTGGATGAAGGCTTCACCGTTCCCCCGTTGATTGGTCACGAGGTCTGCGGGTCACGGAACTATGTTCAGACGTTTGTCTACTTCGATTGACACGATCCCTGGCTCCCCCCACCGCATCACGAACCCACACTGACCAGCGTGGTGAAGTATGGTCAATCACCCCCCCCTCCCCCCACCAAGATTGACACCGCATGGCGGGAAGCCTCCGTCGAACAGTGGAATATAAATTGCTGTTATTACGATCATGAGATTGAAGGCACGATTGATGTGCGCGCATTAAGAGGGAAAGAGTGCCGTGGAAACTTTGATGCATCGCATTTAAGGCGCACAGCGCACATCAAAGCAGAATCGTCTTCAAAGTGCACATCTACGTATCCGTGTGCTCCATTGTCCCAGCGCTATTCTGTTTGACGGGTGTTCGTAAAAGCAAATTGGTGTTGTGTGGTCGGTGGTTTGAGCGAAAGGAGACAGACAAAAAAACCTTGGAATATTCTCATTCAGTAACCATGGGCAAAGTACATTATCACCATTGTCTCCAAGCTTCCAAGTGGTAATGATCGCTGGCCTGGCACTCACTTCGGTGACGAGACACACTGTGCGCCTAATTCGCGTGGTGAAGAAAGCTTACCCTTGCCAGATTATTTCAGATTTTAGTTTTTTTTCTCGGGCAGAATCCTGTCCGCGTTTCTCCGTGAGAACCCGACAGGGGCAAACGTGCCTTCGGCCTTGGTGGCACGGTTACTGGAAATCTGTAAAAAGAAAACAGCTTTATAGCTCATCGGATTCCTCCAGTATGCATAAAAAATTCTGATTCTGATCTATCGTGGCACTCGGACGTTGCATTTCGAGCGCTGCAAAGCTTGCATAACACTGACCGGTTAATGTCAGGGGTGATAGAAATATCCATTTGGGGTGCCCCGTGCGTTTTGCGCCCGTGACTCTTGCAGCACGAGAGCCGTTCATTTTTTTTTCGCTCTCACAATTCTCCCATTGTCCACTGAAGCCGCAATCATTCACCGATTCTTCCACCGAGTATTAATTTTATTCGCAAAATTACGAATTCGGTTATTGATGGTTTGTCATGCGAACAGAGGCACGGGAGAATCAATTGGAAAGAGGGAAAAGTCTTCAGATTCGGAGAGCTGTGATAACGCCGATGCGTGATGCAGTGACAGAGGAGGAAAGAGTGAATCCCAGATGATCGAAAACATTCACGTGATGGGAACTCTATGTGAGCCTGTATGAGTCTAAAAGTCTCTGTGTGAGTCTATGAGTCTCTAAGCGATTCTTTGAGACTCTATGTTAACTATGGGGCTCTGAGTGAGTGTTGGGGTCTCTGAGTGAGTCGAGGGGTCTTTGTGGGAGTCTATGGGCATTAGTCTATGGAGGCAGTGAATTCAGACGGCCGGAGCTGCGACAGACAACGAACGCTCGTCCCATCTGGTCGAGAAACGATGGGGCTTGACGAGGAGGGAGGAGCAGGGGAGGAGAGAGAAGGGGAGGAGGAGGGAGGAGAAGGGAGGAGGCCGCTTGAGTCCATTTGGAGGCAGCAAGACAAAACGTACAATGAGACAGCAGAAGCCAAGCAGGCCGACTGACCCAGGATGTGGAATTTTTAACAGATGGCAGTGATGAAAATATTAATCAACAAATAGTTGTTTTTATTGTAGTCAACGATGGTGATAGGTGGACAAAAATCGTAAAGCGTGACGGTGACTACGATTTGCCCACCACAGACTAAAGCACGCCTGGCTCTGACGAGATGAAGTTTTTTGTTCATCTGTATGAAGACGCAGATTAAGATATATATTTTTTACGTTATTTGAGGTTGCAGTGCTCCGAGGAAGACCAAAAATGGTAATTGACTCCAAGTGTGTATAATTTTTAAAAATTAAGTTCGCTGATTGCCTGACCCGGTGGTATTAGGAGGAGAAAATGTCTTTCTCCCTCACACCAACGATTGATAACTGAGTATTGCTTTAGTCGATTAGATTAAACTGGTCGAGGCAATTTAATATATTTTTTCTGGGACACTATTTTTTCCCAGGGGTGTACTTAACTCCGCGATTGGGGGTACCAATCAATCCGAAATCAGTGCCACACTCCGCGATGTCGAAACGCCAAACATCAGCATAACAAAATCCCTCGTCGAGATGAGTCGATTGCCACATCGCCGACCATCAACAGACTAAGAATGACTGCATCACGGACATTATGCGAGAGCCGGGGTCCCATGGTACCCCGCGGTACCGCCACGAGGTTCAATTGAAGGGCTGCACCTTGTCCTTTGCGCATATATACACAGGACCGTGTATAAAAATCGTACCTTATGCAGAGCCACGCGCGTATAACATTACAGTTGTTCATTTGAAAAATCACAAAAGGTCTTGGGCGTGCGGGGCGAAAATTAAAAGTGAAATAGGAAGGGGCCCGAATTAAATTCCAGACGCGGAGTCCTGAAAGCTCCCCAGGAGGAGTCATCTCATCTCCTCCAGCGTGCGCTCGCCTTGCCTTTATTTGCACGATAGGGCCCTCTATACACTTGCACCAGGCAGTGCCACATATTAAAATATCATATTTAATGTCTATTATTTATTTTAAGGAGGGAGGGGGTTAAATTTATTTATATAACCGAGAATATTTAGAGGAGGAAATTTACATGAGATAGGCAGGCCGAAGTTTCTCTTGTGATGTTTATTGCTTTTTGTTTTGTTTGTTCGGCAGACGTTGTGTTTGTAAAGATTCTGAATGATTGTGTATTCGGTGTGTGTGTAGCTTGCGCGTTGTGTGTGTGCGTGTAGGTTGCGTGTGTGTGTCTCTCTCAGTGTGTCTCTCTCTTCGTGTGTGTGTGTGGGGTGGAGGAAGCTTTTATAAGAGCATCTGATTTTGCGTGTGAAAATAGCCACCGGGAAGGCAAAGGTGGCTGAGCGTGTTGCTCACCACAATCACGTTCTCATGTGCTGAATTGCCCTTACTAGGTGGTGTTCGCTCACAGGCACTTGCCCTTGCCGATCAATGAAGGCAGAGCAAGATCTTTGTCTCTCTGTACGCATGGGGGAGGGGAGTGGTTACTTTAATTACTGGTATTAAATCAAGAGTGTATGCATTTATATATTAATATGTACGTGTATTCTTTAGAGGTAGAATTACGCCGCAATTAATATTGATTCTGAAGCTCCACGGTACAGCGCTTCGAACCGCATGCGTGAGAATGTATATGTTTATGGATTTACACCCGTGAATTGCAATCGCGCACGACGATTGATCTAGCGCGTTGAATGTTTGTCGGCGGTGTTGTTAATAGGGCCCTCCTGGTCCCACTGGTCTCGCCGGATTCAAAGGAGAACCCGGCTTCACTGGCCCTCCCGGTGTGGTAAGAGTATCTCGATCAAGGGGATTGACACCCCCACCCTTTTCCGTTCGTGCAGTCGCTTCCTCCCTCCCTTCCTTCCGTTCATCCGCCAGATCTCATGGTTGTTGCACAGCTCAAAATCAACCTCCAACGTCTGCTCTCACAGTCTCATCATCACCATTGGCATCACCACAGCCACTACTGCCTGGCTTTTGGGCACTCAGCACTTGTTCTAAATTTGAGTGTCGTTCAAGAACCTCTCTTACGGTATCTGAACCACACAGCTGTGTGGCTTCCCCCTGAATTAACGCACGGCTGAGACAACATTCAAGGCCCTCCCCTTACAGCCGCGCAACTCCTGGCTTCAATCTCCTGGTGTCATTTCAATGCCTGTCTCGCTAACCTGCCCCAACCGTGACAAATAACTTTTTATTTTTTTTATTTTCCTTCCTTTTTATATCCACACCTTTAAATGCATTTCGACCGGAGCTTGGCTAATCTAAGGCGAGAGCTCGTCCGTTTGATTCCGTGCTATTGCGGTAATGTCCTTGTCCACTTTTGTTTAACCAAAGTCTTACGTTGTCACTGCCTTGCCACGGCGTGCCAGCCGGGCCTATTTTTAACGGCTCGGAACAATTGACACGAAGACAACATCGCATCAGCGCGTGCCTTGAGTGCGGTGGCTTTGAGTTTTTGAAGGTGAATCTGGGAATCCTGTTTTGTTTTCTTTCAGTCTGTACCTGGAACGATTGGACCTAAGGGAGACAAGGTAAGGGCTCGTGTGTGTGTGTTTTATTTCATACAGAAGGAATCGTATGCAAGGAGTTTAAATTGAAATCGACTTTCTTTACAACGCTTCTTTGTCTTTAGTTTGTTTTGTTTCCCCCGCGCCTCCCCACCTCTGATTAGCGCAATTGGTGACATACGGTGCGAAAAAAGTTAAACATACATACTTCCAATTAGCAGGGTTGGCTACGCACGGTGTTGGAATATATGTATCCGTGCCTGCATACACAGTGATATAATTAGTAATTTAAAACAATTGGTATGCATGCCATTCTTATAGCCCCAGGCTATTGCGACGGCGCTCATATTTCACAGACACGGTCTGCAGTAGTTTCAAAGTATGGGGGGCCATGACTCCTATGCGTAATCCCACATTTGAGTAATTAGCGGGTCATTTTATGAATTTTAGGAAATTTGCTAAAATTGGCAACTTCCCACCGTGACGCCGGGCACACGATGGCCTGCTCATTTTGAATGACGTCAGGGAATCATCTTTGACGTCTGCTGGAAAGAGGATGGCGCATGCATCGTTATTACACTGCGCAGTATTAACTGGGGAGGCCCGCCGGTTTAGAACCGCGAACCTCTGTAACGAGTGATGAGTGTGGCCACCACTGGGTCCTGTCAGAGCAACCCCAAGTGTGCGATTTGTTTCACTTGTTGTTACCGTTGAACGATCCTAAAATATATGCGAGGTGCGTCTGATTACCTATTAACAGTTCCCAGATTTCGCACACAATTTGGATAAAAGGCAATGAATGTAGCAGCCCCCCAAAGTGTTGGTAACCACCTAAGTTTTGTCTCTTGGCATCTCCAATTCTGCCATCTGTCTTCATTTAAACCGACTCTGTTATTAAAGTCACGAACGGTTTTAAGTGTGAATGATGTAACATTTCAACACAATTGCTATTATTGCGTCAGTTTTTTTTCTAAATCTGTAATTGTGGAATGCTTTGATGTTCTCTGCCAGCCGAATCGTTCCATGAAAAAAGAGATTATTTGGGCTTTACTCAGGAAATACATTTCTGATTCTGGTATGTATACGTGTGCGTGGGTGTCTGTCTGTCTATTTGTTTTGTCTTTTGCCAGGGGGAGCCAGGTGATGTGGCTTTTGGGCCAACAGGGATGAGAGGAGAGAAGGGCGAGCGGGTGAGTTTCAGAATCGGAATAGAAATCTTTATTTATCCTGGAGGAAATCCGACGCGCTTCCAAGCTCTTTTTCACAGATGACCAGTCGGGCGGCGGGGCCAGAGAGGTCACACCAACAAACAATACAAAAGAAACAATAGGAGTGCAAAGTTGACTCAAGGTAAGCAAGTCAGTAAAAATAAATAACTGCAATAAATAAAGTATAAAGTAAAAATTGCACGAGTGCATAAATTCCTGCCGATTTTCCAACACTAAATGCAAGCTTGGACACAACAACAACAACAGTCCCTGACCACACCAGGACAACACATGGTAGTCCCTTGATACATTTGCACATTCAAATTGAACCATCGATACGCGGTGTAGGAATCAAAGTTACAAATGACATTTGCAAAATGTGATTTGTGGTGCGGCACTGAATGAAACCTGCAACCCGTGGGCCACAGCAGAAATCGGTACCGCCTGAGGTGGTAAAATATTAGCCGTACCGATTTGTTTTATGTGACTAACAACAGGAATTTATTTGAAAAGTCACTCGTTTCAAATGGTGATCACACGATTCACTGTTGTTGGACACTTTGAAGATACTAGAACCGCTAGGGCTGTTACCGACAAGTGATACATCTGGCCTGAGCTCATAGACCACTGGCCGTGATTTGAATCTGTTTCCTTCTGATTGTTTGAAATGAGAATAATATGCTTTATACCCTTTCTGGCAATTAAACAGGAGGTGTTAAGATGTTCAAGCACCAAGTCTGCATTAACCACACGTACTTGTGGCAAAACATGTAAAAAACATGCTCTGATAATATTTTCATTGTGTATGAAACTGATTGGCCTACACCAACGACAACCTTGTTCATGGCGGTGTCTCGCCAGTGTTTGACCAGAGAACGCCAAAAGGCGAACAGCAAGAAGACAATCCAAATATCTAGAACACTAATAGCTCAGAAAGGGTAAACAAAAAAAAACAATTCTTATTTTTCATCATTTTGGATGCTGGCAAAAAAGGTCCCACATACTGTATATAGCTGCTCGACCAGAGCTATAAGTGTTCTTTTTCTATACTCTTTGGTTCTTTCGGTAAAGTCACGTAAGGATAAAATAAATTAAATCACGACGTTTCGATTGCAACACAAGCAATTATCATCAGGTGGGAAAACCACAGCAAGAAATAGTTTTGCTGAAGTGAGAGAGAGAGTTGCCGTGGTAAGAGGTTATAACCTCCATGGTAGGAGATTGCTTGTGTTGCAATCGAAACGTCGTGATTTAATTTATTTTATTTTCTACCTACGTGACTTTACCGAAAGAACCAAACAGTATCGATCCCTGCAGTCGCGAAAACTTCAAATCTAGATTATTAGTTTTCTGTTTGTGAGTCGAGCACCTTGTTGAAGATCATCAAGGGGCTCTTGTCTCGGCATGCGTCGCTAACTCTGTGCCTTTTCTATACCTGGACGATCACGTGTCGTCAACTTTAGGGAGAAAAGGGAGACAAGGGACCGGAGGGATTCAAAGGCGATAAGGTGAGCCAACCTTGATATGACAATAATAACATCGCCAGGCTTACATCTGTTCCTGTGCTTGTTTGGTCGATGAGCTCTCGCTGCATGCAGGGGCTGGGACGCTTGGGTTTGTGCGTCAAAAGAGAACTCGTCACCTGAGGACGTGCCGCTGCTGAGTTTGTTTAGTTAAAGCAAGCTCCAACAAAACACGAGTCCAAATGCATGCCCCGAGTTGGCAGGAGGGAAGTTGCCACATTGCTTATAAACTCTGCCTCAATTGGCCTCCTCCTCAGCCTCGTCAAGCGCCGTCATCTCTCGAGCCGGACGAGGGGAACGTCGCTTCTCTGTCGCTGCTGCAATTCACTCCCTCCATAGACTCGCACAGAGGCCCACAGACTCGCATAAAGACCCAAAGACTCACACAGAGTAACACCGACTCGGAGACCCATAGTCTCACACGGAGACCCTTAGGCTCACACAGAAACCCATAGACTCACACAGAGAACCACAGGCTCATACAGATAACCACAGACTCAGAGACCCATAGTCTCACACGGAGACCCTTAGGCTCACACAGAAACCCAAAGACTCACACGGAGACCCATATGATGAATTTGCTCTGCGACTCTTCTTATCCGCCAAAACATTGCAAGTATTTGGAAGCAGCTTCGTTGTCCATTGTTGGTAAAATCATGGATAACAGCGGATAATAGGAAGATAATTGGGATTTCGCATGTTAAGGCAATTGTGTATATTTTTTACTTTTGGGGGGGTGGGAATGTGATGAAGTCACGTGGGAATTGCGAATGTGCCAAGCGTAGAGTGAGGCGATTTTCTTTTAATACTAAGGGTCTAGTTAGCCCCAAAATAGTGTTGTTTTATAGGGCATAGCTGGAGAAAATCCATGTTTTAGAGGTGATTCCTTTGTTATGGCCTTTTAATAATGAACAAAAGAAGAAGTAGATATTGAGTATGCTTTAAATACATACTGTGTCGTGATGAAACCAATGTCTGGGTGTTCTTTTGCCTGGCTGATACAGAGGTGTGGCCAGTGCAGTTCATTCAGAGCACAGGAGAGTTCACGCACGCGTACGGAAGCCTTACTAAGTTAGCGGAAAGTTCGGGAGGAGGATCAGAAAAAGTGAATGTGTGTGGAAAAAAAAAGTTGAATCCTTGCTTCCTTCCAGAATGCAGTCGCAGGGTTCAAATGTTCACTCCCAACCCAATACACGGCGTTCCGGCAACATTCCCACCACTGTTTTTCTCGGGCAGCGTGATTGAGTACTTGTTATTCCTGCCCGTTTGCCGCTGTCCACGTGACGCAGTATCGTGGCTTGTGAGTTTTTTCTTTCTGTCGTTATCTACGACGACGCTTTTTGTCCCCCCCCCCACCGCCCGCCCGCCTCTCGATGTTATTCGTGATCCGTCGCCGATGGCTCTTTGTGGCGGCTCACCCTCGGCCGCGTGTCGTTTGCTTCTGTTTGCCGTGCGTGCGATTCGTGCTGCGCGCACGCGTTAGGGTGATGATGGCGAAAAAGGAGATCCAGGAGAATCGGTGAGTCACGGCGAGCCTTTATCAAGACCCATCGTCGTAATCGTCGTCCGCCACGATCTCGCCGCTTCTGGATGAAGCGCCTGCCCAAAACGTCGCCATCGCTCACGGACTTTGCAGAGCGACGATGCGCCGTTTCCCTTGCACGCCCGCCGATTTCATCACTCCATCTCCACTCGTGCGCGTGTGTGCGTGCGTGTTGCGCGTGTGTGTGTGCGTACGTGTGTGCGTGCGTGTGTGTGTGCGTGTGTGTGCGTACGTGTGTGTGTGCGTACGTGTGTGTGTGCTGCCTCCCTTTTTGGCTGTCAAAAGTGGACAAGAGAGCCCCCCCTGCTCTAGGATATTTCCCCCGACTCTTCCACACCGCGACGTGGTGGCGAGTCCCCCGCCCTTACCCCACCACGCTCACCCCACCACGCTCACCCCACCGCGCTCACCCCACCGCGCTCACCCCACCGCGCTCACCCCACCGCGCTCACCCCACCGACCTGTGGCGGTGCGTGGGCGACCCAGCTGTGGGGCACACGCCAATTTTTGCACGGCGACTGAGGGGTTGGCGGGGGTGGCAGCGGGGGTGGTGCGGGGGAGACTTCATAGGCTGGCACCGTCGTTTCGAACCGGCGACCTCTGTGGAGTGCGCGCGAGCCCAGTTCGTTAACACCGCGGCGGTGGCGGTGGGGAGGAGGGGGGGGGGCGCCTTTGGCTTGTTACAAGCCGAATTAATTGACAAACCCAATTTAATATGATTTTTGTTGCCGCAGTCAAATACGTTCTGCTTGAGAGCCCGGTTTAATCAGCCACCTGGCCACCTCGCATATAATCAGGTTTTGTGCATTCTTATTGGGGGAGTTGATGGGGGGGCAGGGAGGATGGGGGGGCAGGGGGATGGGGGGGATGGGGGGGTCAGGGGGGATGGGGGGGGCAGGGGGGATGGGGGGGGAGGGGGATGGGGGGGGAGGGGGATGAGGGGGCAGGGGGATGAGGGGGCAGGGGGGATGGGGGGGTCAGGGGTGATGGGGGAGCAGGGGGGATGGGGGAGCAGGGGGGATGGGGGGAGGGGGGATGGGGGGGAGGGGGGATGGGGGGGGCCGGGGGGATGGGGGGAGGGGGGATGGAGGGGGCAGGGGGGATGGGGGGGCAGGGGGATGGGGGGGAGGGGGGATGGGGGGGGAGGGGGGATGGGGGAGGGAGGGGGGATGGGGGGGGCCGGGGGGATGGGGGGGCAGGGGGGATGGGGACGGGGGTCTCACGGCGTGGGACTCTCGCTTCAACATTGAACATCAGGACAATACCAGGGGCAGCGTATTATTTTTTTTTCAGGCTTCACTCGGCTCATTTCTGACCGCAACGCTGACCCCCCGCGTCGGGGTCATTCCATTGCCCGCATTGAATTCATCCACAGGGCAACATTTTCAAAGAAACTGGCGCGAAGCGGGCCAACGTAATTTCGAACAAAATTTGCATGGCGTAATGGGGGTTTGTGGCCCTTACGGTTTTGAAGTTATAATGGGAATGCGGGCCACACTAATACAACTTGTTAGCTTAATTAGGCGGCCAGGAAGGAGGCGTAATGCACCTGACAGCCGCACGCACGCAAGCATTGCATCGCGCACAACAATAACGCTGCTCGGTACGGAGTGATTGCGGACGGCCCAAGCATGCATTGCGCATATTGAATCACTATCTTCGCGCCGCAGTATTTACAATTAGCGCGTCGGTTATTTCTCTCTCTCTTTTTTTCTTTCTTTCTTGTAGGGATTCAAAGGCCAACCGGGACAAAAGGGCGACAAGGTGAGCTTCATTAACCGTGTTGTATTATTTTTTTTTATATATATATGTATCTCTGGCACGCCTTTGAACGGTGGCTGACAGGGATCGGTGCGTGCCCCTCGGGGTACTCGCAGCAACAAAAACACGCCAATGAGGCAGCTGCCAACGCAACGGTAGCCACACACCGGGGCGGCCGCTGCCTCCATTCCGGCGATGCGCGGGGCGGCGAGGGTTTGCAGCTACCTCCCCATTGTGCGTCGAGGTGGAGGCCGTTACCCCCCCCCCCCCCCCCCCAGCTATGCCAGGAGAAGGCGGCACGGCAACAAACGTGCCCCCCCCCCCCCCCACCTGCGCTCCGTCTGTGTGGGATCGAGCGTTTCCACGTCGCACGCGTGGCGTTTTCTCCAGGGACGCTCCGGTTTTATTCCGCACGTAAACACTCGTTGATTGCCTAATAACATTTTAATATATAGAGGACAACAGAGCTTGGGGGGGTGGTAATTTGGCATCGGCTCACCGCGTGGCTACCCGTTTCTCTGCTCGTCTGTGATTCCTCGCTTCTCCGATTCATTTGCTCTCCCTACGAGAGCATGTGAATACCCTGTGGCGCATCACAAGTTGAAGTGATGTTTTTACATTCTGCAGAGTGACGCTCGTGATTATTTTGAGTGATGTATTTCAACATCTTCGGTGAGCTAGGAACCACCATCTTAAAGAGAGGGCCCTTGCCTTCAGCACATGGGAGTTCACCAGCGGCAGTCGAAGCAATTCTCTCTCTGCCGATGAGACGCTGGATGTGACGACCGGTCCAGAATTTGCTTGTGTGGCATCGATGGCTGCCAAAATTAGGAGCTCTCTGAAGGCTGTGCAGTGGATGGACTGTGTAAAAAAAACTATTTTAAAAAATGTCGTCTTTACTTTGGTCCTATTATTGCTGCACTGCACTACAATCTCCGCTGTCTTAATTCAAATCCTCCCTAGATTCGAATCCTGCTGTCTGGAACTGGCCTGAAAAAAAATGCACGCTTGCTTTTTCAGTGCAAACATTAGCACTGGGGAGGCATTGGCAACTGGGCATATTTGATTCTGGCAAAACCAACACCTATTAGGGCCATTAATTTTAAAGCCATTCTGACCTTAATATGTGCTCACTAACAACACTCGCTCCAATATTCACACCACAGAATGGGGTGTGTTTATTCTTGGTGGTCCTACCGTTCGAGCGATCGAGAGCTCATCTCAAGTCACGCGTTCAAATGCCTGGTCAGAGTGTCAGGATTTGAAGGCAATACATTACCGCATGACTGGGGGATACAAAGGTGGCTGGCCATAATTAAATACTAATAAGCTGCATTTCATTATCAGTCCACTGCTGGATGAGGGGGGCCCTGCGCTCTGTGTTGATCGTGGAGTTAGTTCTCACGTTCTCACCCGCCCCGACTGGACGTCTGAAAAATAACTTTATAGCCCATTGGATTCTTCCAGTATAAATAAATATTCTGATTCAACCAAACTTCACCACGCTCACCAGGGCAGGTTGGTTAAGGGAAAAGCCCATGTTGGGGTGGTGTTGCCAGTAGCACACTCGGCCACCTTCTGTATGACCAGCGCTGACGTTTACACAGAGCCTTTGTGGCACTGTAGGGAAGTCCCAGGCAAGGTTCGGATAGCTCTCGCCACCACTGCTGTTAACCACCGCCGGTAAAGTGGACCCGGGTCACCGTGTTCACAATGCGCCTTCTCCTCGACGTGACCACACACACAATAGCTGCTTTCAAACAGCACTCAGCCCCAGCGGAGGCCACGGAGAGATGACGAACACATTTCTCAGGGTGCCCTGATTTTTTGTTGTGTTGTAAAGCGCCCGTAATGGATGGGGAAACGTGTGAACGCGCGCTTGGCTCGCGTTAGAATCGCGGCCGGGAAAGAACGGGCTGGTGTGAGTGAGTACGAGTTTTCTCTTTGTCTTGCGCAGTGGTAGAAGCCACGGCACACGCACGTAGTAAAGTAAATTAATAGGAACACAACGTGAAGATGAATCGAAATATGCGCACGCACACACTTCTCTCTCGCTCTCTCTCTCTCGCGCGCCCACGGCTGTTTCTGAAAAACAAAAACAAAATTTAGCACCACACGGAACCACAAAACAGCAGCGCTGAGGCGTGACTCGCAACCGATCGCCTTTTATGCTCTTCCGAACATATGTGTTTGTTCCCATTGAAATACAAGCCACGAGTGATGTAGTTAATAATTGACAAGATTCACACTGCCTAGAAAGGATAGTGGTGCTTGGGCAGGACGCGGTCATGGCTAGAATGGGCGATGGCAGATGAAAGAGCAAATTATGAAGGGATAAAAACACATCTGACGGGACGTCGTCTACCAAAAGAGACGCAGCGATGAATTCGGTGAATTGTTGAAAATTAGGATTGGGGGACGTTGTGGCGCGGCTGCTTTTTGTTGCCTTCATGCAGCAGTGGATTGACCAATGATGATGATAATCATTCCATTCTCAAAGACTTTGCAGCTGTGAGAATCAATTGCAATAATTGGGAACTCAAAAGGGTAGGAGAAGAAATGACGCAGTGGTTCATACGCTGGATTTTGAACCCTGTGATCTGAGTTGGATTGTAACCTGTAAACTATTTGTATTTTTCCGGAAAAGGCCCACTGTACTATAGAGCTCTTGTTCAGAAGCGATCTGGCCACAAATGATAGCTCAATGAAGTGGCTTATCGTGTGGACATTTATCGCAGCCAAATACTCAACGCATTTTTCTAAATGTGAAATGGAAAAACCGGAGGAGCTGGAGAAAAATCCACGCGACCGCAGAGAGAGAGACGCGCAAACTTCAAACGTACAGCAGGCATCAGGGTCGGGGATCGAACCCACGCACTCATGTATACCAGGCTAGGTAGTTAACATCTCGCCACCGTGAATTAATAACCAACATCAGTGGTGAGTGATATCTGAACCGGCTAAGGGCCCCCCTCCTTTAGCTTTATCAACTGATCTGCATGGCGAAGTAAAAAAAATCCCCCATGACCGATAGAGAATGGGGAGGCCATCATCCAGCAGTGGATGAACAAAGGGCTGACAATTGTTGTAAGTATTATTTATTGTTCCAATGTGCCGTTGATGTAATGTCATAAGGAAAATAAGTTTCCATTGGGATAAAAAGCAGTGTAACATTACAATGTATCTGGAATGGCCCCCGGAAGATGGCATCATAGAACTAATTCTAAAAACACTTCAAATAGGTCCCTCACCCAAAACTCAGTGGCACAATTTAATATTCTATAATAATAAAAAAGACTAGTTTGCCTGATGTCAATCATTGAATAGGTTTTTTCAGTTGATGAGGCTCAGTTGATGAGGCTAAAGATATACGCAAATTTGTCCTGAAAATTGGCGATAATTTTTTAGTTTGTTTTATGTGCAGTCAAAGGTAACTGGCCTGAAACCCATGGGCGGAGTTTCCGGGGGGGCACGAGGGGGCAATGCACCCCCCCCCCAAAGTGAATACCTTTAATTTATTTTCAGTAGTTAATTATATGCACCTGCGATTCATAATGTAACGAACAAAGCGAACCCCCCCATCCCCAAATATAGAAGTCAAACTCCGCGTATGCTGAAACCATCAAGTTACCGCCCCTTGAGAAGGGCCGGACTTAACCGTACGCGTGGCAGAACCCAGGATCACGGCACCACCAATCGGCTGCCTGGGGGCGGCACCGCAAGAGGAGCCCCTTTTACAAAAAGCAAAAAAAGTCCCCTTTTAATTTCACCACTGTTGGTGGGAATCTGGCCGAGTGTTTTTTTTGGCCGCAGAGAGGCGCCCCGCGATTTTAATCCCGATTTAAGGCCGCGCAAAAGCAAATGGGCCCGGCGGATGAGCTCCGAAGGGCTCGCAAACGCCTTCGCCGCATCCGCGACAACCCACGGCCGCGGGGACACTTTGCAATCCCATCTCTGTCCCGGTGCTGCGCGGTGCAAAGAAAACCTGAGCCTGCGAAGCTGTTCCCTGCAGATGTGTAGGAATTTGTTTGCGAACGTTATGCAACGGCTGTCTCGCCTTGTTGAGTTTATGTGCCGAAGTCGAAGACGGAAAGTTACAAAACAGTATCGTATATTAATAGAATTTCGCCGACCTTATTCTGACTCCTGCAGAGGGCTTCTCGGCACTTTGCGCTTTGCCCTTCGCCCCCACCGATGACCTCCTCTTCCCCCCCCTCCCCCCCCAATGTGTGCAGATACTACTGACTATTGAATGTAGGGTGTGTAGGCAGATGTGCCTATGGAATATATTTATTTTTTGTTGGGTGAAATTATTTTTTCAACAAGTTTTGGATTAAATTTTTATCCCCACGTTTGGGGGTGGGGGTCCACTTTTTTCTATAACGTTTTCATTCAGGCCTTCTGAAAGGCTCTTATAATTTCGTTGACGGACAAACAGAACGGCGGGCTTTTATAATAGATACTGTCATCTACGCATTATATTGTATAGACGTTCCCGGAAAGTAAGACGCACCCCAAAACTTATACCCGGTGTTATGCAAATCTGCTCTCCAGCACAGAGATCCCCCGTAGAGCCTTAACAGACTTTTATACATCACCACTAGGGAAACAAAGGCAGCCGGGCGTTGTGCTGGCCACCCACCCCCTCGTGTGCCGTTCCGGCCTTCATAGGTGCTACTCGCGAACAGCACTTGCTCTGACAGTCTGTTGAGGTGATTCGGGGGATCTTTGTTTTTTTTTTTACTCATATGAATGTGTGCATGTGTCCCTGGTAAGTGCGTATTGCATGCATGTTTGTGTATTCCTATGTGTGTGCCGGGAAAGGTCATGGCAAGGATTATTCAACATCGCCTTGCTAGGCACGCTGAGGAGAGGCTTGCGGAGCCCCAATGCGGTTTCAGGAAAGGGCGGTCCTGCACAGATGCCATATTTTCTGTCCGTCTGCTACAGCAGAGGTGTAGGGAATTCCAACAAAACCTACATCTCTGCTTTATTGACCTGGTCAAGGCCTATGATACCATCAGTAGGCCTAGGCTCTGGGTTTTTCTTCATGCTTTCGGAGTCCCTGACCCTCTGCTCATGATCATTAAGGACCTTCATGATGGTGAGCGGGCCTGGGTAAAACTACGTGGCCGGGAGTCAGAGCCATTCCCTGTTCACCTTGCGGTGCGACAGGGATGTCCTCTGGCTCCCACATTATTTAACATCTATTTTGACCACGTAGTTCGTGAAGCCTTCAATAGCTGTACCGGGGGAATTTCCATTTGGTACAGATATAATGGGAGGCTGATCGATGCCCAGGTGCAGTCAAGGGATGGCTCGCTATTGCTCAACCACGTTATGTATGCCGATGATTTGGCAATAGATGCTCATTCAGAGGAGGAGTTGGAGACGCTGCTGCTGAGACTGGAGCATGCCACTAAGAGGTGGGGCCTTACCATCAGCCCCACCAAAACTAAGCACCTGCCTGGGTATTTTGTACCATCGGACACTCCACCCCCACAACTCCCAATTGGTGATGGGGCAGTTGTGGAGATATTGGAGAGTTTCCCATACCTGAGCAGTGTGCTTATGACCGGCTCCAGTTTAACAGCAGAGGTCTCACTCCGAATCAGTCGAGCAGAAATATATTTTCATTGGTTGCGTAACGCTGTATGGAAGCTACCTGGTCTGCCGCTCTGCACTAAGCTTCAAGTCTTCTCGGCCACGGTAATTTCCTCCCTTCTCTACGCTTGCGAAACGTGGACCCCCTAATGGAGCATCTTCGCCGGTTAGAAACATTTAGGCTAGCCTGCCTACGATCCATCCTGGGTTTAACCAGGTTGGATTGTGTGAGGAGCTCACAAATCCTTGAAAGATCTGGACAAGGTCCCATCGGTGAGCTCTTCCGGCAGGCAAGGCTGCGTTGGCTGGGTCATGTAGCCCGCATGCCCAGCCACCGCGTGCCTAAACAGCTTTTGTTCGGCCGGATCGAGGGGGCTAAACGGGCACAGTACGGGCTAGAAAAGAGATGGAGTGATGTGGTACAGGAGGACGTGGAGCTGACTGGACTTGCCGATGACTGGTACCAGCGGTGTCAAGATCGGCCTCTGCGGAGGAGGCTCGTGAAGGACGCTACTGGACAGTTGGAGGCAGTCGGCCTCCAACAACAACGGAGGGTGGAGGAGCGACGCTCACAACAACGAGCGGAGCGCCGGGTGGCTAAAGCACAGCAAGTTGGCACAGTAGGGGGCACAGGTGGTGCATCAGCCAGTCATCTCAGTCAGTCGACCCGTGGCAATTGGGTCTACCCCGTGACCTCCTGCCAGCGGGCGTTCAACACTTCACGTGGCCTCAAGGTGCACATGGCCTGGCACAAGCGTCGTGGTGACGTCACCGCCGCTTAGTGGCGAATGGCGGTTGTTGTTGTGTGGCTGTGTGCGTGCTCACGTGCGCGTGCCCGTGTGTGTGTGTTCTTTCATTCTTTATACACAGGGCGAGCCATCTATAGGAATTCCCGGACCCAGTGGGCAACCTGGATTCCCAGGGCAGAAGGTAACAACCCTATAAATTTACCAAAGCACTTACCAGCACACCGCAAAAATTATTCCAGCGAAGACAAAAATCCTCCCCCCATATATTTCTTCAACAGACTGTGCAGGTGCTGTTAGTGTGCACCCATGAAGGTCAGCCTAGGACATGAGGTGGTGGTGTGGCCAGAACCACCCCCCGGGCCACCTTTATCTCCCCAGTACTGATGTTTACACACTGCACCAGGTTCCCATTTATGACTGAGTTGACAAAGAAGGGGCTCTGGACCGGTCCATATGTTCACCACGGATGTTGGCCTTGAGCAGCATTTGAAATTGGGTTATAGAATTTGTAGCAGCGCACTAATCACTCCACTACCGGCTTTCCCTAAATGGACGCACGCACGTGGCTAAATTAGACACGCTGTAATGCACACAATCATTCAAAGCGTATACAATCCCAACACCCACGGGGATGCACTGGTCTCATTTACTCGGATATTTCAGTCACATTTTTAAGAGCTGAATCATTTTTATTATGAATTTACCCTGTGCAGGGGGAATTGAGCACAGCATTATATTGAGATGTGGTGGGTATCACAACGAGGATGAAATTAGCCAGAACTTTCTCCGTCATTTGTTCCCTTTATAGTATAATTATTAGCAATGCTTATGCTTGCAGTTATGTAGGTGGGCACGTGCATGTGGTGCGTGTGTGTCATCTGGGGAGCGCTCGTCCAGTGGTTAGTGCACTGCGCTGCCAACCTGGTGGCCCGAGTTCGATTCCTGCTCACGATCAACAACAGTGGTGAATATTTGAAACGGTCCTGGGCCCTCCCCTAGGTTCACTCAACCTTAAATGGGTACCTGGTGCAGAGTATCAGAACTGGAGAGACAAAGGTAGCACAGTGTGCTGTTGGTCACCGACTCTGTGTGTATGTTGAGCTTATTATGCTAATCGGTGGTGCGGCCTGTGTGCCGTGACGGCCTTAATAGGTGCTCGCTAACAGCGCATGCCTGTCTTAAGGCTTTTGGGGGGATCGTTGTCTTATGTTGTGGCGAGTAGTGCACAGTGGTTCGTGCACTACTCTAAGGGTCTGGTGACCTGAGTTTGATTCCCAGCACTTGAGGATCATCAAAAACACACGTTTGGAAAAGCATTTCCGTATACCATGCATATGCGTGATTTTTCTTCCTCGTCTATATTCTTTCACAGGGAGAATCGGGTCCACCTGGCCTCCCCGGGGCCCCAGGTCCCCAAGGGATCCAGGGAAATTCCGGCCTTGCCGGGATCCGTGGAGAGACTGGCGCACCGGGCCAGCTCGGTCCTCCGGGAGAGAAGGTGACTGACATTAATTAACCAGGCCACGGAGAAACACGTGTCTGGGATACGTGGCGAGATGTTAACTACCTCGCCTGGGGTACAGGAGGTCGTAGGTTTTGATCCCAACCCTGACGCCTGCTGTATATTTGGAGTTTGCGGTGTCTCTCTCCCCGTGGTCGCGTGGATTTTTTTCCGGGTCCTCGGGTTTTTCCCTCCACATTTTAGAAACGTGCGTTTAGAGTATTTGGCTGCTGTACATTTCCACGTGATACGCCACTTGTCTTTAGGGTCTCATTTGTGGCCAGGTTGCTTCTGAATAAGAGTTGTATAGCTCCGTGGACCTTACCTAGTAAAATAAAAGTAGTTTAGAAATAGTTTTAGTAGCTATTCCCGTTTTCTCTGAACTATAAGACGCATCCCAACTATTGGGGTTATTTTGAGAAAGAAAATGTCTTTTATAATCGAGAGAATGCCATACAACCAGCATACCCTCCTGAAACAGAGTCAGGAGACTCAGTAAGGCTTTCCTGCGTTAACAAACGACCCAATAATAATAACAATAAATATACACAGGGTTATTGTATCAAATGCACGTGGATATTTGCATACAGTCAAAGGCCAAGGTAAAAATGAATGCGTTTTCATAGTTATTGGCATTGATGATGATAATGACGATGCCACCACAACACCTCGCCGTCTCTTCTTTCCATCTATCAGATACTGAAACTGGTCACCCAGTTGGCAATTGACCCATGGTCTCGGAATCACGGGTCCGCTGTGCAGTGTTGCTAACCACAGCACCACTGCTCCTCTACAAACTATATTTACCCGTAGTGGTTTTTTATCATTTCAAACGATCGTGGGAACTATCTGAATCACTATTTTGAAAGAACGAGCTTTTCGGCCTGCCAAATGTGGTCGTGCGTGGAGGACGGTAGGAATCTAATGGTTAGGAAGGGTAGGTCGACTTGGAGACCCAGAATAGAGTGCGGGAGGGAGGACTGCAGGAGTTTACGATGGGTTGTGCGTGTGTGGAGGGGATACAGGAGGGCAAGGTGATACTGAGACAGACTTTGGAATGGCAATCAGGGGTCGGTAACAAGATGGTGACAATGATGATGACATTGACGATGATGAGACCAAACCTTGGGTGATGGTGGTGGTGGCTTGCTGACTTTTCAACTACAGTGAACCCTCGGTTTAACGGACCCCCCATTCAACGGATCTCAGATTTAACGGACGAAATCTGCTAAATCAAATTATTGTCCGAAGTTGGCCTTGATGGCCAATGCCAAAATTCCTCGCCAGTTATTTGAGATTTTGCTCATGCCACTGTTGTATTCTCTTTGCAGGGTCCCCTTGGATTTTCTGGCAGGGATGGTGACATGGGCCCGTCCGGCCCTCCTGGGCCCATAGGGCCTCCGGTAGGTGCAACACAGACCAGGATCCCACATCATAAACGTGAATTGTGTGCCAATGAAACTTGGTAAAAAAAAAAAGATATACATTTTCTTCAGTTAATCTGCACGTGTGCAATATCACTCAATACGCAGCAATTGCACGACCGTATTATTGCGCGAAGTGTCTCCTGTAGATTGAACGAGAGGGAAGTATACAAAGTTTGTTGTTATGTTGAAACATAACAGGATGACTACGTACATTCTAAAATGCGAGCGAAAAGCATATCCACTTGGGAATGTAGCTTTTTCCACAGTGGTGATGGCAAAACAAAACAATTTAATGCATAAACGTAGTCGCTCTGAAGGGGTCTTGCACATCAATGCACGGACCGAATGAGTGAAGATAGTAGCCACTGTTGTTTACGGTTCAGTTTCTTACAAACACAACGTATATTGCGAGCTGCGATCTCGTCCCGGAGCTCACCACGGGTGGTGGTGGAAATCAACATCGCAATAATTCTAATAACTTCAACTTGTAACACGCCGCACAGCGTCATCTCACTCGCGAAGGGGGAGAGAGAGAAAACAACACAGAGGTTTGGAACCAAGGGCAAGCAGGAAGGCAGCCGCGCGATGAGACAGCGCCAACAATTGCCCAAGCTCTGCAGTCCTCGATGTACGAAGGTGTTATCGACCAATTAATTAGTGTTTAGATGCGGGAGGAAGCCTAAGCTCCCAGAGAAAACCCACGCGTGCGACGGGCAAACACTCAACCCCATGCAGAGTCCACATTTTCTGCTGTACGGTATTCCCCTGACGAGCCAGGTTACAGGCATCTCCGGCGCTGCCTCCGCAACGCTGCAGCAGCCACGTGGCATAGCCACCACCGCCCGCCCCGGCACTGCGAACAAAGTCCATGAAAGCACGGGAATGGCTGGAGTGTCAATACGGATAGCCAGTGTGGTGGGTGTGCAGCGTGGGGAGCGTCTGGAGGTCTTGAATCGGTTCGACCAAAATCGATTGAATATGGCAATATATTCACTAAATAACTGAAATTGCCGGTTCTACTTATGTATATATATATTTTGTTTACACCGGTTATTTGTCAAGTATTTTTTTTTTTTCATGTAAATACAATGAGAAACATCGACTTTATAAGACCTTATTCTGTGACCTTTCCGCGAATTGTCTTTTTTTTCCGCACCTCGGCCACGGATTCCGTTAAAAACTTCCGCGGCAAAATCGTCGCCTTGATTACCTTCATCTTGCACGGCGGTGATGAGGTCAGAGCGATGGACCCCCAATGGGGAAACTCATGAGTTAAATTCCCACTCGGAGATGGACTCAGCCCATTGCTATTTGTCTGCCATCAGTCGAATAAGTTCCACTTTACGAAACAATAGTGGCTGTTTTATGGATAAAACTGACCCTTGCCATGGGAATGTGGAATGCTCACCACTGGATCAGGGCCGCCGATTGAGGTAAGCGCCGCTTCCATTGCTCGATGGAGCGTGGAGGGAGACACTTTCATCTTAGATTTACTGACGATGGCGAGGAGGTGTCATCTTCCTTGCCTGGTGCGCAGGAGGTCAAGTGTTTGATCCCGGACCTTGACGATGCCTGTTGGAGTCTCTCTCCCCGTGGTGGTTGCATGGATTGTTCAACGGGTTCTGCTGGTTTTGTCCCCCTCCACATTTAAAATCAACACGTGTTTAGATTATTTGGCTGCAACTATAAATTCCCACTGTGATGATGATGTCAATTTTAGATTTAAAGCTTTCGTGACTGCTAGGATCCATACTCTTTGGTTCTATTGGGTAAAGTCACGTAGGTAAAAAATAGAATAACAAAAAAAATCACGACGTTTCGGCCACAACACAAGCGGCCTTCATCAGGTGAAGGGACCAGACTGTCTGGAGGACAGCGCTGGAGTGAAAAAAGCCACGCTCAGATCACGACTCCAGCGCTGTTCTCCAGACAGTCTCGTCCCTTCACCTGATGAAGGCCGCTTGTGTTGTGGCCGAAACGTCGTGATTTTTTGTTATTTTATTTTTTACCTACGTGACTTTACCCAATAGAACCAAAGAGTAGGATGATGTCAGCCATTTGGATGATAAGTTATCATCATGTGCGGCCAGGTCACCTCTGAAAAATAACTAATATATTTACCAGCTACCTGGTAAATATATTTATATAAAAATGGAAGATTTTGCAATGTCACAATGTGCACTCAACAAAACTGGGATGTTAGCTTAAAACAAAGGGTCTTTTTCGATTTAAAGCTTTCGTGACTGCAAGGATTCATCTTCTTTGGTTATTTCGGCAAAAGTCACTTTACCAAAAGAACTAAAGAAGACAAAGGGTATTTTTAGCCAATTCAGTGATCCATACAGTGAGGAAAAAAAGTATTTGATCTCCTGCTGATTTTGTACGTTTGCCCACTGACAAAGAAATGATCAGTCTATAATTTTAACGGTAGACTTATTTGTACAGTGAGAGACAGAATAACAACAACAAAATCCAGAAAAACGCATGTCAAAAATGTTATAAATTGATTTGCATGTTAATGAGGGAAATAAGTATTTGACCCCTCTGCAAAACATGACTTAGTACTTGGTGGCAAAACCCTTGTTGGCAATCACAGAGGTCAGACGTTTCTTGTAGTTGGCCACCAGGTTTGCACACATCTCAGGAGGGATTTTGTCCACTCCTCTTTGCAGATCTTCTCCAAGTCATTAAGGTTTCGAGGCTGACGTTTGGCAACTCGAATCTTCAGCTCCCTCCACAGATTTTCTATGGGATTAAGGTCTGGAGACTGGCCAGGCCACTCCAGGACCTTAATGTGCTTCTTCTTGAGCCACTCCTTTGTTGCCTTGGCCGTGTGTTTTGGGTCATTGTCATGCTGGAATACCCATCCACGACCCATTTTCAATGTCCTGGCTGAGGGAAGGAGGTTCTCACCCAATATTTGACGGCCCCATCCATCGTCCCTTTGATGCAGTGAAGTTGTCCTGTCCCCTTAGCAGAAAAACACCCCCAAAGCATAATGTTTCCACCTCCATGTTTGACGGTGGGGATGGTGTTCTTGGGGTCATAGGCAGAATTCCTCCTCCTCCAAACACGGCGAGTTGAGTTGATGCCAGAGCTCCATTTTGGTCTCATCTGACTACAACACTTTCACCAAAGTTGTCCTCTGAATCATTCAGATGTTCATTGGCAAACTTCAGACGGGCATGTATATGTGCTTTCTTGAGCAAGGGGACCTTGCCCTAGGCCGAGGAAGATTGGCAGTTCTTTTGTGTTTCTTCCATTTACGAATAATCGCACCAACTGTTGTCACCTTCTCACCAAGCTGCTTGTCAATGGTCTTGTAGCCCATTCCGGCCTTGTGTAGGTCTACAATCTTGTCCCTGACATCCTTGGAGAGCTCTTTGGTCTTGGCCATGGTGGAGAGTTTGGAATCTGATTGATTGATTGCTTCTGTGGACAGGTGTCTTTTATACAGGTAACAAGCTGAGATTAGGAGCACTCCCTTTAAGAGTGTGCTCCTAATTTCAGCTCGTTACCTGTATAAAAGACACCTGGGAGCCAGAAATCTTTCTGATTGAGAGGGGGTCAAATACATATTTCCCTCATTAAAACAAATTTATAACATTTTTGACATGCGTTTTTCTGGATTTTTGTTGTTGTTTTTCTGTCTCTCACTGTTCAAATAAACCTACCATTAAAATTATAGACTGATCCTTTCTTTGTCAGTGGGCAAACGTACAAAATCAGCCTCACTGTATTTGTTTTTAGAGTTATGCCATTGTGGCGGTAGTTTGAAGCCAAAATTATTCTCATTAACAACCCTTAACCCCCTCACAAGATTGCCACGCTGATAAATACATAATTTAGACGTGTTAATGTATTGATAGCATTTCTGAACAATATTGATCTCATATTCTTCGATCTTTTGGTAAAGTCACGTAGATAGGTTCAAAGAAAATAACAAAAAATAACAAAAAAAAACTCCGACGTTTTGATCGCAAAAAACTTTTCAGGAAAAAAACTTTTTCAGAAAAATCTTCAGGAAAAACCTTTTTCCTGAAGAACCTATCGACGTGACTTTACCGAAAGACCCAAGAATATGAATCCCTGCAGGCACGAAAGCTTTAAGTCAATCTTGATCTTGACTTCAGTCGTGAGAAAGCTTTTAAGCCTAGGGTAAGGAGCTGTATTGGTAAAAAAATTCACCAACACATTGATAAGTTCAAATTAAATATTTGTCAGCGTGGCAATGTTGTCGGGTGATGGAGGGTTAATGACGAGACCTTTGGCATACAACTACTACTAAGACTAAGAACCCCCGTATAGCCTGATGAGACTGTTGCGGAAAGCGCTGTTAGCGAGCACCTGTCAGTCCCGCCACACGAGAGGGGTGTGGGTGACCCGCACCACCGCCGCCTTTGTCTCCCCACACACCGCACCGGGCACTCGTTTGAAGATTAATCAACCTAGGGGGAGACAGAGAACCGGTTCGGATAATCGTCACCGGTGTCGGCCGTGAGCGGCAATCAAACTGGTGCCTCTGTTGGGTCCACAGTGCAGCACGCTGTCCGCTACACTACCGCTCCCCTACATAGCCACATCCAGCGAACAAATATGGATAAAAAACCTGGATGTGTTGCTCAGGACATTGCATATTGCGTTGTTTCTCTTGTCACGTGTGAACGTCCGCGCTGTGTTTGTGCGCCGCAGGGCCTTGCGGGCTCCAGGGGAGACAAGGGGGACAAGGTAGGCCTGCTGAGCGACATCAGCCACTTGCTGTGTATCCTCGGCACGCGGCGATTCCTTCAGCCAATTCTGTCATGTCCGATTCGACGGATTGTAGTAGGATACGAGGAAAATGATCGCCGGCAATATGAAGTTTCAGTTTTTTATTAATTGTCTTCACGTGACGTGTGACTCCTTCTTGTAGGGAGAGACTGGGGTAGGAACACCTGGACTGAGAGGAGAGAGAGGTGAACCTGGAATTCGGGTACGTATTTGTGCCTGTGTGTTGTTGGTGTTGTGTGAGTGTGTGTGTTGTTGTTGTGTAAGTACGTGTGTTATTGGTGTTGTGTGTGTGCATGGTATAGCGGTCAGCGTGCTTTGCTATGAACCCGGCGAGCCGAGTTCGATTCCCGCTCACAGCCAATACCAGTGACGATTATCTGAACCGGTCCTGGGTCACCCCTAGCTCGACTCAGCCTCCAATGAGTACCTGGTGCGGTGTGTAAACATCACCACTGGGGAGACAAAGGCGGCCGGGCGTGGTGCTGGCCACCCACCCCCTCGTGTACCGTTCCAGCCTTCATAGGTGCTCGCTTAACAACACTTGCCCCTACAGTCTGTTAAGGCTATACGGGGGATATTTGTCTTTGTAGTGGTTAGCGCGCTGCGCTGCGCTACTAACCTGGTCACCCGAGTTCGATTCCACTCATGGCCAACACCAGTGATAGCGATCATCTGAACCGGTCCTGGGTCACCCCAAAGTCGACTCACCCTCCAATGAGTACCTGGTGCGGTATGTAAACATGAGCTGGTGCATCTACAAATTCATCTCAGTCAACCCTGAACACTTGGCTCTGTCCCGTGAGCCCCCTGCCAGCCTTGCATACTTCACGCGATGCCCTCAAGATGCACCGAGACTGGCACAAAAGACGTGGTGACGTTGCTGCCATTTAGTGACGAACGGCGGTTGTTGCTGTGCAAGTGGGTGAATCGCTAAAGTATAAAATATAAATAATCGATTCTTGATTCACGTTGCATTGCTGAATTGTGACGATTCATTTAATTTCTGAAATTGGCGGAATTTTGTTTTAATTGCGACAAAAAGAGCAAAAGTAATTCCTTGAGGCTGTACTCGCTTGCTATTTATAGCCCTGAGCCATTGGTGGAACTTCCACATTCCTGTGACAGGGGCGAGTATATCCAGAGAACAACCATTGTTGACGTCCACACAAAGCGGTACTCACTTTATACGACCGTGCAGGGATGATGGCCGGCGTCAAGCCCCAACCAGATTTGAACTCTCAGCCTTCCCATTTACGAGCTGCTTGCAACGAGCACCGAGCCACACCTCTGACATCGATGTACGTCAGAGTTTGCGCGCATGTGCATTTCGCGGGTTTGTGCTTGCAAGACACGTACCGGTGCGCTGGGAATGTGTGAAGGACAAAGATCCCCCGAATAGCCTGAACAGGCTGTTGTGGCAAGTGCTGTTAGTGCAAGAGGTTGCCAGCACCACGCACCGCCACCTGTTGTCTCCCTGGTGACGATGTTTACACATCACGCCAGGTACTGATTTGAGGCTGAGGTGACCCGAGGGGAGGCCGAGAACCGGTTCAGATAATCGTCACTGGTGTTAGCCGTGAGTGAGAATCGATCTCAGGTAGCCAGATCCGTGGCACAGTGCAGTGCGCTAACTGCTGCACGACTGCCCTCCACATGCACAATGAATATATTATGCACGTTAAAAAAAGATCCCCCGTATAGCTGTAACGGACTGTTGGTGCAAGTGCTGTTAGCGAGCACCTATGAAGGCCGGCACGGTACACGAGGGGGTTGGTGGCCAGCACCACGCCCGGCCGCCTTTGTCTCCCTAGTGGCGACATTTACACATCACACCAGGTACTCATTGGAGGCTGAGCCGACCTAGGGGAGGGCCATGACCGGTTCAGATAATCGCCACTTGTGTTGCCCGTGAGTGGGAATTGAACTCGGGTCATGCCGGGTTCATAGCGCGGCACGCTAACCGCGACACCACCGCTCCCTCTTATGCGCACACGCACGCACGCACGCACAGAGGTGCGTGCACTGGTGCATGAGTGCGCGTGCGTCCACTTGAATCCAGACACATTTTCGCTCGGCTCATTTCTCTACCGGAGATAAGGGCCCAGTGGTTTCAATCTCTCTCTGCGCCCACTTCGCTTCAATCACGCTGCATTGAGCAGACACACACGTTATTTGAACCACACATCACAGCCATCACCCGCAGGTGCCCACTCCCCGTGCATTCACTCCAAGCCTCCTTACACATTTGGACAAAACAAAAGTCAACGATCCCCCCCCCCCGTATAGCCTGTATGGACTGTTGGGGCTAGTGGTCTTTGGCAAGCACCTTGGTTCACGTATTTAAACCACTTTGGGTGCATGTCGAGATGCAATGAAATGTGAAGCATCTACTGGACATCTTCGACAAAGAACTTTATAAGCTCATCGGATTCCTCCAGCATGAATAAATATTCTGAAAAAATATGATGATGTTAAAAATGTTAAATGATGATGATGATGAATGAAGTACCCGTCAGAGGTGGAAATTCTTCGTTACCCTGGATGAAGCAACTCTTTCCATAGAATGACCTCCGTTAAGAGTTCGCACTAAGTGGTATTTAATTGAAAACGATCAACTATTTTATCAGCACCCAGGGGGGGATGCTTAGCTGAGTTGATCCCTGACCTTGCAATTTTGAACTCGCAGCTGTCCCACTGTGGAGCCCCAGTGCTTTAACCGCAGCGCCACCCGTGGCTGATTAAAGACATTTACGTGATAGGGCAAGCGCTGAATATTGAGAGACAATTATTTTAATCTGAAATGTAGTGCTACAAATAACAAAACTTAATTGAGGTGGTGCTGCTAATTGGTTCTGAAATATTCCACTCAAAAGTTACAGAGTTTACGTGTAATTGGAGCACCGTAGTTCGAAGGGGCTGTGGAAAATCGGAGCTTAGCAAATGAACGGTCTTATCTGCAGACTCTGCGGAGACATGTACGTATGCAGATTTTTTTTTTAAAAAACGTATTAAAATGTGAATCAAATAATAAGCAGCTTTATTAAGGAATTGATTTTTGCATGACCGGCAGCCAGGCGGGGAATTTGGATTAAGAACTAAAAGCGTGCGTGTGTCTTTTTTAAGGGTTTTATTCTCAAATAATTACGGATTGGGAATTTGTATTATAGCAACCATCTCACTCGGTGATCAAACCTGTCACAACATCAGCAAACGTCAACAGATTATCCCAGTTACTGGTCGTGACATTACCCAACATTCCCATCGCTTCCTTCCTCCTGCCAAGATCACGCGTCTGTTGCAACAGTTGGCACTCCACGTCCAAGGTTTAATCTCACAGTCGCATCGCTATCGCCATCTGCATTTTTTTTAGGCCTTCTGACCTTGGCCACAAAAAAATAGCAGAGCTATACAGCACAGTGGGAACTAACCTAGTAAAATCAAAAAATATTTTGGTAAGTAAATGAGTGAAACTAGCTACTCCTCCAATGCCTCTCTCAGTAACTTGCCCTCCAACATCCTCCTCACCGTGTCTCACCCATCGCAACCTTCACCCTCACAAAGGCAAAGATCCCCTGTGTAGCCTTAACAGACTGTTGGGGCAAGTGCAGTTAGCGAGCGTCTATGAAGACCAGCATGGCACTCGAAGGGGTGGGGGGCCAGCACCACGCCCGGTGGCGATGGTTTACACACTGCACCAGGTACTCTGATTTGAGGCTAGGTCGACCTAGGGGAGGCCCAGGACCGGTTCAGATAATCGTCACTGGTGGTGGCCGTGAGCAGGAATCGAACTCTGGTCGCTGGGTTCGTAGCGCGGTGCGGTAACCGCTATGCCACCACTCCCCACAACCCCCTGCGTGACGCACAGCGGTGCCTAAGAACACAAAGGGTTCTCGACTGCATCCACGCTCTCACTTTCCCACTCTGATAACGGTGCACGGGGTGCATCCTAAACCTCTGCCATCAACTACACATTCATCATCGTCAGCTACGGTCAATCCACTGCTGGATGAAGGCCTCCCCTAGCCGCAGCCGCCGCTGCTCACGGTCCTGCGATGTAACGATCCACCGAGGGCTTGCGCACCGCCAGCTGATTCCGTTGCTCCGCGCCACAAATCATCGGACGGGATTTGAGCCCATCAATCCTTGTGTTTTGATTTCGCGTAAAAGCATGCTCTCCAATAATGTCCTCCCTTTCCCTCCCCCCCGATCGAATGATTATCCTTTGCCGCCTAATTACGTGCGATGGAATAAAGTTCAGTATGACATTGATTAAAGCTAAAGAGTTCGTTAAAAAATGCTGATTTGAGTGTGACTGTGCATTGTCTACGCTGAAGGAAGGACGTGCCACGGAAAAAATGACAAATTTTAATGAAAATGGTAACAAAACTCTTGATTAAACATTACAGAAATTTGGAAAAGATAATGGCATAAAAGTTTAGATGGAAAGAAATCTAATTAATTTACTAAAAATTAACAAGTGTGGTGTTGCACAACAGCTCTGTGATAGGAGCATTAATAAACAATGGCAGTTTGTTTTAACTTTAATTTCATCCCAAGTGCGCCATTTATCTCTGAATTACATTACACTGCGTTTGAGCCACTACCACTGGTAAATAGACACCCGCCTCTAACGAACAAAAGGTGGTTCATTCTTATTCGGGTCACAGGTCAGCTTAGCTAATGATCATGTCATGGCAGATCCAATCAAATAACACCACAGAGGTGGCCTGGTGACTCGGGAGCTAAACCATTCAGCTGGCCCTGCTGAGATCATGGATTGTAAACCTACATTCGTCACCTGCGATCAAACTGGACTGTCAGGTTTTAGCGAGTTCATGGTCTCAGCTGAGTCCATCAGTGACTGTCCAAAAAAAAAACATTCAAATGTATTTTTCACTTTCTCAATTTTGGCAAAATTCCAGCTTTGAGAATTCGAATGGTTGCTTTTTGACTTCAATGCTGCGAATATCTCGGCAGCAGAGCAGGCAGGAAAGAACAGCGGCCTGGAGTGCATCAGAGGTCACCTTAAGTGATCTGAGAATCAGTTTCCGTGATATCCAGTTGCATGGGCTATTCTCTAACATGGGACCGATAAACTGCTCTGCAGTAGTTTCGGACGGACATATATTAATACAATTGCTTGAGAGCGAAAGCATGGCAAAAAGATTACTGCCACTGTGTAAAGCATCAGAGGAGATCGTAAGCATGGTAAAGTGTGGCCCCTGTCATGGGAACGTGGGATTTCCACCACTGGCTCGTGGCTGCTGTTCAAGTCATTCGTATGCTGCGTACGCACGCGCCTCAACGTGAGTGTTTTGTCCCCCATAGGGAGAAGACGGAAGACCCGGATTAGTCGGTCCCAAAGGTTCCATGGTGAGAGCGTCTTACTACAGTTGGCACATGACCGGCGTTGTGGAATAATTGTGTCGCTCCAATCGGATGCCAGTCGGACGAGCAACGGTCCGCACGCTGGACTTGCAATCCTCACGGCGCGTGGCAGTTGAAACAGTGGAGCAAGTTTCTTAAAATCTCCCCCTCTACCCCCCCCCCCGCGCTCCTATCCACTCAGCAGGAGACATGGGTATAACCACAGCTAGTCGATCGTCGGGTCGCATGTGGCGGGGTAAAGTGTGGCGACTCCCACCTCCCCATTCAAGACGTCTGGCCAGTGTGGAAGAGTAGGCCAAGTACTCTCTTAGAGTGGCTCCATAGAGCTTCTTCTGTTTGGAGGCCTTTCCGCCACTTCTCCGCCGCTTGCCTCCTCTGCCCAAAAATGTAACCAAATAAAACCACATACACAGCCAAGCGAACACACTGCACCACAAACCAGCCGTTTCTTTTATATTGCATCGTAAAAAAATACAATTGTAAGGCAGCACCGAAACGAATTTGGGGTGGAGGAAGTTGCGCGGTGGATCACGCGCTGTGGATCGAGCAACTGCGGATCGTGCAACTGTGGAACATGCAACTGTGGATCGCGCAACTGCGGATCACGCGCTGTGGATCGTGCAACTGTGGATCACGCACTGAGCGATGAACCCGGCCGTCTGGGTTCGATTCCCGGCTACGACTTACATTCGGTGGCGAGCGATTACCCGAATCTGTTCTTGGGGCACCCCTCTCGCTCCCTTTACCAACCCGCACTTACCAGCGTGGTGAAGTATGGTCAAACACCTCCCCTTCCCCCCACATAACCGAAATGGCATGGGGAGACCTTCATCCAGCAGTGGATTGACAACATGAATAATTTTACATTTGATACATTGTTATTGTTTATGTAAGTGGACCGGCAAGAGTCTTTTCTGAGGATGGTTTTAGTGGAGCCCCAAGTCCTAAATTGAGAAGAAATGTGAATTGGTTGCTTGATTTAAATCTGTGACCCCGGTCAGCACAGAGGCCTTGGTTGTGACCCTTAAAGTTGGTTAACTCCACGCATTACCATGCAAGCAATGTTTGTGTATTCCTCCAAGGTCTAATGTGAGCCAATAAGTGTCATTGTTCCGTAACCTTCCCACGTTTCTTTTTTGTTCGTGTGAAACCACCTCTGTCAAAATCGGCAATTTAATAATGTGCAATTATTTATTTATATTTTCTGCAAAGGCCATGCCAGAAAAAACACAGAGACACAAGGGCACTCAGCATCCAATGGCCAGCATAAGCATAATCTTTGGGCACAATATAAATCAGCAGAGAACAAAACGTCAGTCCCAGATCTGCCCCTAGCAGATACCATCACCCACACCGGCCCTCTGAGAGTACATCATTTTAACAGCGTACTCTGGACCGGTTTCGACATTCAGTGTCTCATCAGCAGGGTCAGGCTCCCTTGACCTAATGCTGGCGGACCGCCAGCATGTTTATAGGGCAAAAACCATGACTCGTAGATATGGGTCCTAGTTTGACACAAAACTATATAATACGTTGGATACGTAATAAAATAAAATAAAAACAAATTACGTATCGAGGAGGATATTTTAAGCAGACATTGATTATTTATTTAGTTAATTGTATTCTCCACAATGATGTCGTGTTATGTCACATTTAGTTGAGCGACGAAGCAGCCTCGCTTAGCACCGTTGTGTCTGCCACTTGCGTGGTCTCTGCCACACAGAGGCCTGCTCTGTCAGGGTTGACGATCGTCGGTGTGACGAGCACAGTTGCCAGCTACTCCCCTACACCCTCTAGACACACATTAAATTAAAACTATATTTCAACTATTTGTTTTACCAGGTAAGGCCCACTGAGCTAAGTAGCTCTTTTTCAGAAGCGACCTGGCCACAGTTGATAGCTCAACGAAAGTGGCTTATCGTCGTGTGGAAATATATATCAGACAAATAATCGAAACGCACGTTTCCAAAGTCGTCAATAATCGTAACGACAACGCAATTTATAGCGCGCACGAATATTTCACAGATAACAATAAGTGACCGCGACTCTGAAGCGCAAATAAGGACAGCCGTCAATGGGTCATGAAACACGTTTAGATGGCTGGCAACATAAATTGTTTTTAAAAAAATGTTTTTTTAAATGGTGACGCTGTCTTGCATTGGCAGTAGTGCACGGGCACAAATAACAAAATGAACGACGCGGAGATCTCTCTGCTATGCTCGACAATGACGAAGAGCCATTGCCTGAAGCATCGCATATTTATCACACGTATTTATTTTCCATCCCCCCCGTCGGGGGTTTATTTTACGAATGAACGCCTTGAGACGAGTTTCGCGTCACAATGAATGTCACCGTCTCTTGTCCCAACGCAGGGTCTCCCTGGTCTCTCCGGAGACATTGGAACGAAGGTATGTGGTTTCCGATTCGCTGTGCGGTGGCGGTAGATGCGTTCCAAGAAATAAAACGGGGGGCACGCAAAGAGAAAGCGCGCAGGGCAGCTGCGTGCCGCGAGTAGCTCGCTCAGGACACATACTTCGTGTTGGCCCACGTCCGACCGCAGGCCTCCATGGAGCCAAATGTGTAGTGTATAGTGTTGTCTATAGTAGTGTATAGTGTAGTCTATAGTAGTGTATAGTGTAGTCTATAGTAATGTAGTGTATAGTGTAGTCTATAGTAATGTAGTGTATAGTGTAGTCTATAGTAGTGTATAGTGTAGTCTATAGTAGTGTATAGTGTAGTCTAATAGTGTAGTGTATAGTGTAGTCTATAGTAGTGTAGTGTATAGTGTAGTCTATAGTAGTGTAGTGTATAGTAGTGTAGTGTATAGTAGTGTATAAAAGTGTAGTGTATAGTAGTATATTGTAGTTAGTGTAGAACCGCTCTTAACGACCACCCCTGTTAACGACTCATCACTTAACAACGGGCCTCCATGGAGCCAAATGTGTAGTGTATAGTGTAGTCTATAGTAGTGTAGTGGTATAGTAGTGCAGTTTATAGCAGTGTAGTGTATAATAGTGTAGTGTATAGTAGTATGTGTAGTGTAGTGTATAGTAGTGTATAAAAGTGTAGTGTATAGTAGTATATTGTAGTTAGTGTAGAACCCCTCTTAACGACCACCCCTGTTAACGACTCATCACTTAACAACGGGCCTCCATAGAGCCCAATGTGTAGTGTATAGTGTAGTCTATAGTAGTGTAGTGTATAGTGTAGTCTATAGTAGTGTAGTGTATAGTGTAGTCCATAGTAGTGTAGTGGTATAGTAGTGCAGTTTATAGCAGTGTAGTGCATAATAGTGTAGTGTATAGTAGTATGTGTAGTGTATAGTAGTGTTTAAAAGTATAGTGTATAGTAGTATATTGTAGTTAGTGTAGAACCCCTCTTAACGACCACCCCTGTTAACGACTCATCACTTAACAACGGGCCTCCATAGAGCCCAATGTGTAGTGTATAGTGTAGTCTATAGTAGTGTAGTGTATAGTGTAGTCTATAGTAGTGTAGTGTATAGTGTAGTCTATAGTAGTGTAGTGTATAGTGTAGTCTATAGTAGTGTAGTGTATAGTAGTGTAGTGTATAGTAGTATGTGTAGTGTAGTGTATAAAAGTGTAGTGTATAGTAGTATATTGTAGTTAGTGTAGAACCCCTCTTAACGACCACCCCTGTTAACGACTCATCACTTAACAACGGGCCTCCATAGAGCCCAATGTGTAGTGTATAGTGTAGTCTACAGTAGTGTAGTGTATAGTGTAGTGGCTCTATAGAGCCCAATGTGTAGTGTATAGTGTAGTCTATAGTAGTGTAGTGTATAGTGTAGTGGCTCTATAGAGCCCAATGTGTAGTGTATAGTGTAGTCTATAGTAGTGTAGTGTATAGTGTAGTGGCTCTATAGAGCCCAATGTATAGTGTATAGTGTAGTCTATAGTAGTGTAGTGTATAGTGTAGTGGCTCTATAGAGCCCAATGTGTAGTGTATAGTGTAGTCTATAGTAGTGTAGTGTATAGTGTAGTGGCTCTATAGAGCCCAATGTGTAGTGTATAGTGTAGTGTATAGTGTAGTGGCTCTATAGAGCCCAATGTGTAGTGTATAGTGTAGTGTATAGTGTAGTCTATAGTAGTGTAGTGTGTAGTGTAGTGGCTCTATAGAGCCCAATGTGTAGTGTATAGTAGTGTAGTCTATAATAGTGTAGTGTATAGTGTAGTGTAGTGACTTTATAGTGCCCAATGTGTAGTGTATAGTAGTGTAGTCTATAATAGTGTAGTGTATAGTGCAGTGTAGTGGCTCTATAGAGCCCAATGTGTTCACTTACCGACCTTTCCCCTGTTAACGACGGGCTGTTGCAGGTACAGTAAATATTAATTCATGCATCGATTAACCGTGTTTATTTTAATATTGTGTGTTTATAATGTTGTTAGTATATTTATGTATTTATATCCATGGTTTAAATATTAGAAAGTACGTTTTTTGGGTGAAAAACGTTCATTTCCTTGCTATTGGAATGAATGAAGCCTTTAACATGTATTTCCTATGCACAACAACCAAATTACTTAACGACCGGTTTTGTGGAACCCATTTTGCCATCGTTACAGGTGAGCTGTATATACGTCGCACAGAACGAGGGAAACCCGAATAATATTTTAAGTTATGCGTCTTTGTAAATACAGTATTTTGTTGAAAGTCATCTATATTTTTACCACCCTTTTATAATCAACCAATATGAATGACATCACAAAAGCATGGACGCAACGTGGGAAATCACACAACCCTCCGATTAGCGACTGTTGGCTACGTGCGGCGTGAAAGAAGTTCAGCATACGTACATAATGTTCCTACTTTTTTCGTTTTCCTGGCAGCAAGATCCTCCTGTTGGTCAAAAATATACAGTGAGGGAAAAAAGTATTTGATCCCCTGCTGATTTTGTACATTTGCCCACTGACAAAGAAAAGATCAGTCTATAATTTTAATGGTAGGTTTATTTGAACAGTGAGAGACAGAAAAACAACAACAAAAATCCAGAAAAACGCATGTCAAAAATGTTATAAATTTATTTGTTTTAATGAGGGAAATAAGTATTTGACCCCCTCTCAATCAGAAAGATTTCTGGCTCCCAGGTGTCTTTTATACAGGTAACGAGCTGAAATTAGGAGAACACTCTTAAAGGGAGTGCTCCTAATCTCAGCTTGTTACCTGTATAAAAGACACCTGTCCACAGAAGCAATCAATCAATCAGATTCCAAACTCTCCACCATGGCCAAGACCAAAGAGCTCTCCAAGGATGTCAGGGACAAGATTGTAGACCTACACAAGGCCGGAATGGGCTACAAGACCATTGCCAAGCAGCTTGGTGAGAAGGTGACAACAGTTGGTGCGATTATTCGCAAATGGAAGAAACACAAAAGAACTGCCAATCTTCCACGGCCTGGGGCAAGGTCCCCCTGCTCAAGAAAGCACATATACATGCCCGTCTGAAGTTTGCCAATGAACATCTGAATGATTCAGAGGACAACTTTGGTGAAAGTGTTGTAGTCAGATGAGACCAAAATGGAGCTCTTTGGCATCAACTCAACTCGCCGTGTTTGGAGGAGGAGGAATGCTGCCTATGACCCCAAGAACACCATCCCCACCGTCAAACATGGAGGTGGAAACATTATGCTTTGGGGGTGTTTTTCTGCTAAGGGGACAGGACAACTTCACCGCATCAAAGGGACGATGGAAGGGGCCATGTACCGTCAAATCTTGGGTGAGAACCTCCTTCCCTCAGCCAGGGCATTGAAAATGGGTCGTGGATGGGTATTCCAGCATGACAATGACCCAAAACACACGGCCAAGGCAACAAAGGAGTGGCTTAAGAAGAAGCACATTAAGGTCCTAGAGTGGCCTAGCCAGTCTCCAGACCTTAATTCCATAGAAAATCTGTGGAGGAAGCTGAAGGTTCGAGTTGCCAAACGTCAGGCTCGAAACCTTAATGACTTGGAGAAGATCTGCAAAGACGATGGGGCAAAATCCCTCCTGAGATGTGTGCAAACCTGGTGGCCAACTACAAGAAACGTCTGACCTCTGTGATTGCCAACAAGGGTTTTGCCACCAAGTACTAAGTCATGTTTTGCAGAGGGGTCAAATACTTATTTGTTGTTGTTATTCTGTCTCTCACTGTTCAAATGAACCTACCATTAAAATTATAGACTGATCATTTCTTTGTTAGTGGGCAAACGTACAAAATCAGCAGGGGATCAAATACTTTTTTCCCTCACTGTAAATGTGTGTTTGTAGTCCTTCATTGCCTCCACCACGGGTGACCAAGCCCATGCTCTAAGCCATGCGAGCACAGTGCTTTGAGACGGTCATTATGTGGCTTCGTGCTACATTAGCCTCTCCGTCGTGTGGCGCTATTTGGAACACAAATGGCCCATTGTCACAGCCAATATCAATTCATGCAGAAGTGGTGGGGGGGGGAGTTTTTTGTTGACATTTTTAATTTTTCTATTTCAAGTGCCGGTAATTGAAGTATTCTTTTTTTTCTCTCCACTTTTCATTCGATGATTTCATTTAGCTTCGCGCAAAGGTGACCGGCATTTGCTTTTTGTCTAGCGTAAACAATAACAGAATCAGCTTGCCATTGCCGAACGCCTGCTAACAAAAAAATGATCTCTCGGACGAACGGAAAATGGCGTTTGTGTCGAAATGGGTTTCATGAAAATTACCTTGCCCAGTGGAAATGTTCATACCGTTGGAAAACGTGTCCATGCATTTAAGTACAAATAAGGTTCGTATTATTATTTTGTATATTCTTGGAATGTCTCAACAAAGTCTCAAGGCTTTTTCTCTAGAGAGTCCTTCTTTGGTATTGTTTGGCCGATTTCTCCAAAATAATAATGTAAGCACGTTTTTAAACAACAACATTAAAAAATAAGCACGATATGTAACGCGCGCATGTGTCACGGGTCGGACGCAATTTTCCATCGAGAACTCACGAGGCACGAAGCCAAAGCTCAAAGCTCCTCGTACACCAAACTAATTGGATGAGAGCCTGGCCGGGTGAGGGGCTGAAGAGGTGGGGGTCTAAATGGATGAGAGCCTGGCCCGCTGAGGGGCTGAAGAGGTGAGGGGCATGATATTTTCGTGTGATTTTACCCAGAGAGGTAACGTGTCGAGGGATTCTTAAAGTGTGGACAGTGACGCCGGCACACGTGGCCTGCTGTCTTTTTGAGCGATGCCACACGGGATCTTGAACGTCTGCTGTGAAGCAGACTTGCGCATGGTATTTATGGTCGAAACACCCGGAGTATTAACCAGGGTGGCCGCTAGGTTCGAAACCGCGAACGTCTCTGCAAGAAGCGGCGCGCGTTCTATTGTTTGGCCGTGCGAACGTTCGGCCGTTTTACTAACGCACATCGAGATACGTTTTATTTTTGTTTAAATTTGTCATTATTCTCTTTCAGGGTGACGCTGGAAGTCCTGGGTCTAAAGGTGACAAGGTATGGATTTTTTTACTGATTTTTCCATATTTTCTTATCACCAACTGTGTTAACCAGAGGTCACTTTGGAAGGGATCTCAGAGGTATCTCTGTGATATCCACTTCCTTGGGGCCTTTACTTCCAAGGGATTGTTTCTCACAGGTTATGACACCGAGATCACAATCTGGATAACGTTGCGGACAAAGAAAATGTATTGAATACTAAACAATGATATTTCCTGTTCGTTGGCCCCGTGATTATTACTGTGCAGGGAAACTCAGTGGGTGTTGAAGGACTGCCCGGAGCGAGAGGCAACAAAGGAGAGCCAGTGAGCACGAGCATCACCGACACCCACACCCTACAAAGACAAAGATCCCCCGTATAGCCTTAACGGACTGTTGGGGCAAGTGCTGTTAGCGAGCACCTATAAAGGCCGGCATGGTACACGAAGGAGTGGGTGGCCAGCACCACGCCAGGCCGCCTATGTCTCCCCAGTGACAATATTTAAGCACCACACCCAGGTATTTATTTGAGGCTGAGTCAACCTAGGGGAGGCCCAGGACCGGTTCATGACACCGGGTCGCCAGGTTTGTAGCGCAGCACGCAAACAGCTACACACACACAGACACTCTTCCTAAATCGGCGATTCTTAAACTTTTCTGGGGGAATGCACCCACAGGCATGGATACCGTGCAGGAGAAATTTCGACAGTGGCAACGGTGAAAGTCAGCATCACGTTGTGGTGATGACATGAAATAAGTGCCTTGCTCACACTGCACTGACTAGAGGCATGAATTTGTATTTAGATCTTAGTAATAATTTGCTTTTAGGAGTTTGATGGGGTAGGGGCAATTGGAAGGCCGCTATACCAACAGGCTGAGAACCACTGCCCTAAATACACACCTCCTGGATGGCTCGTCATAAGTGGCAGCCAGGATCTACCCACTGCACGTGCCCCTGTGTATCTGTGCGTGTGTCAATCGCAATGTGTGTGTGTACGCAGGGTGAACGTGGCTTCAAGGGGCTGGATGGAGAGAGTGGATTGAAAGGTGACTCTGGGATGCCAGGGCAGAAGGTAAACGTGGAGCCAGAATCGGAACTCGAATATGTATTTATTTATTTATACTGGCGGGTTTAACGACACATGTATATTTACGCGATCTAGCCCATAATCCTCTATTATGGATAATTTTGGTCGCGGAAGCCTACGTGTTAAGCTAACTATAAAGCTCTTTTTCATCAATGTCCGGTAGGGGCAGGTCAGAACGTTACAACACCAGACACTTGGTGTCAGGACTTGAGGATCGGGATTTTTAGTTATCGGGCACCTAACTACCACGGCATCTTAACGCTCTTTACGTGCAAAAAAAAACCACACGAATCGCAGAAAGACACAATTTTGGTGAGCGTTATGAGCGTGGTGAGTGTGGCGAGCGTGGTGAGTGTGGCGAGCGTGGGGAGTGTGGCGAGTGTGGCGAGCGTGGTGAGGGTGGCGAGTGTGGTGAGGGTGGTGAGTGTGGTGAGCGTGGCGAGTGTGGTGAGGGTGGCGAGCGTGGCGAGCGTGGTGAGTGTGGTGAGTGTTTCGAGTGTTAGTGCAGACCCGTCGTTTTGGACTTTCCCTTGTGTGTGTGCACTGTTAACGCCAACCCTCTCAGAAATGCCGTCTCCACCTCCATCAAGAAGTAACAGAAAGGGACTGAAGTATAAAACCCTGGGTCTGTGAGACAAATACAAAGTTTTGGATATAATTGATGCAGAGTGTGTGTCAATGCGTACGTGGTGTGAAAAGTTTGGCAAACTAATTTGGATTATTTTTCTAATTGTGGCAGGAGGCACTGGGGAGTACCATTGTACATCATTTGGAATATTGGATAATTCGGCAAGGCCACAGCCCCATATGTGTCGAATTAACATAGTTTTGCTTTGCAGTAATTACATTGTGAGTGTAATTCTGGTGCACATGGCATCATAGTCTTTTTTTGTAATGTCACGGGATCTTTAATGTCTGCTGTAAGCTAGACCGTCTTTATTTGCTTAATGCACCAGAAGTATTCGTTTTAGTTCGCTTATATCCATGCCTGGCGGCCACATTTAATCGAATTTATTTCCATGGCGACCTAAGAAAATAGGACCACAATGCAGTTCTTCGATGAAATGCCGATGGGTTATTTTTTTGCATAATGCATTCATGCTTATTACCCACGTGTGCGTGCTGTTTAAAACTCACGCCTAGCACCAGCACCGCATGTGGAGCTCGTCTCTGACTCTTGATAAATCTGAATTCGTAACTCATCGCTGCCATCTCACCCCCCCCCTCCCCCGTCCTTCTCTCTATCTCTGTCCCTATTGCTGCACCTTGACAGGGTGACAAAGGGGAACCGGGTCTACAGGGGTCAGTGGGAATTTCCGGACCTAGAGGCCCACTGGGAGAGAAGGTGAGAGCTGCCTACTTTGTATTCCCGTCGGGTGGCTGGAGCAGCCCTCTGCATAGAGAACGTCCGACCGTGTCCGTCCATTGCTCGCTGAGCCCCATTAGCTTCCATTACACACACAAAGTGCCTGCCACAAAATGAACCACGATAGCTTGCTGATCTCGTCTAGGAGCTTAAACCATCGCGCAAACTCAGGTCATCAACGCAGCGGCGGCTTTTGGCAAACTATTGAACAAAGGCACTTTCAGATGCGCTTCTGCGGCCGTCTGGAACGCACTTCCGTTTGATATTAGTAAGCCATCGGAGCTATGTACTTTTAAATCTCGATTTAAAACGAATTACTTTATAACTGTTTTTGTTCATTGTCTGTTGTCCATTCGCCGCATCTCCCATTAGCACGGTTGGCTACGTACAGCGCGAAAGACATTCAACTTACAGATATACGTACTGCTTAATCATCCAGTCCACATGACTCTGCTTGTGCGGTCACACAGCCCCCCACGTAATGGTTCATGAGAACGGCCAGTTGAAGTGAACTCCAGGAGAAACGACTGATGAACTTTGCGAGTTGGCCTCGAGACAGATATGACCGGAGCAAAAGTCGCGGAGACGTTTCGCGAAGCGAACGGAGACGTTTGTTGGACAACGCAGGCGTGTTTGTTTGGAATAAAATGGTTAAATTTAAGAAGCAAGTGAGAGCAGGTGCTTTTGTGAAACTAAATTTTATGATAAAGAAGTGCCAGAAGAGGAATAAAGTGTTCAGTGAGTGGGCATTGCCCGCGATCGTGTATGGTTTGAAAAGCATGTTCATAAACAAAAGTCATGGCGCAAAATGTGAAAAGTGTGCAAAGAAGCGTGGGGAGATACGCGCCTTGAATTACACCGACAGAGGATTGCACTGGATCAGGGACCAACCAACGATTATGGACGTCCAAAATGGAGTTTTTTTTGGGGTTAGATCGCGTCAACATAAATGTGTCGTTAAACCCGCCACCACCCTACACAGCCAATTAGTAAGGTTTTTCACGTCAACAAAACATTGCAATTCGTTACTCGTGGAGCACATCGGTGTGTTGGAGAGTAAACCCACAAATCGTAAATGTGACAAACCTTACTAAGGGGCTTGTCGGGTGGTGGCAGGTTTAACGTCGCATTTATATTCACGCAAAATAACCCCAAAAAACCTGTTATGGATAAAATTGGTCGCAAAAGGCAACGTGTTGAGCTGATTACGGATGTTTGTTGGACTTCTTTTGCATCGTACGTCGCCAACCGTGCTCATCGGAGGTTGCGGGTGGAAGGGCAATAAAGGAAACAGTCAATGTGGTTGAGAGAGACATCACATTGACTGTTGAGGACAGTGAAGTGGGCTTGGGCTGGATTCGTCCGCTCCGAGGGATAACAGCCGATGGATGAGACTGGGAACAGAATGGGCAGAGGTCCCGTGGTTTACAAGAGGCTTGAGCTGGTTGAGAGAGATATATCGAATGGCTGAGATGGGGAAAACTTTAATTTTACACCACCGGTTAAAATCCACCAAAGGAATCGTAGAAACGTGTTTTGATAAAATGTCAGTTCTTTTTTTGTCCACTTCTCATTTATTTCAGGGTGAGCCAGGTGAAGTGGGCCTTCCAGGAGACCCGGTAAGAATTTCATATATCAATATATATAACCGTATTCTCCGGAAAAAGTTGTCGATAGAGCTATGCAAATCTGGTCGCGCACACACGGGGCACTAGGTTATCAGAGGCACCCTCAACTTTTGCTTTTCAATAAATGTTGAAAAAGTGCATCTTTTAATCTGCAGAAGAAATCATAATTTCTTTGTTGACATGACCATCAATTTAGATGTGAGGCTGGTGGATCACTCAAAAGATGGAAGCACGATGTTTGCTAGTCTCCCACAAATTAATGGCTTTAGGAGGGAGTGCAGGGAGTAGGTTTGTGACTGGCCACCGTGTGAAATGGAATTACACTGTTAGCATCTCGAAATTGTCAGTTATCTCATGGAACTCGGATTTATTCTCACACAGCATGAATATACAATTTGAAATTGGCCAAACAGCTTTGAGTCTTGAGACTAGGTATGGCTTTCCATGATGCTGCTTCTGGAGGTGGTGCTGATGCTGATGAGACCGAATATGAAGCTGCTACTGCTACAGTGGTTGCTGTTTATAATGATGATCATGATATTCTTGGGTCTTTCGGTAAAGTCACGTAGATAGGCTCAAAGAAAATAACAAAAAATAACAAAAACCTACGATGATCGCTTGTGTTGCGATCGAAACGTCGTAGTTTTTTGTTATTTTTTGTTGTTATTTTCTTTGAACCTATCTACGTGACTTTGCCGAAAGACCCAATAATATGAATTCCTGTAGTCACGAAAGCTTTAATCAAGATGATCATGATGGTAATTGTATTGGCGACAATGCTTAGGAATATTAACAATTAATCAATGAATAGATTCTTGCACTGACAATGCATGCATAGAAATGTGCGTGTAAGAATACACGTATTTAATTTAATTAGTATATACTTTATTTTTGATAATACCACTATGGATTCCATAAACTCGTACCACTGTAGCTTCTATAGATTCACACAGCACTATAGCTATCCACATCACTATAAAATCAACATGCACCACAATGGCAAATGTTAATTAACCAATGGAATAATGCCTTCGAATCGTGACAATTCATGAAATTGTGGGGGAGATTAATTGTTGCACTGGTAACGATGCCACTGATTCAACCGCAATTACAATTTGCATTTATATAGCATCTAAATGCAACAGCATCTCAAGATGCTAATGATGGTGATACCATGATAATCAATGAATATTTCCTCTCCCATTCTTTAACTTAGTCAATCCTCCCTCCGGCGTTGATAAAGCAGAGCGCCACTTTGCTGGTGAAGTCAACGGTGGTTGTGCTATGGATAAACTCGCCCCCGACATAGCAATGTCGAATTTCCACCAACTGACACCAGTTGAGATAAGCACCACCTCCGTGGTCATCTGAACAGCGAATCGCCGTCACTTTGATGCTAACCGCACGGTGGAGTGGTGGCAGGGCGGTGAATCCACTGCGCCATTAAACCCAGCCACGTGATTTCATTTTCCAGCGAAGGCTAACATCAGTGGCGAGTGATATGCGAGCGAATCTTGGGTACCCCCCGCCCAACCCCCCCCCCCCCGATCCTCTTCCAAGACGTCTGGCCAGAGTGGAAGAGTAGGCCAAAACATACTCTCTAGAAGGAGCTCCCTAAACGGTGGAGGGTTAGGCATGGCACATATGCAGCAATCATAGGACCTGGCAGAGGGTGACTTCTACGCCGCTGGCCGTGGTGATCTCCCGGTTCTGACCTTGTGGGGTACCCTTCCACCAGCAGTGGAGTGAGCAAGCAATTGCAGGGCTGCCCCTGGACCTGTTTTTTTAATTTTAGTTTTAGCGATGGGCAGGCCGCGTGCGGTGGGGTGCGGTGCGGGTCACTCCCACCTCTTCCAGGATGCCTGGCGGGCGTGGAGCAGGAGGCCTAGATGCTGCCCTTCAGCGGGGCTCGCGAGGCAGCAGTGACGTGAGCGGGCACTTGCGGGGCTGCCCCTTTGACTTCTTTACTTCCTCAGGGAGAGGACGGGAGGTACGGCATCAACGGAACGAAGGGGGACAAGGGGGAGCGAGGCTTCCGTGGCCCAAAGGGCGACGTGGTGAGTACGCGCGACGCGGTGAGTACGTGGTGAGTACGTGGTGAGCACGTGGTGAGTACGTGGTGAGCACGCGCGACGTGGTGAGTACGTGGTGAGTACGCACGACGTGGTGAGCACGCGCTACGTGGTGAGTACGTGCGACGTGGTGAGTACGTGGTGAGTACGCGCTACGTGGTGAGTACGTGGTGAGTACGCGCGACGTGGTGAGTACGTGGTGAGTACGCGCTACGTGTTGAGTACGTGGTGAGTACGCGCTACGTGGTGAGCACGCGCGACGTGGTGAGTACGTGGTGAGTACGCGCTACGTGGTGAGTACGTGGTGAGTACGCGCTACGTGGTGAGTACGTGGTGAGTACGCGCTACGTGGTGAGTACGTGGTGAGTACGCGCTACGTGGTGAGCACGCGCGGTGCCAGAGGCGCGTTGCGAAAAAGAAGCCCCGGCACTTGGGAGGAGAAACTTGGGAGCAGCAACTCGGGTGGTTTTCGGAGTGTGGGACGCCGGGCGCGAACACGCCGCGGGTGTGCGTGTGTGTGTGCGTGCGTGTGTGTCTGTGCGTGTGTGTGCGTGCATGCGTGTGTGTGCGTGTGTGTGTGTGCGTGTGTGCGTGTGTGTGTGTGCGTGAGTGCGTGCGCACACCCCCAGCGGGTGCGATGGGCTCGGCCGCTCCCGTTCAGGATGCCGCAGGAGCACAGGCGACCCCAAGAGAAAGACCAAAATCCACATAGTGGGATGCCGACCATAAGAATCATCCTTGGAGGATATGTCAATCGTGTAACACGGGAAGGCACTAACGATATTGAAAACTCATTTCTTAAAGAGCTGCTTTTTGTGTTGAGTTTATTCCCCCCCCCCCCACACCTCCAATTAGCATGGTTGGCGACGTATAGTGAAAAATAACTTCAATGTACGTACATGCATAGCAACAGCCGTGTTGATGAGACTTCTGACAGCAGACCTTGGAGGTCTGGCATCGACACGTGCAGCAATTACGGGATCTGGCAGAAGGAAGGAAGCGATGGCGATGCTCGGTGACATCGACGCCACCGGCCGTGATCTCCCGGTTATGCCAGGGCACCCTTGCCACCGCTGGATGAGGGTAGTATCTCAATGACACGTTCCTGTACGTGAAGTCGCTCTGGCTTCTACGTGACTGCTGCACGATCTGTGTTGCTGGTCTCTTCCTAGGGCCTCATGGGCGAAAAGGGGAAATGTGGCAATGATGGAGTTAAAGGCGACAAGGTGAGTATTGGGCATGCGCTCCTCAATGCATCGTAGCTGTTTTTCGCCATCTTTATGAATCTTCAGCATGGGATTATGGGGAATATTTTTCGCGCCTCCTAAATAGATCGTTCCCTTATTGTCATAATTTAAAAAGTCATCATCGAGACTGGGTTGTACCCCTTGCAAATGGCAGCATATATTGAGCAAGCCAGTACTGAGCCAGAACTTCCTCATTCTTATGGCAGGGACGATAACATCCTTATGACAACCGCCATTGTTTTCCTATGATGTGGTACCTATTTAATGAATCTGCAAAAAATATTATGGTGATGATGATTTTGTTATTTATGAAGGTGATAAAGATACTTTCCATGATGCTGATGGTGATCATGCTGATGAATATTATAACTGATACCTACCAGACGATGAGACACACCACACAACTCTTCACTCCTGCCTTGAACATTTTAAAAAGCGCGTCTTATAATCCGGAGATAACGGCGAGAGCTGAAACTTAAAAAAAAACATACAACTTTCAACCGAGTAGTATAAAATCAGTGACCACATTTTTCTAACCAATGTAACAAGAAAATTGACAAAATATAATCGAACACCGTTCGTCAATAACACGGCTGCCATAAAAGGAAATAATTATAAAATATGCTACGTGTTGGGCAGTGGCTCATGGCACAGGGCTATTGCCAAACACTCCTTGCCTATTGCTTACTTGCACACTTAACCCCGATGAAAGTCAGAACTCATAAACACCTTATTGTGAAAGACCCAGCGCAGAACATCCCTGTGGGGTCGATCTTCCACAAAGCTCGTCGTCCTCCCCAAATCGCATCCACTGCACAAACCATGGCAGATGCGGACACCCGATGCGAAAAAGGAAAATATTTTTTTTTTAAAAACTCTCCAGTCGTGTGCGACTGTGGTCCTCCAGAACAGAGACCGGTAGGGCGTGTGATGATGCAATGCTCCGACCCACGAGTGCGAAGAAGACGTCACGGCGGCGCTGCACTCCACTGCTCCTTAGGCGGTTTATTTGGCTTGACCACCTGAATGTGAAATTGTAGCTGATGCTCTGCAGCTACATCAGCAACCGTCTGACAAGAAGAATGAGACTTTATTCCACGGCGGTGGTGTTATTGACGAAGGAGTTGAGTTTTGTTCACTGTGACCGTGCACCACTGCCATAATGCAGCAGCATCGCCGAATGATTTGTTGACATTACCAATTTGAAAGGCGCTTTATAAAACTGACTATTATTATCGTTAATTAACAGTGCACCTCGGGGAATTCCATTTTCTAAATGGCTCTGGTTATTTTAAAGAACGCAAATCGTCTGTTAAAAACTCAAAACACTAGTGAACAACGCTGCCTCAGTAGAAATAGAAATGTATAAAATTAGTGAGGTTTTTATGTGCATAGCACATATAAAACCCCCCCTCTGTTGGTCTTGAATGCCTCTGTTTTGTTCTCCTAGGGCAACTCGGGCCTTCCTGGGAGGATGGGACTCCCTGGACCACGTGCTGACAGGGTATGACCGTTTTGTGAAATCTCCTGAATGAAATGTCGAGTATTTTTGTCGAGATGGCCTGGTGACTCGGGGGTTTCATAATGGCCGTGTGGAAGCACCACTAAGATGCCGTCACCACTGAGCTGCTGGGTTTGAATCCGGCGTTGAGACGCGCATGATTAAACCGGCGTCTCGAGTGCGGCGAGATGATGGTCTCAACTCACAGCGATCAATGAATGACCGCACAAAAAATGTACATATTTTGGCTCAATAACTTTTTTCATGAAATTTGTCTGTGAGATACGTAGTAGATATGTAAATATATTGTATGTGGGAGAGGCGCCTAATTGTCGTTCGTATGACCGAGTTGATTACATTTTTATTCCTTTATTCATTAATTTGTTTGTGTTGTGTTTTTCGGAAAGGGGGAATCGGGAGTCTCTGGAGCTCCTGGACAGCCCGGGTTGGAAGGATTGCCGGGAGCGAAGGTAAACATTCTGTTTTAAATTTTGATTTAAAGCTTTCGTGACTGCAGTAATTCATATTCTTAGCTCTTTCGGTAAAGTCACGTTGAAGGGAAGTAATAAAATAATAATATATATAAAACAATAAAAATGCTCACGACGTTTCGACCATAACGCAAACGGTCGTCACCTGATGACGACCGTTTGTGTTATGGTCGAAACGTCGTGAGAATTTTTATTGTTTTATATATATATTATTATTGCCTTATTTCCCTTCAACGTGACTTTACCGAAAGAGCTAAGAACATTCTGTTTTAAACTTTATAAGACAAGATTCTAACATCTAGCGAAATCAAATGCCGTGTTTTACAGTATGGTTGGCCAAACAAGGTGACCGACCGAATATCCACGTCGCATGTCTTATGTTTATTTTAACAGGACCATTTGTCTGACTAAGAATAATACGAATATAATAATATGTAAGAAAGTAACATTGTGGCTTACGGGTCATCACCGCGAAGACCCTTGGTTTGACTCCAGGTTTTAGCCACCGGTAATTGAGCCAGCTTCTCAAAGTTGATGTTTTCAGTCTGGTCACTAATGACTTCACAAAAAAACCATTATTATTATTATTGTTCTGTTCCAACTTCATTTGCTTTCATCCAACTCAACAACAATTTCAGTTTGACGAACAACAGTTTGCAGATAATTAAAAGGCATGACCCTCGTGTGAATTATCAGCATTTGGTTTTAAGCAAGCAAACTCGGGACTAGTTTCAACCTTGCATGCCCACTCTGCAACACAGGGTGATGCACTGTTTAGCTGCTGATTTCCAAATTAAATTTCCTTCACCTCATGACCTAACATCACAATTGGAATATTATTTTCTAAAGCCAAAATAAAAACATTGTTATAAAATTAAACACGAAGCATAACGGTACTTGTTTTGGGTTGCCTTCATACATTCCCGACGACGATATCTCAAATCCTACAACACTGATTTGTCATTCGTTCTGCCTTCCAGGGAGACCGCGGTCGCGATGGAGCACAAGGGTCGCAGGGCGATCGTGGAGAAAAGGGCGACCGTGTAAATATCCTCTGTCCTGTAAAATAAACAAATAGAATATTAATGGGTAATAATAATAATAACGATATCAACAAAACTTTCTTCTGCCGAAGCTTTCGTGGAGTGAAATGTCGCCCACGTGCAAAATACATGGCCGAGCTCGTCCTATATTGCATAGATTTATAAAGCACCTCGCCTCAAGGTGATTTATAATAATTAAAACATTGTACGTCAGCTGACAGTGGTTGAAATTAAAGAGTGGCGTTATTCACAGTGTTGGCGTGGCTATGGTGACGGTGAGGCGAATGGGGGGGGGGGGAGTGATTAAGGAGAGGTTGGGGTAGTAATAGGGGTTGGAGTAGTGATAGGGGTTGGGGTAGTGATGGGGGTTGGGGTAGTGATGGGGGTTGGGGTAGTGATGGGGGTTGGGGTAGTGATGGGGGTTGGGGTAGTGATAGGGGTTGGGGTAGTGATAGGGGTAGGGGTAGTGATAGGGGTTGGGGTAGCGATAGGGGTTGGGGTAGTGATGGGGGTTTGGGTAGTGATAGGGGTTGGGGTAGTGATGAGGGTTGGGGTAGTGATAGGGGTTGGGGTAGTGATAGGGGTTGGGGTAGTGATAGGGGCTGGGGTAGTGATAGGGGTTGGGTGTAGTGATGGGGGTTGGGGTAGTGATAGGGGTTGGGGTAGTGATGGGGGTTGGGGTAGTGATAGAGGTTGGGGTAGTGATAGGGGTTGGGGTAGTGATGGGGGTTGGGGTAGTGATAGGGGTAGTGATAGGGGTTGGGGTAGTGATAGGGGTTGGGGTAGTGATGGGGGTTGGGGTAGTGATAGGGGTTGGGGTAGTGATGGGGGTTGGGGTAGTGATGGGGGTTGGGGTAGTGATGGGGGTTGGGGTAGTGATGGGGGTTGGGGTAGTGATAGGGGTAGTGATAGGGGTTGGGGTAGTGATAGGGGTTGGGGTAGTGATGGGGGTTGGGGTAGTGATAGGGGTTGGGGTAGTGATGGGGGTTGGGGTAGTGATGGGGGTTGGGGTAGTGATGGGGGTTGGGGTAGTGATAGGGGTTGGGGTAGTGATGGGGATTGGGGTAGTGATGGGGGTTGGGGTAGTGATGGGGGTTGGGGTAGTGATAGGGGTTGGGGTAGTGATAGGGGTTGGGGTAGTGATAGGGTTTGGGGTAGTGATGGGGGTTGGGGTAGTGATGGGGGTTGGGGTAGTGATAGAGGTTGGGGTAGTGATAGGGGTTGGGGTAGTGATGGGGGTTGGGGTAGTGATAGGGGTAGTGATAGGGGTTGGGGTAGTGATAGGGGTTGGGGTAGTGATGGGGGTTGGGGTAGTGATAGGGGTTGGGGTAGTGATGGGGGTTGGGGTAGTGATAGAGGTTGGAGTACTGATAGGGGTTGGGGTAGTGATAGTGGATGGGGTAGTGATAGGGGTTGGGGTAGTGATAGGGTTTGGGGTAGTGATGGGGGTTGGGGTAGTGATAGAGGTTGGGGTAGTGATAGGGGTTGGGGTAGTGATAGTGGATGGGGTAGTGATAGGGGTTGGGGTAGTGATAGGGGTTGGGGTAGTGATGGGGGTTGGGGTAGTGATAGAGGTAGGGGTAGTGATAGGGGTTGGGGTAGTGATAGAGGTTGGGGTAGTGATAGGGGTTGGGGTAGTGATAGGGGTAGTGATAGGGGTTGGGGTAGTGATGGGGGTTGGGGTAGTGATGGGGGTTGGGGTAGTGATAGGAGATGGGGTAGTGATAGGGGTTGAGGTAGTGATAGGGGTAGTGATAGGAGTTGAGGTAGTGATAGGGGTAGTTATAGGGGTTGAGGCAGTGATAGGGTTGTTGTAGGCCTGGTCGTATATGTGGGACAGGGGCAGTGAGTAGCACCCAGAGAAGAGGAAGATCTGGACGTTTAGGAAAACATCCTCCTTCAGGAAAGACTGAGATTTACATGAATTGAGTGATTTGCCCAGTTTAGAGTCCACTGCTGGATCCATCTACTTCTGGATGAGGGCCTCCGCATGTCGCATGGATCACAGGAGTTATTTGACCATACTTCACCATGCTGGTCAGTGCCTGCTGATGAACGTTGGAAGCATAGGTGTTGAAGCATAGAAGTGCAGTACAGCAATAGGCTTGGCTTATCACATTATCCCCGCTGCCCCACATGACAGCCAGTGGGCATACAGAGGTCACCTGTCCCAGCACTATCCAGGCTCAACTCTGCTTAGTTTCTTAGACCTGACAAGATAGGGCACATGTCCAGGTTACTTTGTCATAGGCGTGTAGCGTGCTGTGTTTATGCTCGCATATGTTATGTGGGGAGCAGTAGTGTAGTCGTTAGCGTGCTGCACTACGAACCCGATGACCCGAGTTCGATTCCCGCTCACGGCTAACACCGGTGACGATTATCCGAACCGATCCTGGGCCTCCCCTAGGTCGACTCAGCCTCAAATAAGTACCTGGTGCAGTGTGTAAACGTCGTCACTTGGGAGACAAAGGCGGCCGGGCGTGGTGCTGGCCACCCACCCTCTCATGTGCCGTGCCGGCCTTCATAGGTGCTCACTAATAGCACTTAATCCCAACATTCTGCAGGCTATGCAGGCGGATCTTTGTCTTAGTTTTGTATGTTATATTGCTTCTGATCGCCAGGGTATCATTGGCATGTCCGGGGCACCTGGGCCAAAAGGTTCGGAGGGACAGCCTGGCCCATCTGGCCCCCCTGGGCCTCCCGGGCTCCGTGGCCTTGAAGGAATTCAAGGCCAGAAGGTACTGAACCCCACGCACAGTGACATCATCATCAGCTGGAGCAAGTCACCAGTTTCATACGGTCATTTTTTTCCATAATCTTATCCCAATTGTACAGTCGGTGCCATGTCATGAGATAATAATGACAGTAGTTAAAAATGTAGGTTTTTGTGGACAATGCAATAATCCACAACCCGTTTCTTTGGTTCGGCTGTGTGACGGTAGTTTTATGCCCACCACCCAACAAGATTGTCACATTTCCAAAGATGTTCTGTTCACAGTGGGCCAGTGTGTTGAATGATTTTTTTTTAAATAACGCTCCTCACTGGTGACGTAAGAATTTTCCTGATTAGATTTACCACCAAACCACCAGTTAAAGGCCCACTAAGCTCTATAGCTCTTTTTCAGAAGCGACCTGGCCACACATGATAGATCAACGAAGTGGCTTATCACGTGGAAATTTATCACAGCCAAATACTCTAAACACTTGTTTTTAAATGTGGAGGGGAAAATCCCGAGGACCCGGAGAAAAATCTATGCGACCACGGGGAGAATATGCAAACTCAAAATATATGGGCGTAAGGGTCGGGATCGGATCTACGACCTCGTGCATACCAGGCGAGGTAGTTAACATCTCGCCACCAGCGATGCGACTACGTGTCTCTCAAACAGCGTTGAGCTTCTTCAGGTGGTGAACGAACACCGAGTGAGGTTGCATCAGATGACTCTGCATTAGCCGACTGGTAAATGCACTGCGGGCAGGGGCGGAGCCACAGGGGGGGCTGGGGGGAGGGGGGCTCAGCCCCCCCTGATATTTTGGGAATGTCGGTAATCGGGATAACCAGATATCCGGCTGCTGCAAAATGCTGGCTACCACCTTGTGCTGCCCTGCAGGCTGCCACCTCGTGCTGCCCTGCAGGCTGCCACCTTGTGCTGTCCTGCAGGCTGCCTGCCACCTTGTGCTGCCCTGCAGGCTGCCACCTCGTGCTGCCCTGCAGGCTGCCACCTTGTGCTGCCCTGCAGGCTCCCACCTTGTGCTGCCCTGCAGGCTACCACCTTGTGCTGCCCTGCAGGCTGCCACCTCGTGCTGCCCTGCAGGCTGCCACCTTGTGCTGCCCTGCAGGCTCCCACCTTGTGCTGTCCTGCAGGCTGCAACCTTGTGCTGTCCTGCAGGCTGCCACCTTGTGCTGCCCTGCAGGCTACCACCTCGTGCTGCCCTGCAGGCTGCCACCTTGTGCTGTCCTGCAGGCTGCCACCTTGTGCTGCCCTGCAGGCTGCAACCTTGTGCTGTCCTGCAGGCTGCCACCTCGTGCTGCCCTGCAGGCTGCCACCTTGTGCTGCCCTGCAGGCTGCCACCTTGTGCTGTCCTGCAGGCTGCCCCCAGGTGCTGCCCTGCAGGCTGCAACCTTGTGCTGTCCTGCAGGCTGCCTGCCACCTTGTGCTGCCCTGCAGGCTGCCACCTTGTGCTGCCACCTTGTGCTGCCCTGCAAGCTGCCACCTTGTGTGCTGCCCTGCAGGCTGCCACCTTGTGCTGCCCTGCAGGCTGCCACCTTGTGCTGTCTTGCAGGCTGCCACCTTGTGCTGCCCTGCAGGCTGCCCCCAGGTGCTGCCCTGCAGGCTACTTGAGCGGCAGCCTTTCGAACTTATCGAACTTATTAGCCACGTCAGCGGCTCCGAACCTATTAATAAAGTCCGCGTTCAAATCCAATAAAATTTGTTTTATACATTTGTGGCGCCCATTGGAAAACATAAACACTGGATATCTCAGAATATTGAAGTCAACCCCCAAAGTCAAAATCCTGGCTCCGCCCCTGACAGCGGGTATTTAGGAGTCAGCTAATGCAGAGCCAACTGGTGCACCTCACTCAATCTCTGACACATTGGTCACGTATAAATTACATATTTGTAAACGTGACAATCTTGTCGGGTTTGTGGAGGGATAAATGGCAAGAATCTTGGTGTAAAAGACTACTTTGGTGGCCGAACCCAAAACTTAAAACATATGGATGTTAATAATAAAAATCATTTAGAATTTGTAGAGCACACAGTTTTCGTTCACTCCCAAAAATCACAACATTTAACTCCAGTATTAATGAGGGCTTTTATGCTTCCTCAATTCCCACTCATAACTAACATAAGTTGTGAATATCTACATCGGTTGTGAACCTCCTCTAGCTCAACTCAGCCTTAAATGAGTGTCTGGTGCGGTGTGTAAACATCGTCAAAGGTGGTGAGACGTGGTATTGGCCTCGTGTGCCATGCCGGCCTTCACAGGTGCTCGCTAAAAGCACTTGCCCCCAACTATCTTCGTGTCAATATAGGTGGTCTTTGTGTGTGTATGTAGGGTGATCGGGGTCCGGCTGGACAGGGGATGAGTGGCCCTCGTGGTGTCCCTGGAGTTCCTGGTGAGAGGGGAGACCCTGTAAGTACAACATCTTACCACCACTGTCATCATCCTTGTCATCATGACTTCCGTCATCATTGCCGTCATCATCGTCGTCCTCATCAGCAGCAGTAGGAACAGTTAGAGCAATTGAGTCGAGATGTGGTGTAGCAATAAATAAGGGTCTTGATGGCAGATGAGACGAGGAAGAGGCAATGTGAAACATGTTGCAAAGGCTCAAGCAGGAGCTTCTACAGAGTTGAGAGATGTGGAAGGCGAATGGGAACTCTTGGTCAATGGCAACGCCAAGGTGTCTGACGCGTTCTAGCAACTTGATGTCAGAATTTATATATAGCACCCACGAACCTGCGGCTTTAGCTAAAAGACTTGAGTTTTCTTTAAATTCTCGGGAAATTTTAAATAATAATTTGCAGCGCTTTGTAAATCCGTATCTGAATGAAGACCTCTCCATGCCATGTTGGTCGTTGGCGTTTTTTAACCATACAATGCTGCCCTTGCCAATGCCTTGAAATATCCTTTAAAAATCGGGACACAGTCCCCATCATCAGTGAGCTCCTCTGGCAAGCACGGCTGCATTGTCTGGGTCTTGTAGCCCGCATTCCCCGCCAGGTAGAGGGGGCTAAATGGGTGCGGCACAGGCCAGAAAATACATAGACTGATGTGTTATAGGAGGATTTGGAGCAGATTGGAATCGCCGATGACTGGCACCAGTGGTGTCCAGATCGGCTACTGTGTAGGAGGGTGGTAGTGTTAGGCAGAAAGCCGACACTGAAAACATTGAGTGGAATGCCAGGCAGCTAAAACACAGCAAGGTGCCACAGTGGGGAACACGCTTTCCGTACATCTGCCAGGCATCTCGGTTAACGTATAGCACCTGGGTCTGTCTGTTGACCTCATGTCAGCGAGTCATTGACACTTCACGTGGCCTCAAAGTGCACTTGGCCTGGCACAAGCGCGGTGGTGATGTCACCGCCGCTTAGTGGCGATCGCCAGCGTGGGGTGGCGACGAGGGTTCCAGGACTGGTTCAGATTTCCCCTCACCTCTCATATTTGGTTAGCCGTTGCAGGGAGTCAAACTCAGGTGATCAGCTTGGTGTGCAAACTTCCGCACCACAGTATTACAGTATTTGGTGTCTGTGCGTTTCCACATGATAGGCCACTTTATTGAGCTATCATTTGTGACTAAGGTCACTTGTGAATAAGAGCTTAATAGTTCAAGGGGCCTTACCTGGTAAATAAAAAGTTGCTTTGCAATATTGCCTTGTAAATCCAAATCCTGTTGTGTTTTGTCACTTCATCACTTCACTATTTTAACCCTGAGAACTGTGGCCGTTTGCAGGGAGATTTTGGAGTGGACGGCTCGAAGGGGGACAAGGGTGACGCTGGGCTAAACGTGAGTGCTCATGTCTGGGCTGCCAACTAGGATAGACCCAAGGCTTCAGGCCTAAAGCTTCATAATGTATCACGGTGACGGGATGTGTATCACGGTGGCGAGATGTTAACTACCTCGCCTGGTATACGGGAGATCTTCGGTTCGATCCCGACCCTGACGCCTGCTGCATATTGGGAGTTTGCATGTTCTCCCAGTGGTTGCATGGATTTTTCTCTGGGTCCTCCGGTTTTTCCCCTCCACATTTAGAAGTGTGCATTTAGATTATTTGGTTGCTGTACATTTCCATATGATAAGCCACTTCGTTGGGCTATCATTTGTTTCCAGGTCGCTTCTGAAAAAGAGCTATACAGTATATTGCTCAGTGAGTCTTACCTGGTAAAATACAAAAAATTGTTCAATTAAGTTAGCTATGTTCATTTTTCTCCAAGTCCTCTGGTTTTTCCCTCCACATTTAGAAGCGTGCTTTTGGCTGCTATAAATTTCCCACACAATGATAAAACCACTTCGTTGTGGCCAGGTCGCTTCTGAGCTATCATTTGTGATAGCCAGGTCGCTTCTGAGCTATCATTTGTGATAGCCAGGTCGCTTCTGAGCTATCATTTGTGATGGCGAGGTATCTTCTGAAAAAGAGCGAATAGCTCAGTGGGGCCTTACCTGGTAAAAAAAAAAGTAAACCGTCACTTGGTGTAAGACTTTAATGATAAAAATAATAATTCACATTTAAATCAATGTTAACGTGGGAGGTTCCGAGACAATTTTGGAAATTACACATTCCTGTTTTGGGGAGGGGGGCCGATTTGTCTTCGTCCATATTCCAACCCTCTGCTGACTTCTCACCAAAAGTGTTACTCACTTTATGTGGATGCTGAAGGGCGGACGATGGGCTGAGTCAACCTGCTAATAAACAAATGCTCAGTTTAAAACGTAGGCTTTTGCAACCAATGTAATTCATAATAAAGGATTTTTATTTTAAATGTGTCGTTAACCCACCACCACCCGACACCGCCAATAAGTAAGGTTTGTCACGTAAACACAAACGTACCAATTAGTAAACCCACAGAACCCACAACACACCGGTGGGCTGATGAATGGCTAAATGCTATTGACCTCGTCCACAGACTCGAGACTTGTCTAACATTCCACAGGTAGCCGTTGAGATAACCGAGACTAAAATTATATCTTAAATTAGCACTGCCGGTGGTGACCTTTTTATTTGCGCGGGTGATATTTAATCGCCGAGACAATGAACGAACATTGACATTCATTTGACCTGTGGGACTACTCCCAGTGGTATTTGTTTATGAAACAAGGTGTCAAGTTTCCCCCGGGTCGTAATTGCGAGGCACGCAAAGATGCACCAACTGCTTGAATGCAGCTACATTGCGAAGCTCGTGATTACGCATACACTACGTGCATTGAGTCGTGTGTGTGCGTATTAATCAGTGGTTTACAATTTGCGAGAAATATTTTCAAATTTATATTCCAATATTACAGCTGTTCCGAGTGAATTCAATTAAATTGTGCAAACAATAGAGAGAGAGAACAAAAATACATTAACAATAAAATTAGATGGCTAAAACTCATCCACAACAAAATAATTATTATTGAATAGCATCATGACCCACGAATCCGGACAGCTTATTGGACCGCCGTGCGGCTGACTCGTTGATGGCCTAGCAGTGGTTTATCTGGCTTGGTGCCACGCTTGCCAACCTTTTCAGCAAATCAAACCCGGGACATGTCTCTCAGTCAGCACTCAGTCTTTTCTTAAATCTACGCGGCAAAACAATACCGCCAGCAGATATTGATGCAAATCAGTTCCTGATGGCACCCGGACGAAGAGGCCGATTCCCTGGCAACTGTCCGGGTCCAACCCAGACAGGGGGAAACTCTACCCGGTGGCTCTGCGGTTAGGGCACTCAACTCGCCATGGAAAGGTTACTAGATCCAAATCCCGGCCTTGGCTCGACTCAGCTCAGCCAATCGTCTTCATGCATCCACACCTCAGATTAGCACGGTTGACTACGTGCGCTGCGAAAAAAGTTCAACGTACATGCAGGCATCATGCTTCCCTCTTAACTTGATCAAATGGGAGTTCCACCACTCTGGAAAAAGTCAACAGTGGTCATCCTTCATCGAGCCTGGCCATCGCTAAAAGAATGTGGGATTTCAGCCGATGGCTTATGGCCACCAAATCTGACGCTCGTTCGACTCGTTTATTGAACCAGGCCGATGTGTTTTGCACAGCAATGCATTTTTTTTACTCGCAACACTGTTGGCAGAAGGGCCTCTGTACAGTATATGTGAGAGAGCTCCAGAGGCCAGCCTCGAAAGGATATTTGGCCTACCCTTCCACGCTGGTCAGGGATGTCTTGGAAGAGGTGGCCCCCACCACAGGCGACGTGCCGATTCACTTCATGTGGCGAACACCGCTGGGTGGACAGAGGCGGTAAGGGGGGGGAGGGGTGAGGGGGGAGGTTTTAAGAGGTGTGCGCCATCGCTTAATCTGCCGCGCCGGGAGATTGAACCCGGCGACTTCTGGATTGCAAGCCCAGCGTGCTGCTGACCGTCAATCCGCTGGAAGGTTGCTGTCTCATAATAAAATAAAGAGATGTTTACTTTGTGTGACGGTCCGAGTAGCGGGATGCCTTCCGCTCCTCTGTTTCGGACGCGTGACCTTAAAATGTTAGCGTCTTTTAACCTCGCGTATTAAAGCGGAGCGCGCACACACAGCCACGCGGATGAGAACGTGTCAAATTATGGTAAAGTGTTGCCCGAGGGTTGTACGGATGGATATCTTGATGGGTGTCATTTGCGAGCGGCTAAGCCGCAGAAGTGTAAATTGACACCAGTCAAAGAAGCCAACAAAAGCCAGACCGACACGAGTGAGACGAATATATATCGACGATCCAGACATAGACAGGAAGATCGATTGGCGCACAGTCAGACGCGCAAAGAAGTCCGAACGTGCAACAAACGAGACGGGCGGTGAAAACGAGACGGACGAGAGCGTACGAGACAGGAAATACGAACGCGGAATGCGTGCCGTAACGAGACGGCACTGACGGAATGGTAACACCGTCTCTGCGTGGTCTCGCTCGGGGTGGCGAACCTCAGCGCACACCGGTCCCGGAGGTTCCGAGTAACCCCCGCCACCACGTGCCCCCCACCGCTGCCCCACTCCCGTGGAGATGAGCGCAACCCCAACGCCCGTTTGAGTAAGGGGAGGGGATTTACGCTTTGAGCTGTGTTTCGTTTATAGATATTAAACCCACAGGAAAACATCAACAAAAAACCCATTGTAACAACGACAGAGCAAAGGGGATTCATTTCGCCGACGAGAGATGGGAAACGTAGGAGGAGGGCAGGCGAACAAAGCCAAAATTGTACGAAACATTAAACCGTGACACCAGCTCCACCCTTTTTTCAAGAATCCGGACAGCATTTGATAATAAATCCCTTGTCTCCTCTCTCTCTCTCGTCTCTCTTCTCCCAGGAATTGGCAATTCGAGTTTTTATTCGCCAGGAGATGGGCAAGCATTGCGGTGAGTGTGGACAGACGCACGGAATTCATTTGTCCGGTTGCAAGACAGCAGAGGCGGCGGTGACCGGGGGTCCCAGGATGGGCGGAGATCGCATCGCGTGCGACCGTGCGCCGCTTTTTTTAATGAAATCCCGTCGGCCCACCGCTGACGTTTATTTGTGAACCGTGCGCCGCTGCTGACGTCACTCTGTAATGAAACGGAGATGGGGGGGGGGGGAGAAATTCTATCAGGAAATGCTTCCCAAAGTCAATTCAAATTGGCCTCTTGTCCCCACCACCCGAAGGTGAAAACGCATTCTCTCAGAAACGCGATATTTATTTAGACTGGAGGAATCCGATGAGCTATGAAGCCCTTTTTTCACAGATCTCCAGTAGGGGCACGGGGTCAGAGCGTTACAACAACAAACTGTATTAAAACACAACAGGAGTGAAAGGTATAGGAAATAATAAAGGTTTTTGGGTTAGATCGCGTTATTTATAAATGTGTCGTAACCCTCCACCACCCGACACGGCCAATCAGCAAAAAAAGTGTCACGTTGACAAAAGACAAATAATTCACTACTTTAGCCCACCGGTGTGTTGAAGAGTGAATCCACAACATTTACAGTTTTTTGTACTCAAACTGTAAATGTGGATTCACTCTTCAACACACCGGTGGGCTAAAGTAGTGAATTATTTGTCTTTTGTCAACGTGACACTTTTTTTGCTGATTGGCCGTGTCGGGTGGTGGAGGGTTACGACACATTTATAAATAACGCGATCTAACCCAAAAACCTTTATTATAAATAATATTGGTCGCGAAAGCCTACGTGTTAAACTGAGGTATAGGAAAGGTAAACAAACCACTACCACAAAATATACAAATAAAACTAAAATATTTTTTTTATCTTATCAGGTAAAGCCCACCGAGCTTATTAGCTTATTTTCAGAAGCGACCTGGCCACAAATGATAGCTCAACAAAGTGGCTTATATATGTGAAAATGGATCACGTTAAAATAATTTAAATGATCTCTTTGCCCTTCATACGGTGTTTGTCGAACGGCAAATCAAATCAAAACGATTTGAGCTGGAATACGCCATGTTGGCTGTGACCAAGCATGTTTAAAACGCCAAGTTCACCCGTAATCCCACCAATCAGTCGGTTGGTAAAATTTGTAACCGGATTGGAACATCGTCAGCGGCGGTTTCCACCGAGGAAAGTGGAATTTCCCACCGTCGGTTTCACGCATCGGCAACGGAGGTGAGCGTTGCCTAACTCCCGTTTGAGGCGAGAGAGACTCGGAGATTGCTTCGATTTAAATGTGATCAGCGAGAGACAATAGGCTCATTGCGGGAATACGGCCTTTTGATTCCCAGCATGCGAGCCGTCTGTCTCCGTGTCTCTGTCTGCGGCTTTATCTGTCCGCGTGTGATTTCTCATCACTTTTATCGTACAAAGGCAGCAGCGCCTTTCCTGCACGACGATAGATCTACGTTTTTCATTGGAGTTTTTTTTTAATTTGTTCTCATATAGTATCCGTGCATCACACGACTTTCCCAAGGCTTGCTGCATCGTGACATCGGTCGCGGAACTCAAGTTCATGTTCAATCCAATTGTGTACATATCGTCATCATCGTCATCATGATCATCATCATCATGATCATCATCATCATCGTCGTCGTCGTCGGTACTGGTCAATCCACTGCTGGATGAAGGCCTCGCCCAAGCCGTTGCTTACCATCCCACACAATCCTACGATGTCACAATCCCACATCGCATACGTCTCATCTCATCGCTCCATCTTCTCCGTTGATGTCATCTCGGAGTTGCCTCGGCCCATCATGAATCCCTATGGCATTGTCCTATGTTAGAGAATCACCATGGAAATGTGGAATTTCCACCGCTGGCACGGGGCTATTGAGAGGAGATGCGCGTGACCCCAACGCTCATCTTAGTAACGAGTTCACTCTGACTCGTGGTCGCGACAAACGGTATCTGCCTGAATGTTGACGCCGCTCTTCTTGTTCTGTTCTCTGTTGTGATTTCAGCTTGCGGAGGTGAGTGGAGCTCTTCCCGGGCCCCTGTCGCTCACATACACAGCACACACACAGCACACACAGCACACACACAGCACACACAGCACACACAGCACATACACAGCACACACACAGCACACACAGCACACACACAGCACACACAGCACATGCACAGCACACACAGCACACACACAGCACATACACAGCACACACAGCACACACAGCACACACAGCACACACACAGCACATACACAACACACACACAGCACACACAGCACATACACAGCACACACGCAGCACACACACACAACCCACACACGCAACACACACACACAGCACACACACACGGACCACACACAGCACACACAACACATCTCATTAATTGATTGAATTTAAACTAATCCGGCCGATCATCCACTGTGGTCAGACCACTCGATTCGCAACGATTCGACACCAGCACCTTTCGTCACCCCCTGCGATTAACGATGAGAGTCATCGCCACGGTCGCAGTGACTGCCACTACGGTGGTTGCTGTTGTTGCTGTTTGTTGATGTCGTCGTCGTTGTTGTTGACGTCCTTGATCGATTTCACTCTCCCGTTGTCATCGCCATCGCAGCGGAAAAGTCAATTCCGTGCTGGCACGAGAGTGAGCGGAACGCAACCCTCAGTGCAGGTTTTTATTTTATGAGAATAAGTTCTGAGCAAATTCCGAGCAAGTTTGGGGGACCATTGCAGTAAACATAAAAAAAAGCAATATTGAACAAAACATTTGACGGCAAAAAAATATTAAATTCCGAGTAAACGTTTGCACAGGTTAAGGTGCAGCCCTGATAATTTATCACTGGAGCTGCTTTGCCTTGCAATCCGCTGCTGCGAGAAGAGCCTCCACTCGCTGGAGGAAGAGCTTGAGAGTCCCTGCAGAGGGGATGTTGGCCTACTCTTCCACGCTGGCGTCGGACGTCCGTTCCCATGGCACGTGACTCTAAATCAGTGGTGGGCAACCTGGACTTCGCCGCCCTGGTCATCTGGACGTCCATGGTAAATTGGACGTCCATGGTCATCTGGACGTCCATGGTAAATTGGACGTCCATGGTGAACTGGATGTCCATGGCAAACTGGACTTCCATGGCAAACGGTACTTTTCTCATGGTAAACTGGACTTCCATGACAAACTGGACTTCCATGGTAAACTGGACTTCCATGGTAAACTGCACTTCCATGGTCATCTGGACGTCCATGGTCATCTGGATGTCCATGGTAAACTGGACGTCCATGGTGAACTGGACTTCCATGGTAAACTGGACTTCCATGGTCATCTGGACGTCCATGGTAAACTGGACGTCCATGGTGACTGTATATCCATGGCAAACTGGACTTCCATGGCAAACTGGACTTCCATGGTAAACTGGATGTCCATGGCAAACTGGACTCCCATGGTAAACTGGACTCCCATGGTAAACTGGACTTCCCTAGTAAACTGGATGTCCATGGCAAACTGGACTCCCATGGTAAACTGGACTTGTTGTTATGGAGCTGTGCACTGACAATGCTTGTTTGAGCGCAGAGACATTTCGACTTTTCACTGCCCTTTGCGTTGTGTGTCGCAAATGAGAATGCTGCCCGTGTGTGGTTTTATTATTCTTCTTATCCCAGTGGCTGTTGCACGAGGAGACAACATTGACTCCCTTGGTAAGTGGTGGTCCCTGTATGGTGGCACATGTGTGGTGGTGCATGTATAATCGTGTCTGTATTGTGGTGCATATACCATCGACAATTTATGGTTGTGCATGTATAATCGTTAATGTATTGTTGTGCATGTACAATAGTTAATGTATGGTGGTGTGTATGATAGTGCATGTATAATAGTACATGTATGGTGGTGCATATATAATAGTTCATGTATGGTGATCCATATATAATTGTGTCTGTATGGCGATGCATATATAATAGTTAACGTATGGTGGTGCATGTATAATGGTTTATATACGGTGGTTCTTGCATAATCATGGATGCAGTGTGGTACATTTGGAATTGCAAGTGCCGGGTGGTACGTGTGTAATCATGCATGCCGATTCCTGTATAATTGTGCCCGCAAGTCGGTGCATGTTTATTCACGGATGTAGGGCGGTACATGTACAATTATAATTGCAGAGTGGTACATGTGTAGTGGGTTCCACAGAGGCGCACACTCGAACTTGGAAGCAACACGTTTATTCTGAATACAACTGGGTAACTATATACAGTATAACGTTCATGGAATTGGGTGGTGACCACCACGGGTAACTACGTAACCACTCGACGGGATACTACATGCTAGTAACCACCACGGGTCACTACACACTCGGACCAGGTCAGTTAGCACCCTGCGTGGCCCACGATGCCGTGCACGAAGACCGAAGATCGAAGACTCAACCCGGCGAGTTCCATTCCCAGAGACAGCCCGGGTTGGCGCTCGGAACTTCCCTTTTACGCACCTGAGCGTGGCCTGGCTCCGCCCTAGGCAGTGCCCCTTTCTAGATCCTACGAGAAGGTTCTGGGCCTCATGTCACGTGTCCCTCTCGCCACCCCTTGGCCCCCCTCGCTACCCTCTCCTGGGCACGTGCCCTCTCGGGTTCACCCAGACTGTCGTGTCCTGAAATGCCCTCTCTCTGGCCCTCACCCCAAGCATGCCCCTTAGGGCCCGCTTCTATGCCATGCACGCTCTGGGGCCAGAGAGACGCTAACATGCACACTACCACCCTTCTGCCAATAGTTGGCGTCAGATGCCATAGTGAATCAATATACGTCACTACACATGTATTATGGTGATGCATGAATAATTGAATGTGTACGGCTGTGCCTTTACAGCACACTGTGTGCGCGTGTGTGTGCGTGTGTGTGTGCGCGTGTGTGCGTGCGCGTGTGTGTGTGCGTGCGCGTGTGTGTGTGTGCGTGGCTTTGCTCTCAACACAGCGAACAACATAAGCCCTATGTCGAAGAACAACAAGCATTCGGACTACGAGGACACGCTCGTCGAGGAGGACAGCTGGGACGACTCGGACATGGATTACGGTGGGTTGTCGCGTGACTCGCGCCGTCGCCTCCTTCCCTCTGCCAGGTCCCTTCAACTGTTGCACAGTCGACACCCGGCCTCTTAAAAGTCTCATCATCACTTCACGTCTCGCACAGTTCCTCCAAGAACCGCGTTCCGGATTCCCGCCATCGCTGCCACCGCTGCTATTGTCGCCACAAAAGACAAAGATTGCCCCGTATAGCCTTTACGGGCTGTTCGGGCAAGTGCTGTTAGCGAGCACCTACCAAGGTCGGGACGTCGCACGAGGAGGTGCCTTTGCCAGTAACGTCCCCGGTCGCCTTTGTCTCCCCAATGCTGACGTCTACACACCCCACCAGCTACTCATTTAAGACTTAATTGTCCTAAGGGGAGGCTCATGACCAGTTCAAATATTCGTCACTGTTGTAGACTGTGATCGAACTCGGGTCGCCGGGTTCGTTGCGCAGTGCGCTAACCACTACACCACCGCTCCGACAGACCCACACGCCACCGCTGTCACCACCACCACCACCATCTGCTTTTACATTGTTCCATCGGCCCCGAATCCCTCTGGGTGCTACTCTCATGGCTGCATGGGTGACCTGCCATCCTACATGCATGTCCCACCCAGTGCAGTTATTGTTTTGTTTGGTGCGTATTTTGAATACACGACACTTTCCAGCCGAGTTATGTTCCGAACTTCCAATTTGCTTACTCCACCTTGCCATGCAATCTCTTCACGTGCGATGAATCAATACTAGAAGGACATAAACTTATTTTCCAGTTGCCTTGACACCGTTCAAAAGGACGTGGTGAGGAAGCATTGTTGACGACGGAGGGAGAAAATAAACTTTTTTTTATTTTTATAAAACTTTATGATTGGACAATTATCTCGCCAGGAGATGGGAGAGAAAAAAAACCATTAATACAAAATGAGACCGTGGTCATAACCACAACGGTGGCGGCGGTGCCCTGAGTTAAATCACGCATTCAATTTAACACGCAGCAGGCTTTCGCGACCAATATCCATAACAAAGGTAAATATGAATGTGTCGTTAAGCCCGTCACCACCCGACACAGCCAATTAGTAAGGTTTGTCACGTAAACAGAACGTGGCCAATTCGTTACTAGCACAGCACAGCGGTTGTGTGTTGGAGAGCAAAGCCACAGATTGTACTCAGTGGGACGCGTGTGCAGGATGGAGGGGAGCAGCTCAACGAGTTGGGCACTGGACTGGCGGGTCAGAGGTCGGCACCCAAGGGGAAGGCCTGACATCACACGGTGGTGGTGGTGGTGGTGACGATGGTGGTGGTGGTACTGTGAGAGCGGCGGCCCTTTGAAGGCATGCGTGAGTGAGCGTTGTGTAACAAGGGGAACGGATTAAGCCAGACGATTGTGGAGATGATGAGACTGTGAGAACATATCTATGATGATGTCAGATGTCAGCCGTGCAACAACATCCGTGTGACGTCGAGCTGAATAATTGAAGCGATGTTGAGCTGCGGTGACGTCATCTGCGGTGATGTCATCTGCGGTGCTCATTGGGTTGGTGGATCACAAACCCGCTGGGCATTTGAGGTCGCCATCTCGTGGCTTGCCAGGGTACGACTGCAGGCCAGCATGAAGTGTTAATTTTCATTTGGATGTCATCTGTAAGGGGGTTCGGTTGTTGCGCCCCCTTCCCCACCCAGTGGGTTTTCTCCGGGTACCCCCGGCTTCCTCCCACGTGTTTACATTCGCCCGCGGAGTTGGCCAACCTGCTTCGGTATAGGACCTCAGAGCTTGGGCAATCATTGACAGCGAGTTCTGGCCGCGGTTTCCCCGCGCCCTTCCGTTCAAAAGCTGCGCTCGCTTCCACGAACGTGTCTGCGGCGTTCTCCAATTAACAGGAACGACGATGTTAGAAAAATGCATCTTTACTCATTATCATGATTGCACCTCGGGATTTTGGCCTATGTTACAGCGCAGCTGTCTGTAACTGTAGAGCAACGCGCGCGTGTCTCACTCGAACGCCCGTCTTGTCAGCACCTGAAGCTGACCCCCGTCCTTCCAGAACGGTTCACGTAAGCCTACCTCCGGTAAACTCTCGCGATTCCCCTGCGCCGGGTGGCTTGCGAGTGCCGCACCGGCGAAGGGATCCGCGAGCATCATCGCCCCGTCAAGACGACGCCCGTTGTTGTTGTTGTTCCGCAGACTACGAAGCGGAAAAGACGACCCAGACGCCTCGAAGACTCAAGAGGGAGTCGATCGACGTGGAAGGAGGTAATGTTCGGCCTGGCTGGTTGGCTGGGTTGCTGAGAGGTTATCTGGTCCAGGCTAAAGTTGACGCTCACGATAAAGTTTCCGGGTTCCATCGTGTTAACGTAAATGTGCCGTAAACCCACTCCCCACCGGCACCTCAGATTGGCACGATTGGCTACGCACGGTTCAAAAAGAAGTTCAACATACATACATCCGACACAGCCGCCTAGAAAGGTTTTCACGTAAATAGGACGTACCAATTAGTTACCACTTCAGCACACCGGTTGTGTGTTGGAGACCACTGCACAACGTTTACAATTTTGACTGACATTTCGCTGGTGATTTCAACCATCATCATCATCGGGCATCTGCCTGAAATAACATTTCCAACGACGACGATGCGCACTCGTTTGTTTTGGGAGACTCTTTGACTTGGCTATGGCATGCGCAATTTGGCGTTGGAACTGACGTCCGCAGCTCATCGGATTCTACCTTGATGAATAAAGATTCTTGATTTATGATCAGCGGGCTTGGGCCGGACACGTCGCTACTAAAGGGGATGATGGCCTCTGGTCAAGAATAATAACGGAGCCAAAGGAATGGAACGCGTCCGTCTGGTAGCAACGCCGGTCCGAGGAGATGGAGCGATGAAATCAGGTTTGCGTGCTTCGTGATAGTGAGAGCTGGTGGTAGCTGTGGGGGGGGGGGGGGGCGACAACATCCAGCAGTGGATTGAACATGACTCACGATGACGACGACGACGATGAACCTGCGGTTAATTTTGCACGATCGTTGGCCGTGAATGAATGCACGCCGGGGGATTTTTCTGCGCACGTGGCTCCAAACAATAGAAGGAAGGGAAGAAAAAAAAACATTACGCCAACGGAACCACCTCCACGTGCGCGTCTCGCAAGCCGCTGCCTGCGCTCGGCCACGCTGGAGCGTGCGCCTGCTTCCCGGCAGGGACGCGAAGGCGCTCCCTGCACAGAGACACAGCCCAGTATTGACCGACACTGCTCCCTCGCCCGAAGCTTCCGGATCGTTAACTTTCCGGAAGCGCGCGTGCGTCCGCGTTGTGTGGCTGCGTCCGCGTTGTGGGGAGCGCCGGTCGTGGCAGCGGTCGGCGCACTGCGGCGCCGCGCGCCCGCCCACCCGAGTTCGATTCCCGACCGTGGCTAACGTCGGTCGCGAACGACGTCGAAAATTGGTCCTGGGTATGCCCCAGGGTCGACTCAGCCTCAAATGAGTACCTGGTGTGGGTGTGTAAACATCATCACTGGGTAGACAAAAGGAGACCGGGTGGTGGTGATAACAACCCCATCATCGCTCATGTGCCATGCTGGCCTTAACAGGTGCTCACTGACAAGACGTGCCCCAACCGTCTGTTTAGGCTATACTGTGCCTGTGTGTACGCGGCTGTGCGCGCATCACTGCGATTATATGCGCGTGCGTGAGAGGCCACGTGTTCACACCGTGCGATTGTCGCTGAGTGTGTGTATCCCAATCGTGGTGCACGCACGGACTAGCATGCGTGTGTGGGGAGCGGCAGTGCGGCGGTTAGCTCGCTGCGCAACGAACCCGGACGAAACGCGAGTTCGATTCCCGCTCAGGGCCACCAGCACCGGTCACCGTACCTGGGTCATTCCGAACCGGTCCTGGGCCTTTCCGAGATCGACTCAGCCTCAAATGGGTACTTGGCGCTCCGTGTAAACATCGCCACGGGGGAGATAAAGGTGGCCGGGCGTGGTGCTAACCCCCCCTAACGTGTGCCTTGCTCGCTGACGGCACTCGCCCCAAACAGTCGTGCTAAGGCTATTCCAGGTGATCTTTGTCTTGTTGCGTCAGGCCCCTGCTCGCTGCCCCTAGAGGAGGGCAGCTGCTCGCGCTACACGATGCGCTGGTACCACCACGGAGAGTCCGGCCAGTGCCGACCCTTCATCTACAGCGGCTGCGGCGGCAACAGCAACAGCTTCCTCAGCCGCCAGCAGTGCCGAGATCGGTGCTCACCCCCCGGCACCGACCAGCACGAGGTCAGCCCCCGGATCCACACTCCCGACCCCCCCCCCCCGCCCGCCCCACCGCAGCCCATTATCATCGTCGTCATCATCATTATTGTCATCATCATCGTCGTCGTCATCATTGTCATCATCGTCATCATCATTGTCATCATCATTGTCATCGTTGTCATTATCATTGTCATCGTTGTCATTATCATTGTCACCATCACCGCCACCGTCACCATTAGTGTTGTCTTTGTCGTCGTGACTCACATCAATCAACATTGTAGCTCGTGCCCACGTTGTCACCACCCTCGTCAGCATTGTTAGTTCAGCCTCTGCATCCCCTATGGAAGAGAAGGCCGCACCGCCGTCAGAATTGTGATCATCACTATCCTCCACTTCTTGACCAGAAGTCGACCAGACAGTAAAAGAGAATCATTGATAAGATTTTTAAAAATATGTTTAAAATGTTCTCTTTTTATTCGTCTATTCGATCGTATATTTGTCATTATAATTTTTTTGTGCATTCTTAAGTGTACGTAATGGTTCGTTGTTATGTCGATGTGAATAACGTTGGCGAATAATAATAATAATCATAGTTTCCACTTGTAACGCACTGCCACCGCACGGCGATATCTCGCTGTCGGAGGGAGCGAGGGAGGAGGGGACGGCTCAGAACGGCGAGGAGAAACCACCGACTAGCGGGTCGGAAGCCACACGATGAGCTGGCGTCGACAGCTCTCCGAACTCTGCGATTCCCCCCTAACACGTGACGCCGTCGTCGGCCACCATCGTGGGAAAACCGCTGCTACGATTTGAACTGGTCAACACGTGGCACAGTATTCGATGGCTCTCAAAGAGACACAGAGAGAGAGAGAGAGAGGGAACCAACGGGTGTCACCCGCTTCCACTCTGAAGCCCCTTTTCGAAATGCGTATTTCGTTTGGGCGACGGTGAACGTCGCGCGTAAAGTATTTATTGACCGATCTCTCTCCTCGTGTCTTTAAGGTGGCGCAACCTGAAGAAGATGAACGTCTGTCACCATGACGACCTGGAAGATGATGTCGGAGAAATTGTTACTTGTAGAACATTAATAACCACTTACTGCATGGGTGTAAGATTGTTGTCAATGTTTTACATTTATATATATATATATATATTTGCATATATGGGCTGTGTATATCAATATATGGGCTGTGTATATCAATATATGAGCTGTGTATATCAATATATGGGCTGTGTACATATAGCAATATATGGGCTGTGTATATCAATATATGGGCTGTGTATATCAATATATGGGCTGTGTATATCAATATATGATGTTTTTTGTCAGTATACAACATCCCAATAGTGCTATAAGGGACACGGACATTCAAGTGTCGTTATACCACGAGAATAAAGATTTATTTTGTTTAATGTTAACGGAAACACTTGTCCATAAATGTGTCGTTAAACCCGCCACCACCCGACACAGCCAACTAGAAAGGTTTGTCACGTAAAGAGAACATGCCAATTCGTTACTAGTACAGCACACCAGCGTGTTGGAGAGTAAACTCACAAGAATGTTTTGTTGTGGGTTTACCCACCAACACAACAGGTGTGCTGTACGAATAACGAATTGGCACGTGCTGTTTACGTAACAAACCTTTCTCATCTTCTTTGGTTCTTTCGGTAAAGTCACGTAGAATGAGAATAAAATAATCAATTGATAAAATAAAATAACACAATAAAATTCTCACGACGTTTCGGCCACAACACAAGCGGCCTTGTGGCCGAAACGTCGTGAGAATTTTATTGTGTTATTTTATTTTATCAATTTATTATTTTATTCTCATTCTACGTGACTTTACCGAAAGAACCAAAGAAGATGAATCCGTGCAGTAACGAAAGCTTTAAATCGAAATTTAAACCTTTCTCATTGGTTGTGTCGAGTGGTGGCGGGTTTCACGACACATTTATTTACGCGACCTCACTCAAAAAACCCTCTTATGGATGATATTGGTCACGAAAGCCTAAGTGTTAAACTGGAAAGACTTGTCACGGTCATTGCCGGCCAGTGCTGTTCATGCCACAACATATATCTTTCTGTCTTATCTTTTGCTTCCTTCCTTCTGCCAGATCACCGACTATTGCACAGTTGACAGGCAGCCTTAGCGGATCCCTCTGGCCGATTCTCATCTCCGACCTTAGCTCTTCCCCGCGTTACACGACGATTGGAAACTAATGCAAAGATTGAAAACTCATTTCTTTGCAAGTGATGTGTGTGTGTTGGGTTTGTTGTCCCCCCGCACCTCCGATGAGCACGGTTGGCTCCGTACGGCGCAAAAGAAGTTCAACAAAACGTCCATACAACGCGCCCCCCTGGTGTCCGATCTCTGCCTGAAACTCCGTTGTCCGTCTCGGTAGCCGCCCTCCGTGACCCTACGCTCGTGCCCAACCCGTCACGACATTCTTTCAAGACGCTACGCAAGCACGGCTGTGTCGATTTGGTCTTTCCCCCAAACTCACACTGACCAACGTGGTGAAGAATGGTCAAACAAACTCCATGGGGGGGAGCCTTCGTCCAGCAGCAGATTTACAAAGATCTGGAAATCGACGATTAACGTGGCATTGTACTTAACTCAGTCCGAGCCTAGCTGTGAGGTTTACGAATTGTGAATATATCGTGGCGCTGGCATTGTGATCCAATCTTTTTACGGAGCCTGAACACCCCGCTGCCTCTTGTTGGGCAACAACGGTCCTGTAAAGTGACACCTATCGAAGTAGCCCTTTGTATTCTAAGCCACAAGGGCCATCGGGTTAACGTGACGACCAGGGCCGCGTTGATCTCTGTATGGAGAGTGAACTTGGGTTGGACCAACGGGACATCTGGTAGTGCAGGGCCCAGTTGGCCTCACTGGCGTCTCACCCTCGCCCGTTTGCCTGCCGTGGCCTCTTCTTCCGGTTGCCTCTACGCTCGGTGTCCCTCGCGTCCTTCTGCCCCCTTTCAAAACTCGTCTCTCCCATCCCGAGTTTGCTAATCTCTTCGTGAGCTCGTCGCCCTTGTCTTGCACGCCTTATAGCGCCGCTAAAGCCAGGAACAAAGTCCACGGCCTGCTATGGAACGCAGTGACGCCACTCACTTTTTGTCGCGTTGTTCCGTAAAATCGCAGCGCGCTTGTTCCGCTGATGAGAAATTATAATCGAGAAACCCTCTTCGTCTCGCCCTCTCAAGCCACTCGTTGATGGCACACTTCCCACCAGCTGTCACGAGATCATTCTTTTTTTTTTTACAAATCTGCTTTCTAGCTGGGGCCACAGGTAGGACTCGAAGTCACATTTCGCAATGATGGCTCTTCAGATTCCTCTGGATGTTTTGTTTCCTGTTCGTTAACCTTTGTTGTTGTCCGATCTTTAAAAAATATATATTTCGGTCAGAGTTAATGTATCACCTCTGCGATTTTCTCTTTGGTATTCGTCCTAAAAGGTAGAGAGTACATTTTAACTGAATGTTGCTTCTGCTTTCATAGCAGGCCATGGACTGGCTCTTCTATCACCCCTCACGCGTTGTGGTACATTCCGAATCCAGTGGCAGTCCCTACCACTCCCCCGGGTAGCTCCGCTTTGAGTTGGACCATTTTTATTCGGAGGGAGAATTATTGTTCGATACGTGATCCAGAGTTGTTCTATGTTTCGTAAACATTCGCAATGTGTTGTTCCGTCTTGGGTGAAGATGTTTTTGTTCTTTAAAAAAAATTGTCATGAAGTTTGAAGATATTGATATACACATTTAACCTTGAAAAGTATTCAATAGGTATTGAATCTTTTCCGCTGACTGCAAACCCACAGCTCCCGCTACCCCTAGATATCCCCATCCCCCTCAGGATTGGAGGGGGGAGTGGGTAAATATTTATGGAGCTCAGCCCGGGACAGCTCCGGCTGAAATTAAGCCCTGGTCATATCAAATCTATTCATTAGCTTAACATGCCAAATACATATATAGATATTTACTTTTCTGAATATATTTTAAATAAATTGAGTAAAATTGTGTTCATGTTAGAACCTAAAGGTTAATTGTAGTGTACGTGTCATTAAGGTTTATGTTAAACACATTGAAATAAATCAAATAACTGCAGATAGTACATTTTGGATGGTAAATGGCGTCGTCTTATTCAGCAAAAACTAATATTCCAGTCATGCAGAAATTAACTTGAATTATATATAAATTTCAAAATATTGTAGGAATTTGTTAAATGTTAATTTTTAGAATGTATACTTCAAAGACATGATTAATGAATATCGCTTTAATCTCGGCGTTTTTCTTTTTTTCTTAAACGGCTTCGTCACCGCGTGCGATTATTTTAAAATAGTGAGTAAACGGTGCTACGAACAGGCGCTCATCCGTGTGTGTGTGTGACTGTCGCCATGCGCACAACGTTAGTCACGCTAACATAGTCGCGATACCGGATTCCTCCGCGCGTCTCGGTAAAACGTTTCACTTAAAATGGCATCTTCGTCGTCGTAGTCTTCTTCAAGAAGGAATTTTAAAAAAACGATGTTGCCACGACCTATACCCCCCACACAAAAGTCCGGCCCTAAAACCGGGCCTATAAGGCTCCTGAATTTCCACGGTGAAGCCCCAAAAAGTGTGGCTGGCATTGGAGACAGTGGGTGAACATTGCCGCGCAACGTCAGATTGTCGAGTCAAATTCCATCAACAACCAAAGCCGTCATTTCTCCCCGTTGCAAAGAACATTCCTTTGACACTCAAATCTAGCGGTGGCTTTGAGACGGGGTGGAAATTCTACAGTCCCATGGTGGTGGCCGGTCTATTCGTAGAAATAGATACGATCGACGCACCGCAATGTGGTACTAATTTTATCTATCTTTTGAAGGTATCGTGGGCTGAGCCAGCTGAGCCAGCCCATTGCAATTACGGCCCTTTGTGTAAACAAAAGCTAAAATCTGAACTTAAAAAAATATATTTCTGCAGATTGAACAATAAAAAAATCAACTGAATGATGGCATCGCTCATAACAAGTAAAAGAGTTTGGTAAAAGTATAGAGGCATTTGAGCAAACAAATAAAACTCATGACCTGAATCGTGAGTTGTGCTCTCCGCTGCAGAACAAAACAAATCATAAATAATCACATTGCGAATTATAATAAAATTGGCTAGACGTGGAAATCTGGACTGGACTTCACGTAAAAAAATGGACTGGACTTTTTGTTGAAACACCATTCTTAGATGCTCTTATAATTTGTATGAGTTGATGTATCTTTTTATTTAAAAAGGTGTTACGTGGTGCTTAGTAAGACATGAAGGACAACATGCGTTGGTGTACTGTACATGTTAACAGTGTGACTTCAAACAATTAGGAATTGATTGTTCATTTTCGGTGTTATATTTTAATGAAGGATGATGATGATGTTAAACATATAAGCGCAAATGTTGAAGATTTATATTGGTAAAACCCTTGTCATGTTTTAAGAAGTCAAAAGTTGTTCTGCAATATTTTAGCAAGTTATACCCAAAAAGCACATCTGACAATGCTTGCGTTTCATTTGGGTGGTGATTACAATGTAAAGGTCAAAGTGTATCCCTGCCCATCTCCACTGGTGGCCCTGAGTCACTGGTGGAAATTCCACATTCCTATGGCAGGAGGTCCATGATTTACATCGGACATCCCCGATCAATGTTTCGCTAAGTGGTATCTATTTTAATCCACCTTATGCGACGTTAATGATGGGCTGAGTGAGTGAACTCAATGGTCGCGTGTGCTCTCACCACACCACTTAGGAGTGTTCATTAAGGTTTCGTACATTATTAATGTATTACAATCAGGCGGCAGTACATTATTAATGTATTACAATCAGGCGGCAGTAAATTATTAATGTATTACAATCAGGCGGCAGTACATTATTAATGTATTACAATCAGACGGTAGTACATTGTTAATGTATTACAGTCAGACGGCAGTACATTATTAATGTATTACAATCAGGCGGCAGTACATTGTTAAAGTATTACAGTCAGACGGCAGTACATTATTAATGTATACAATCAGACGGTAGTACATTGTTAATGTATTACAGTCAGACGGCAGTACATTATTAATGTATTACAATCAGGCGGCAGTACATTGTTAAAGTATTACAATCAGGCGGCAGTACATTATTAATGTATACAATCAGACGGTAGTACATTGTTAATGTATTACAGTCAGACGGCAGTACATTATTAATGTATTACAATCAGGCGGCAGTTTCTTCGATGTCAATAAAACTTGAAAAGATAACAGATCGCGACGCTCCGATCGCAACAACAAGTGACCGTCTTCAGGTGAGAAGACAAGCCACGTCTTCTCTCACCTGACGGTGGTCGCTGGGTGTTGCGATCGAAACGTCGTGATCTATTATTTTTATTTCTACCTACGTGACTTTACCGAAAGAACCAAAGAGTACAGCATATGTTATTCTCTTGGTTCTTTCGGTAAAGTCACGTAGAAGGGAAACAATAAAATAATAACATGTTG